ATCCACTCGCATTCTCCAGCATCACAAGCACCTGCAAGACGAACATCGCCACAATCTCTGGGAACATCGGAAGCATGTGAAGAGTCACAAGAGAAGGACGACACGTTCAAGGTGCAGCAGGCGCCACATTTACTCGACGATGTAAACCATGATTCTTACTTTGTAGGCAGTTCGGCTGGACGAACACTTGTTGGTACGACATCTGCTCCCTCTCCGGCAGCACCCATGTCTGACATTTCGCAGAGACCTTCAAGCAAAAAGCACAAGAAGCAGGCAGACTCTCAACCGACGTTGACTCGGGTGTCTTCTTCGGCGCAGGTGCAAAGCCAGTTGCCACTCAATCAAAACGTCCAGTATCGTTCAAGGCCCCTCCTCGTCTAGTCTCAGACCAGATGGTCAACATATTCTTCCAGGAGTGGGCGCCCTTGTTCCCAATCCTCCATCGCCCAACCTTCTTAGGTCTATACGAGCAATATGTTACCAGTCCAGACACTATGACCGACAAAAGGTCCATTGCTCAACTTAACCTGGTCTTTGGAATCGCTGCGCTTTCGAGCGATGTACGTGCCCAAAACCTGTCGCGTGCTTGACTACAGACTGACACTTCGCAGCCTCGCGACGGCCAAGATGTCGACTCTTTCGAAGCCCAGTGGCAGAGCGCAATCAAGAGCTTCTTGATGGCCAACGATATAACAACCCTTCAGTGTCTTGTTCTTGCTCAGATCTTCTGCCTCTTGAGAGCGGATTACTCTCAGATGCTCAAGTACAAAGGCTTGGCTGTCGGCCTGTCACAACGTCTTGGCTTGCATCAGTCCCAGAAGCGCTTCGCACTTGACGCGCTGACATGTGAAACACGCAAGAAGACCTTTTGGTCACTCTACACCGTTGACTGGTAAGTTCATGTCACCCATAAACTGCCGCCATGTTGCTGATTTCCTATAGCTTTTCTGCTGCACACATTGGTCTTCCGAAACTGATTCGCGAGGAAGATGTGCACTGTGAGTATCCCGTAGATGCTGATGACGAATACGTCACAAAGAAGGGATTCCTGCCGACATTGCCGGGCGAATATACCAAGCTCTCCAGTGCGCTAGCGCTCTTCCGCCTGTCACGCATCCTATCCAGGGTCCTCATGGAACTCTATCCCGGATCGGCGTCTCATGACATCTCTTTCCGCACCATGGCAATGTTGGCCGACGAATTAGAGGACTGGCAAAGCAACCTTGCACCGCACCTCAAGCTCACATTTGCACAAGACAAACCGAGCACCAACGTCACAAGCAGCCGCTCTCCCATTTTGGTATGTACAACCCGCATGGCGCTATACTATGCCCGAGTACTAACAACGCCAGTCTCTTGCATATCATCACATCAGAGCTCTGGTGTACCGCCCAGCTGTTGTTGCCAATCTTGGCGACAGAGCGTCTTCAGCTGTGGTAGCTATTGGTGATGCATGTAAACACATTGTGCAAATTGTCGAGCTCCTCGACGAACGCAAACTCAGCTTCTCCTTCTGCCTCAACCGCAATGAGGTTCTCGTGCAAGCTGGTTTCGGTCTGCTTTTCCAGGCGCTCAACCTGGCCCGCGAAGGCAAGCTCATCAAAGAAAGCAACCGCCTCGTTTGTACCGTTATGGACATGCTCGAGCACGGAAACGCAGCTGGTTACACTGACTTCCGCCGGATAGGCTGTGGCATCGTAGCTGTACCAAGCGTGGACCAGATGCCAGCACCGCCCCTTTCGCGGCACAACTCTGATCAAAACATGGGCGCGCCTTTGGATACTTTCCGTGCCACCCAAAAGTCGCTCAAGGCTTTAGCAGCGCGCTTCTCCCCAGGTGCCTTGAAAGCTACTCGTATAGACGCTCGGGAACCGCGTCGTGCAACGCTTCCTGCCGTTTCACCCCACGTAGGCTCTCATCCTAACCACTCGTCAACGAGTTTATCTTCGATTCGGTCGGAACCCCCAACTGCCCGTTCAGAGCCAACTTTGAGCCCATTGTCTCATCGTGCATCTTTTTCAGTGCCAAACAAGCGTCATCCAAGCCAACCTGTAGGTCAGCAACAGCAACAGCAGCAACGCAATATCGACTACATGTCTTTCCCGATGGATCCATTGGCTGGCTACGTGATTTCAAATAGCAACCAAGCTATCAAATCTGAGGTTTCGCCGGCCGATTGGGAGCGTCTTCTCTCATCACTGGACAATGGACAAACAAACATCTACGACACCATCTATGGCGGCCCACCAGCCGACGCTCTGCTCGATATGACACCCTTGTCTGCTACCACCGACAACAACACTACATGGTCACCCAATGTCTGGAACTGGAACAGTTATGCATCCGAGGCCCCGCCGCCCCAGAGCGTTCTCAGCTTCAGCGATGAGAGCTTGACTAGCGGAGAAGAATTCAATAATGCTGCTTGCGACTACGGGTCTACGCCTGGTAGTGATGGCCTGTACCCTGGTATCATGATCCCTGGCGATTACGAGGATACTGCGAATCTGGTTGGGCTCGACGGCAACTACTCCGGATTGTGAGGTACGGGTATAATGATACGACGACATGATGGGTTTGTATATTGGAAGATATTCGTCTAGTGCAAATGGGTGTTTGGGGATTTGAAGTGATTCGGATTCGATTCACATTTTAATTTGACGTTTAGTTCTTTTTTGTTGTCGTTGTTTGTTTGAGATACCAAGCTCACTACAAGAGCAAAAACGCCGTTGGGAGGATGTGATTCCGATTTTTCTTCCCTTTGTCATTTCCATTGAGCAGAATGTAAGGGTTCTTTGTTACATATTATATTCTTTTAGTTTCGTAATGCTTCAAATACTATGATTATCCCCGAAAATCTTCCATTTTTTCACTTTCGAAAGATGGTCGTTCCATTTATCCTACATTACCTTCAAAATGCCCTTCAGTCATGGTACCTGGCAAAATACACCCTACACCAAAGTTATTTCATCTCATCTTTTCAGTGCACTATGTTTCACATTGAATACATCATCATATCTAGAAATAAGTACATCGTAAATAGCCTAAATTACCCCAGACACGAGCGCAGGGCTGAAGAAGCATTAATATATCCGAAGCTCTACCCTAACACACACACACATCCACCTTGTTCACGTGACCATTCTTCCAAAATCTCTTTCGCACACTTTTCACCCAGCACCGAACTGACCCGTTCCCTCACTGTACTTCCCTCCTTCTCACCGCTCCCTCCAACCCTCACTACCACCGACCGGACCTCCCTTTGTCCGACCCTCTCCCTCCCTCCGGAGCCTCTTCGGACAAAAGGAGGGGAAAAAGGCTCGAATCATGTCTTCCACCGTTCAAGCCACGTTGTGCGCCACATAATCGTCACGACTGGAAACACAGAAAACAGCCCACCTTACCGTAGAGTAAGGGTGAAAACATATATATATGTGTGTAGAGTAGAGTAGATGAACGAAGAAAGCGGGAATCTCTCGCACGTACTTACCGTACATAGGTGCCGAGGTTACCTACTACTATCCTGGTTCATACGTAAACCCGGCATTTCCAGAGTGTTCAAGTATGGAAGGGAAGGGGGAGTTGGGAGAGTTGAGCTCGTTGCGGACTTGGACCATGGAACACGGACTCGGAATGTGGGCATAAGGAAGTGTGGTGCGATAGTGGGATGATGCAAACAAGGGAAACTGCATGGACCGAACCAGTCGTGTGGCGCCTCGTGGTCTTACACGTGGGGATTAGTTATGCGGGGTAGAAAAAAAATACGGGTGAGTTTGGGGTTCTTGCAAGGATTGTGAGCGAGGGAGGGGGGTTGGCTAGTGGGGAAAGAACGGTTTCGTAGTTCTTGATTTCTCTGTCTTGGGAATCTGTCGTAAACAGATCGGAACATCTCCACCTACTACAACTCTCTCCCTCTCTCTATAAATATCTTTCTCGTTTCATTCGTGAATGTAAGCAAACAAAACCAACAAAAGCTACATATATATACGCCTCGAAAAAGACAGCATCCAAGCCCCATCATACCAACATTTCGGTACGATGATCATGATGCTACTTGAAACTTAAAAGCCCTTCCTTTCGCCGCAAAAAATTACAAGGGAGGGGGGGGGCCTACATCCAAATGACCTCAACCCGATCCACATACCACACCTTCCATACCCATCACGATCGCAAATCGAGATCACCAGCAACCCATCCCCCTTTTAGTACCTCCAACAATTACTCTAACTAGAAATTTCCCCCCCAGATGACGCAGCCAACGTCATAACAAACCAGGGGATGTAGCCAGGCGCCATCACGATTGGCAAGTGTGGTACGTACACCTTACTCTGCAAAGGAGATTATCAACCCATTGCGTAAAGAAGGGGCATATTTCCCCCCCAGATAGAGTATTTTATTCCCCCACCCCCCTTTCTTCAGCCTATCAGAATTGTGTTCGCAAGCAAAAAATCGTTTCTACTACATTACACACGCATGCACGCATGCACGCAGGTTTGCGCGCGCGGATCCGCACATTGCATGTTATGCGCCCCCCCCCGTCGCGTTGGTGTGGGCATGTAGGAATAGCGTCAGTTTGCAACATTGGTTTGGGTTTTTGGCAGCACGCGAGTCGTAAGGGAAAAGGCTAGTCTCGAGTCGGAAAAAAAAAAGGCTAGTAACTTATGCATGCAGAGAAGAACGTGTGCGTGGAATGGAGGGGTTGGTGCGGGGCAGGGCAGGCAGAAGACCATCAAGGTGGGAAAACGGGACAAGTATGTATTCATGCAATGTTTGGTTTGTTAAGCGCGATAAAGTAGTGGGCTACGTATACGTACGGGCGTACAGCTACAGTACTTAGCTAGATTAGAAGGACAAGCGCCGTGCAATTAGCGATACCGAAGTTTTGTTTTGCAGCAGTAGTGCGGAGGGCCCTGCAGAAGTCGGGGAAAGTCGGAGGCTGGAGAGGAAGGGATGGCGGTGGGGAACTTTTTTTTTCTCTCTTTCTTGAACACAAATGTTTTTGGTATCAGGCAATAATTTTTATTCTAATGGGGAAATAAGTTCCGACATCGGGGCGCGTCTGTAGTTCTTAGGATTGTTTGAATAAGGCAGCCCTAGAAAACGACTCTTGTCCCTGCACATGCACAGATGACTACAACCATCCTAGCGCAGAAACTCGGCGTTCAAGTAGTCGACAAAAACCTCCTTTATCCTCGCCTTGGAAAAGCTGTGTTGTCGGTTGAGGGTGATGAACTGGCGTCGTATGCGCTGAAGTTGTGGTAGAGTCATTGGCGTTGCAGGCAGTTCAATGGGCTTCTCGACATCTGCTACGGCTATTTGTCCGCCTCCTTCACCGGCGTGATCTTTCTGGTAGACCATTATCTGCGTGAGAATGTCCGACGTTGTCTTGTCAAGTTCGTAGAGGTAGTTTTGTTCGGTCGCTGGTTTCTATCGGACGTCAGATTGGCGCAACGAGAAATACCCAAGACACGCACCAGCACTGTCGCCATGTTGGGCCTGACAGTCTTCATCTTGCCGTCACTGCCAATCATGGCTTCCCATATCTGGTCGCATGGCGGCGTCTCGTCTTCCTCGACCACAATGAACAATGGACTGTCCCAGCGCGTCATGCCATTGGGCTCTTCATATCGGAAGATGAGGTTCTCAAAGACATCCTCTTCGTATCCGCCGTCGGTCTCGTTGTCGGCCAAGAGTTTCTTGTTGTTCTCGCGACATCGGTCGGGCGGCGTACCTACGTGCAGCTCTAGGACTGTTAGCGCATTGACTCGGAAGCGACAATGCTGTACTGACGACGCAGCTGGGGGTCTGCAGGGCTTTGGCCTCGCAGTACAACTGGTAGCGAAAGCCCTTGATGTAGTTCAGGCCATCTGCGATAACGATGTCATCCCGTGACAAGACTCTCTTGACGGCAGAATATTCTTCCGCACGTGCATCCTTTTCGGCTCTGGCCGTACGGTAGACGGAGCGCGGGACGCCGAGGGTCTGGTCGTTGATAAGATGCACCTTCAGGCGGGACGTGCGGGCATCAGGAGGAGCACTGGCAATCTTGGACTCGAAGAAATGCTGAAGTTGTCGGGCTCTGGTGGTTTTGCCCGCAGAAGGGAAACCTTTGGGCGGGTTAGCGAGAGTGGCGGCGGGGGCATGGGATGGAGGGGTGGGAGAGTGGAACCTGAGATTAGGATGAGCTGGCGGGCGTCAGTAATTAGCGAGTCTGGGGAAGGTTGGACGAGGACATACAGGCATGGCGGGCGCAGGGCGAGAGAAATTGGAGCCTACAAGGCGGCGGGCGCATGGCCTAGGGAAGATTGGCGCCTCGAGGCCCTGGCCAGCATCGGCAGATATTGAAGAGTGACGAAATTTACAGGCCGGGCTAGTATCAGACGGTCGGGTTAGTAGACGTAGTGGTGCACATGGATAAGTATGCATGTAATCTGGAACTCCCGAGCCGCGGTCCAAGTCGTCCCCCAGCAAGCGTGGCCCTATCTTTCTCGTCGCCTTCTTTTCTTGCTTCTGCCCCGTCCTGCTGCTTTTTCCTCGCCTGCTGCCGCCCAAGCACTGCGAACAGACGACTACGCACGCACCTACGCTCATTGACTTCTTCTACGCTCGCGCCAAAGATCGCCAGTGCAGGGGTGCATTCAAGGGTCCCCATACGCTACCACGGCTCCACTACTATTTACTTTGTCCCTCCCGCTCGCCTCGGCCGCCGTTGCAACCCATCCACCGCCCTCTCTCTCTCTTGCTCTGCTCTGCTCTGTTGCCTCCTGCCCTGCCCTGCCCAGCTCAGCTTTTCACAATCCTCCAGTCACCAGCAGACCAGCCCAGACCAACCGCAGCAATGTCCAACTACTCGCAGCAATCGTACGGTGCCCAAACCCGGCCTGCCTTCTCTGCCCTCCAGCCGTCCACCAATGCCTCCCCAAGTTACAACAGTGCTGCTGCCTCCAGCATTGCCTCGCGATCCTCGACGGCCTCTGCGCCCCCTGTCTCGCCCTCGACGAGTCCCCAGAACCAAGCCTACTTTGGCTCCCTGAACCAGCAGTCGCAGCAGCAGCAACAGCCTCAGCAGCAACAGCGTCTACAGGCCCAACGACACCCCAGTTTCGAGTACCAGCCCAATAGATCAGGGGCAGGCCACACCGCAGCTGAGACGACAAACTATCTCAACCAGGCTGCGCTGCTCGCCGAGGCTGCAAAACGGGCACAATTGGCTTGCGTCATGCGAGATCTCGACGGCATGGAGCTGTGAGCAGGAAGAGAAGACAGCTGTGAATCACCAAGACCAACACGGGCGATACATTGCTATCCTCGACTTTGGTGCAGCACTTGTCTCCTGGACAATTGCCGGTAAAAGTCGGCCTTGCACCCTGACATACTTCACCTGCTACCCAAACTGAGTGGGTCCGGACAACAGATTCTTCAGATCTCACCAGGCAATCACCCCACCATTTACACCAGACAATGTTTAGGCTAATCCTCCCTGTCTTTTCATTTCCACGATCCAGTCTTTTGGGTCACATTCCACTGTTGGTTACTTTTTTTTCTATGGCGCACTGCTTGGTTTCTTTGGACTTTGTACATATTACTCCACTTGTCGGACCGACTAGTCTTTTCACCTTCCTATTTCCTTACCTTATTTCATAGCTTGGAGTTTACACGGCATGGCGAGTACATACATACATATACGGGAACATGTTCCTTTTCACATGGCGATATCGCTAGATTAGACTGTGCGGGGAACGATCCAATAAGGAAGCAACTGGTCATACTCTAGCATGCATGCAGATACGGGACATAGATCAACGAAGGGCTTATTCCGATATTGTATGCGCCAATGTTTATCTTGCCTACTCACGGACCGAGGCTCATTGTACTTCAACCAGATGTGTGACGTCAAGATCAGGTTGAAATACAAATGCCTGCGAGAACGTCGATGCCTGCTTCTACGCTTTGCGCCAAATCCAAACGCGTGCGACATGCCAGTATGCAGTGCCCAATAGAGGTTCCCGTTGCACCGTCGACCTGAGGTGTTTGAATCTTTAGTTGCGATATAAGGTTTATCCTTGCACCTACATATCAGGCCACTGCCTTGTTCGGGTAACTTGAAGAAGACTAGATGGGAGAGCTGAATTGTAATCCCACAAGCAGAGTTTGGTAAGCCGCTTCAATAAGGGGTCTGGCGCTGCATGTTCCAAGTGGAGACGGATTTTTACATAGCACGGAACGAAGCGCTGGTAGAACATCCAGAGTGTGGGACCCGTTTGGACCCGTGCCGTGTCTGAAAGGTCACGTGTGGGCCCGTCTGTCGATCTTCGCGCTCCTTCCATCTGGAATCCAGGGTCGACCTCACAACCAAACACCGGCGCATAGCCACGATGCCGTCGTCCGACTACGCCACAGCTTCGGGTGGCGCGCTGAAGCTCAAAGGTGCTGGTGTTGATAAGAAAAAGAAGAAAAAGAAGCCCAAGTCGACAACCGACTCTGCCAAATCCGCCGATGGAGACGCTACGAGCATTGCGAAACGGCCGGAAACAGACGACGATGCCCACAGAACACCTTCGGGCACACCCGCTCGCTCACTATCACCCGAGACGGCCGAACGATCGATCAGAGAGGGTGGCGGCAGACAAAAGACGGAGGCTGAGAAGCGACACGACGAGATGCGACGGAAGAGACTGGAAGAGAAGATGAGGAAGGAGGGTGTCAAGACGCACAAGGAGAAGGTCGAGGAGTTGAACAAGTACCTCAGCGGCTTGAGCGAACATCACGACATGCCAAAGATCGGACCTGGCTAACGTACGATGACCGTTCCGTAGTTGCGGTGGTATGTTCAACGACGCGCGATCCTATAGCAGGAGATGGATCCTACAATTCTCGTTCACATCTACAACAACGAACGGACCGTGGTGGGCATGATTGTGGAGACGTCAAAACGTTAACCGGGGATTATGCGCATAAGAAGGTTATGAAAAAAAAAGATGCCAGAGTGTCACTGACAAAGCTTTGAGACTTGATGCTATCAACAAGCCTGGCAAATTGAGGATCTGTCGTCCGTGCGGACAGTGCGCCGATAACAAAGATACCGTGTATGTCACACACTTACAAAGAAATTTCAACCCGAATAAGTGGATTATGCTTCTGCGCCTATGAGACTAAGTACTGTTCTCGATCACTGGTGAACAGACGCCTCGTATTCATGATTGGGTCTAACAGCCGACCTAGTAGAAGACGGTCGGTGCAACAGTGAGCACGCGATAGAGATGGCAAACACTAAACACAAGGGACCCCTGCAAATGGATTCTACTCAAAGCGGCTGTAGTTCTCAATCGGAACACACTCCGGGAGCCATTCTCTCACTACTCTGAGATGCTATTGGATAGACGCGAGTGTTATGCCGTTGGATGTACATATAGTACGGACGTATGTAAATAAGCTGACCATACCTTGCGTTTTTGCCACCGGTAACCCGCGAACGGAGAGGCCATAGCGCTACCACTGTTGGACTGCTGCACTAAGTATTGGAATGGCAAGGCTGGTAAGTGCGGATGGCCTGAACTTCACGACTCGCAACGGCGTATCTCACACTTCGTATCTACGAGATCGAGTTTTGTAAGTAGGTAGCGCGACAGTAAGTAGGTGGCGCGACAGTATCTTGCCAAAGGCCCTTTGCATCGGGCGCGCTTCGGACTCGTTCTCGAGTTTCGAAAGTCTGTGTCCAGTTTGCGCTGAATAGCCTTATCAGAGTTACAGCAGTCAGCGTGTAATCCAGCACGGGGATTGGTAGGCGCGGCAAGATGACCGGGATGTTTAACACTTTAAATTGTTCCAGAAACGCTTCAGAATTGCGACATATTCGATTCGGTCATGGGTTGCAAGCCCGCGATAGTGGCTTGGGTTGTGATGGGCTGGGGTGATAAGTCACCTGCCGAGAGTGCTTAGCGCTCGACAGGTACTTCTTGCTTCGGCGCCAATGAGGCTTGTCTTAATGCCAAGTTTCATGCTTAGCCATTGTTGGTTCTGCCTCGCTTGGCTTGGCTCTCTACAGGGGGGTTGAACGGTTGAACGCGCTCTCCTTGAACAAAGTTTGGGTAACAACAGAGACTGTATGATGAGAGCTGTCAGGTTTGGTGACCAAACGTGATGTCTCCAAAGGTACTATGATGTGAATGAACTCTATCACAATAACCACAACCAGCAGCTACGCGCATTGGGCATACGAAGTTTTACGATGTGGTGTATACCATGCGACACAATTTTACCCCCACCCTTGGCCTGGCTCTTATCAAGCACCCCAGGCCTGTTCCATCCACTCGCTCGGCATAAGGTGCATCGTCACAAGGCGACATCTTGCTCGGTGCCACCGCGCCATTAGCTGGAGAAAGACGCCATCATCCATTTTGGGAGCGGGGTGAGCCGAGACTGCGCGTGTAGGATGCAAGATACCGGCCACCCTGGACTAGCCTGCCTTCTGCGGCTGTACGCCCTGGTCCAGGTCTTTTGCCTGGTTATCGGCTGGAGGCGAGGTACGACCGTCAAAGGGGCAATTAATATAAAACTGAAGCTGGTGCTCCCGTCTGTCTCGTCTGAGGAAACCATCAGCTTCGTTCTTTTGCTTCATCTCGCTGTGCCGTGCTACCTTCGGATTGCTCCTTTGGTAGGCGCCGATTGAACCGCACGCTCCCTTACGAGGCCTTGCATACTCCCATAGGCCTGTGTACATCTATCATCGGCAACGACTGTCAGAAAGCAGTCATCATGTCACTCGACAACGAGAAACAGCACTATACTGTTGGTGGTGAGTCTCCTTCCGACCATGACACAGGACATGTCGGCGAGATAAAAGACAACGCCCTCGCCGAGGCGGCTGGTCTCTATGGATCGGCCCAACAAGCAGAGGATTATGGATATGTCCAGCGTGGCCTCAAGTCTCGTCACATCCAATTCATCGCTTTGGGCGGTACCATTGGTACTGGTCTGTTCCTTGGTATTGGTGGTGCATTCGCTCGCGCTGGTCCCGTCTCTGTTCTCATTGGTTACACTCTCACTGGCCTTGTTGTCTTCGGCATGATGCAGTGTCTCGGCGAGATGGCTACATGGCTTCCTCTTCCCGGTGCTATTCCTCAGTATGCCGCTCGTTATGCGGATCCGGCTCTTGGTTTTGCCGTCGGTTGGAACAACTGGTACAACAGTTCCATTACTCTGTGTGCCGAAATCTCTGCCGCAGCTCTTCTCATCGGCTTTTGGGATCAGGAAGAAAAGTAAGTGCAACGCAGAGTCGTTGATGACAAGTAGATGCTGACTCTACTCTCCAGATACAGTCCAGCCATATGGATCACTATTATCATCGTCATCATCGTACTGCTGAACATCTTCGCTGTCTCGATATACGGAGAGGCCGAGTTCATATTCGCTTCGATTAAGATCATTACCATCCTCGGACTCCTTATTGCTGGTCTCGTCATCATGCTCGGTGGTGGCCCTGACCATGACCGGAGAGGATTCAGATACTGGAAGGAAGGTGCCATGAAGGAATATGTCGGCAAAGGTGACACGGGGCGTTTTCTTGGTCTCTGGTCCACACTCGTCAATGCGGCATTCTCGTACGGTGGTGTGGAGATGGTTGCCGTTGCCGCTGGCGAGGCTGCTAACCCGCGCAAAAATATCCCCAAGGCCGTTCGTCGTGTCTTTTGGCGTATCCTGTTCTTCTACGTCCTTGGAAGTTTCATCATCGGAACAACAGTCAGCTCAAACGACCCCCAGCTCACTGATGCAAACGCCAAGGGCGCTCAGTCTTCGCCATGGGTCATCGCGATGAAGAACGCCGGTATCCCAGTTCTACCCCACATTGTCAATGCTGTCATCTTGACTTCTGCAACCTCGTCTGGCAATGCCTTCCTGTATACCGGCTCCCGATACCTCTTCGGTATCGCTCAGAACAAGCAGGCGCCCCAGTTCCTTCTCAAGTGCAACAAGAGCGGTGTGCCAGTCTACTGCGTCGCCATTACGGCCTCCATCTCTTTGCTTACGTACATGAGTGTGAGTGCTGGCGCCAACAAGGTCTTCACGTGGTTCCAGAACTTGACCACAATTGCCTCGCTCTTCACATGGTGCTCGATTTGCTACACCTTCACCCGTTTCCACAAGGCCTGTCTCGCTCAAAATGTCGACCGCAACACGATGGTCTTCAAGAGCAAGTGGCAACCTTACCTCGCCTGGGTGTCTTTTGCCTACTTTGCGCTCATCATCCTCTTCAACGGCTTCAAGGTCTTCACTGAGAGCCCATGGGGACCTGACCAACTTACCGACTTCTTCACTGCCTATATTGGCATTTTGATCTTCTTCCTCCTCTTCATCTTCTGGAAGGTGTTCAAGCGCACCAAGATGGTGAAGCCAGAGGAGGCAGATCTCTGGAGTGGCAAGGCCGCGCTTGACGCAGAAGTATGGCCTGAGCAGATACCCCGCAATGCTCTTGAGAGGTTTTGGTTCTGGCTTTGTTAGGTGGAAAAAGTTGTTGCTAGTTGGAAATGGTCCAATGAGTATCATACAAGTAGTAGTAAAAACAGTACATACGAAGACATGCGAAGATGCGGCATCGCGACGTGCTACACTGCTATCGGTACGTTTGACAAATGAACAAGTACATAGGGAGAAAACCCCGTTTGACCAAGCATTGGGCGCCTTAACAATCCTGACATGAACGTAAATCTAACGCTACAACGACCGTGGCTGGAAAGTGATCACGTGAGGCTTTGACTAACTCATGAGGCGGGCCGATGAATTTGTCTGCTGAAAGAATTGGTGCTGCATCTGATATTCACGGTTGTGCACGGATTGGCTGCGATTGGCGCATTGACAAAGAGTGCATAGAAACGCGTGCTTCTGCGATATAGTACATGTGACAGTTGGGATGCCGAACGCGTCATAAGTCTGTTTTCTCGTTCTGATGCCTTTGGGCCTTGTGGTTGCCCATGAGCGCAACCACCGTGCTGCCTCATAGAACCCCGATGGGCAGCTACATTGTGGGACACGCATGTCTCCATCGGGGTGCGGGAGCCATGGGGTGCGCGGACGGCTGTAGCCACAATGTTGTCTGCTAGAGCCGCGCACCCCCATGCTCACTCGGTGGGCGATGATGCGTCCCAAAGCCCATTTAGTGCTGGCGGCGGGTTTAAGTCGTCCACCTTCAGGCACCCACGTTTGTCATACTCTGACTTCGTGCAGCTCTCAACTCGTCCACTCTCCAACGGTCAACCAAACGCCCACAGCCCACCAATACCCTGTGCACATCGCTGCTACTCTCCTGGAAAATAACCCGCCTCCGAATTTGACATTCAGTCTCGCCCAAGTCGAGCTATCGACTGACAAACATGGAACTGCGCAGCTAGCAAGAGCAAGGAATCATTGAATCAGAAAAAGTAATGCATGGTATTTTGTGAGCCCAAGCCAAAGGAGTCCGCCTTCACCGCTCTGGTCTTGGCTGTGGTCAAGCAGATACGAGGATCCTGGACCGACATGACGGACCAGATAAACGACGGCAGAGAACAACCCGGCGCGCGCAACGTCTGGTCAATGTCGAACCAACTAGTTAACAGTCCTGATTCGGAGCAATCCAAGAAATCACAATATCAGCCGTTAAACCGCGCTTGCGAAGCTTGTCGCCTTTCCAAAGTCCGATGTCTTGTGAACCCTGACGCAAGCTCATCGAAGTGCCAGCGGTGCGCCAAGGCCAACCGGACCTGCATCTTTGCGCCACCCGTAAAAAGGCGACAGCGGAAAAGAACAGATGTGCGCGTCACGGAGCTAGAGAAAGAAATCCAGCAAATGCGCAGCCTTCTAAAGGCGAAAGCACGTCCGTCCAGCGATGCCAGCGAGCATGAGACGGGAGACGATGAATCGGACGAGCAAGGGCATGCGAGGGACGAGGAGACTCCATCCACTTGGCGAAGGCACTCGAGTATGGGAACAGCAACAACACCCTCAACAGGATTTTGTGGCCTTCCTAAAGCCGCCAACCAAGCACCCCTGCCCGAGCCCACACCCACACCCACACCAACCGCCAGCGCGCCCAAAGAATTTCTAGGGTCGTCTGATAACGATATAATAGATCGCGGCGTCATTTCCGAGGACATGGCCCGCGAATTCTTGAGCATATGGCGCAGGGAGCTGGTCGCGGCTTGTCCAGGCATCACGATTCCCAGACATTGGGACGTTTTCGATCTTCGGGCAAACAAGCCCGCACTTTTCCATGCCATCATGGCGGCTTCTGCCCATTCTAAAGGCTCAGCATTGTCCGACAGACTGCATGAAGAAACTGTGCTCTTGTATGCGCGTTCTGCTTTTGTCAAAGGCGAAAAGTCCGTTCAGGCTATCCAGGCATTGATAGTTACTGTATCGTACTACTCGCCTTCCAAGACACCAGGACAGTTGCAGATATATCAGTGGGTCAACATGGCAGCCTCGATGGCGCTCGAGCTCGGCTTGACGTCGAAGCCGCGAACACATGAACAACTACCCAAGCGTGCCATTCGATCGCTGCAGAAGATCTCTTCGCCAGAGGACCTACTAGAACACTGTCGCACCATTCTACTGCTGTACATTATCAGTGCCGGCTTCTCGATGAGAATGAGGCGGCCTAATATTTTGCTGTTTAACAGCTGGATGGAGGAATGTTTTGGGATTCTTGAAAAGTCAAAATTATTAGATGATAAGAGGATAGTTGCGTGGCTGAGGCTACAGAGAATTGCCGATGAAGCAAACACAGCATTCGGCTTTGATGATGCGAGTACGAGTTTCAGTCTCTCTGAGCTGCGTATGCAAATAATCCTGCGAATCTTCGACCGGAGGATGCAGGATTGGAGGAAATCAATCCCTGACGATGTAATGACATGTGGGTCAGCTGTTGGTTCTTCTGAAGAATATATCTGACTGAGTTATACAGTGAGTCTCGAGTTCGAGTATCACGCAGACATGCTTTCCATGTGGGAGTTTGGCATGGACGGAGGTCGCTTCGACGGTAAGTCATAACTTCCTCCCTTCTCTCCAAGGCAAATGCTAAATTAAAGAATTCAGCCATCGAATTTAGAAACCGGCACGTCACACTCCCAGCCCTTGACGACGACTCCGTGCAACCTGAATCCCTTCTGTCCCGCTCCGCCCTCCAAATCAACGCAACAACGAAATGCATCAGCGCCGCTCAAATAATCCTCGATCTTTTCCTCGCTGTTCCCGAAGACGAACTGCGCAAATCACCAAACGTACTTTACGTCCGCGCCGTCTACTCGATCGTCACGCTCATGAAAGCAGACTACGCCGTGGGCACCGACGAGGAATTGAGCGAGCTACTCGAAGGCCAAAGTCTACGCGTAGGATACTATCTCGATGCCGTAATCCAAAAAACCAGCGACGCAGCTGGCCCGCAGAAATGCCGGAACCCCAGCCACTGGAAATTTATCCTCGAAGAAAAGCTTAAAAGCTGGTGGGATGAGTATCTGGAATGGCGCAAGGAAGGCAGACAATTGAAAAAAAGGAAAACAACATCCACACAGGAGGATAGTGGAGAAACGCAGAACCAGCCTTTAGTAGCATCATTTATGGGACCCAATCTTGACACTGCTACTGCTGCCGCTACTTCTACAAACAACCCATCAGCATCACATATCCCACTCGACCAACAACAGCAAGCACCTCAGCAGCAACAACAACCAGGACAACACCAATCTTCTCAGTTCCCTTTCTCAGACTTCAATCTCTCCTCCACATACCCCACCACCGACGCCACAACAGCCCAATGGTCGACCAACCAAATGACCCTCGACACTACCACGACCGCCACCTCCACACAAACCATGGGCGACCAACCAGGTTTCACAACCGACATGGGCGACTTCTCAGCAGCGTTTCAAAATGGCGATTTGTACCTTTGGAATGATCTGACTGCTGAGAATTTCGGGGGTTGGGTCTCCCAGGGGGGATCGTATGCTGGAATGGGGTTTGGGTATATGGATAGCCAGGGTTTTTGACGAAGAAGAAGAAGAAAAGAGAGAAGGAAGGATAGAAAGTGTATGCATGTATGTATGTGTGCGGAGTTGAAAAAAAAAACAAAAAAACACTACTCATCCGTATGTTTTTTTTGAAACCAAGGAAAATTGACAATAGTTTAAAACAAGTGCAACAACAGGCTCCATGTTTATTGGTTAAAAGCTTTGAATTTATCCATTTCATTTCATCTCATACTTGACATTTATTGAACTTCTCTCTCTCTCTCTCCTTTCTCACATGAACTAACTAATCTCGGATACACCGATTCCAATGCAGTCCACACATTCCCCCCGCCCTCCCCTCCCTTGGCTATTCCCACTCACTTTACGTTCAACTTCGCCAACGCACCTTCAACCCACTCCACCACCTTCTCCAACAATCCCACATCAGCCTTGGCCTGCTCGAGCGCCTCCTGGCCCTCAACAACCAGCGCACCCCCGCCCGCCGCAAGTTCTTTCTGGAACCGCGCTGCAGTCCGCTTGAGCACGTCTAGATAGTGTGTCTGAATGCCATGCGAGGCATCCAACTCTTTGATGCCGAGTGTATCGTGGAGGTGCGGGGCTTGAAGTAAGAGGTAGTAGAAGTTGAGAGCTGCGACGTAGAAGCCGAGGTCCTGGCGGAATTGCAGCCACGAGTCTTCGAGGCTGGTGTCGAGGGCGTAGTGCCGGGTGAGGTCGGGCCAGAGGTAAGGGGCTACGGTGGACAAGGCGACGGGGGTGGCGAAGATGTTTGTGTGATCGGGTTCGTGGGTTTCATCTGAAGAGTGGGGGTGAGGTGCGTTTGCTTCAAGTGTCTCGCCTTTGAGCCAGGATACAGCGCTTGCTTTAAGGTTCTCATATGGGCAGTGCTCGAGTGTATCGCGAATGAAGGTTAAGCGGACGAGATCGTGGGGGTGCGAACGCAAGACAGTGGTTGTGAGGTAATGTGCATGGCCTCGTAAGCTTGGGGAGGGTGAGTTCGCAGAGATAAGTGAGACGGTTTGCAGGTACTGAGCAAATGACTCGTCGTCCTTGGGCTCGCCGACATTGTTTCTTTGCAATGCAATGAGACCCATGGCAAGAACTGTGTCGAGAAGTGCCTCTGGCTCCATGCCAACAGTTTGGGGTCCCAGAGTCCCAATAAAGTTGCCCAGTATCGCTGCGTGTCCTGGGAAGATAGCTACCGACGATGCCTCCTCCTCTTGCTTGGCTGGAGCATAGAGTTCCTGTTTAACGTTTTGTGCGGCGATGAGAATTAGAGCACCAGTTCTCGAAAGCGGAATATCTGCAGCTGTAGCTGGTGGCTCATCCTCGGTGCCGGGAATGCCACGCTTCTCTTCCTCCGAGTCCATCACAGTCCGTACCAACTCGTCATATTTCAGACCTAAATCCTGAGTCAAAGCTACTATTTGGCCCAAGATGGCGGCTCGTGAAGTGAGGTCTTCTTCATTCGCAAACCGGTCTGCATATTTCTGGTAGTTGGGCTTGTTGGGTATTCGCTCCGGTTCATAGCTTTCCATCAGCCTGCTCGCCCATGAAAGACCTGGGACATCATCGTCTGATTTCAAAGATAGCATATAATCTTCAAGGATGTGAGTGAGAAAGGACTGTAGTAGGCGGTTTACTAGGGCGGTTTCTTCGCTGCTTGGTGCATCACTCTGCGCTTCCGGATCTGGCTCCGATTGGTTGGTGTTTACACGCAGAAGATTTCCGCTACTCCGCCTTGATGGCAGATGCGGTCTCTTAGTCCCGGACAGTGTCTTGACAAACTTGACAGCAGATAAAGTGAGATCTTCGATATGGGTGTTGGCCCGATTGTATGCGACCAACACAGCCTGTAAGCTGGTAGAAAGGAAGCGGCTTGGGTATTTGGTTTTGACACGGCGATGTAATGTAGCCAATATATTGAGGAGAGCCTCAAACTTCAGTACCGGAAGGGGAGGGACTGCGACGTGTTGAAAAGCAGGACTTGTGCTTGACTCTCCCACCCCAACCTCGGGTGCTTTAGCCTTGGTAGTGGCCGATGGAGCGCCATGCTCGTCTTCGTCTGTGTCCTCATACGGCTCCTGGAACTGGAGCAACCGAAGCGCCTCTGTGACTTTGAGAATGCACTCTCTAGGATTGCCCTTTGCGGCAATGTCTTGCAAGCATTCCTCAGACAATGGAAGTAGCGGAAGTAACAGGTGGATCAGGTCCCAGCCGATAGTTGCTGTGAGTTCTGCATCTTGGAGGACTTGGTGCAGGACGGGCAAGTTCTCTTCAGAGAGGTTGTATTCAATGATGGTGAGATAGGTAATGGGGTCAGTCACGGGCGGGCGTGAGGCCAGAAGTGGATGCTGGTCTGTCTGAGCGGGATCCTGAGTGTCGGTCATGATTCGTTCTCTTGAATTTCAAGCAGTAGTTCCGGAAAGCAGTTGATGTGAAGGCTTGGGGGCGCTGTAGGGACAATGGAGAAAATGCAAATGTTGGGTCAGGCGGCAAGTGTTCCTGGCCTTGTGTTGCTTCAAGGGCCTGGCCCTGACGCAATGCCAGCCCGCCCACACAGACACACAGCCCACTCAATGCGCGTCCACACGCTAGCCCCGCTGCCGCTCCGCCAAGATGATCGCTCTGCCAAAGTTCACCGCGACACCATTCGCCGACCTCCAAACACCGCACGCCCAATAGCCCGCTATGGACGAGAAAGAAGAGACCAACGAGCCCCTCGACCTTGTGCGCCTCTGCATTGACGAGATTGTCATTCTCAAATTGCGCGGCGACCGCGAACTAAAAGGCAGGCTTCATGTACGTCTCTGCGAAGCTCTGACACTCCGGAGCAGACATATACGCAAGCATGCCCAGCTGACAGTAAGACGCAGGCTTACGATTCCCACTGCAACCTGGTCCTCGGCGACGTCGAGGAAACGATCTATATTGCCGAGGAAGACGATGACGACCAAGAACCCCGCGTGCGGACAGTCAAGAAGCAGAGTGAGATGCTCTTCATAAGAGGTAGGCGAGAGGCGCGGTACTTAACTGTTAATGCAGAGCTAACGTGTAGAAAGGCGACTCGGTAGTCCTGATTGCACCGGCAGAAGGAGCATCGCAATGATCACTCTCTATTCGAACCCAAGTAGAAAACACATAGGTCTGCCACTCACAGAACCTACTGCGGTTGGACTATAGCCAGTCAAGCAATCATCGGCGAGATACCCGAGTGTGGAGATAGCAGGGCACACTGGTTGGCGCAGACGTAAAGTCAGCAACATGCCTAATAGGCACAGCGCTTGCATACCGGGCTCCATGGACTGTCGCACCACACTTGTCAAGCAAAGTCTCTTGGCCAGTCTTGCCGTGCTCAAACAAAGCGAGTGCTAGACCATAGCTCAAAGTCAGACATAATATATCTCTTGCCCCTGTTGTGTGCTTTCGTTAGAACAAAATGTTCGCTCTTCACTGGACATATACTGCTGCGCTTAGTAAACAATGTCAGTAGCATAGTCACAGATTGGCCGGGCGCAGGGTTTAAGGTGCAAACATTAAGTGTTTTTCTTGACTACCTGCCGAGTCCAGATTATGGACCGCCATTTGACAGCAGAAAACGCAGAGAAACCCGAAAGCACACTTGGTGCGATACCCTCTCAAAACTCCTGTGTGCTTTCAGCACCCGCAACCGCCAAGCCCCCTTGAATAGAAGTGTGAGGCAAGAGGAAAAAAAAGAGTAACGAAAGAAGATGACTCCGAAACCGAACATCAACGTGCCGCGGCATGTACAGAATTAAGATAATGCGGGTGGAGTGCTCATAACCTCGTGGCTTCGTCATAGAGCCCAAAAAAACTTTCCAATATAAGAAGATACAGTCGAAGAGAAGTGTGATCGTACGTGTTCAGCGTCCATTCCCGTCCAATGAACGGGAGAAGGTAGCGAACAGCCGGGCCGCCCACAGAGGCAGACCCTAAGAGATGAATGGAAATTTGACGAAAGAACGAAAAGACTTAGGTCGGGTATCCATAAACACCGTACGCCGAATGTCCAGATGAAGATGGGACCAATGTAGAATCCGCCGCCTGCTGAAGTTGACCATGCTCAAGAAAGTCGCCAAAGCGCCGTATGTCGGGGAACAATAAGCAAGAATGAAGAAGATTTCGGTGTTGACCGTGGGGGTGCTGACGTTGACCTGGGCCAGATAGGGGTGCTGACGCTATCGCGCTCTTGACTGTCGGGTGTTGGTTGACAATCTCCGTCAGATGCGCCGTCACACGACCCCTACGAGCCAAGTTAGAACAGTCAGGTCAAGACGACATGGAGACAAGTGTATTCACTTTCGCCTCAAAGTCTGAGTTGCCAGGCTATCCCTAGACATGAGCGGCAGAGAAAAGCCCTTTGAAATCTCTGCCTCGACAAAAATAGAAGCGCGCTTATAACGCTTGTCAGTGTACTTCTCGTACACGGCAGCATGGTGCTTCTGAGGGTTGTCACAGCACTCAAGGATGACAGTTATGAGCTGTCGGAGCTGAGTCAATGTGTACCCAGAGTAATGTACATGCGATTGTGACTAGTATCAGTTAGCATCTTCATTCGCGACAACGCGTACATAGACATACCCAATCACCCTTCTTCAGCATGAAGCGCGCCAAACAGTGAGCACCTGCAGAGAGAAAGCTAGGGGCGCAACCAACAAAGCGCTCATCCATGATGGTAATTTCCAAGAAGTATTTGGACAGGGTACGTGTCTCGAGGTCATAGTCGTCCGCCTTACTTATGCGACGAAGGAAGCTCATCGGGCCAGGCCATCCCAGTTCAAACTGAAGCATACTGAGCATGAATCTCTCAGCCTTCAAGACTTCATCGGCTGTGTAGGCTCCGTCGACCATGTACACAATCTCCTGCACTGATGGGCAGTTAATCTCCTCGTACTTGGCGGCGACGAAGAGCGCAGTCGCACCAACGAGCTGCAGTTTGCCAAGCGAGACAACCTTGCATGAAAGGAAGCGATCGACGTAATTGACAGCAAGGAACAGGGTCTCGGGCAGGAGAGTGAAGCGGTTGTGGACCTGGACGAGCCAGTCCATGAGAACGGACCGCATTGACCATTGGATTTCAGCCTGATGATCCATGTAAGACGCGTTAGGCTTCATGCGCTCTTCGAGAGAGTGCATGTATTCAAAAATCTCCTCGCCATACTCGGCAACCATCGAGGTATCCCACTGCTCGTCCTCGACGTCTTCAGTTGTCCGGTTTGCCTCGACGAATACCCGTGCAGCCTCAAGTTCGCGTTCTGTCTTTGCCGTAATCCGGGGCGCAAGAATCAGGGTAACACCGCCGGTTGTATTGTCGCCGCGCGACCGAAGAGATCTGGCGGTGGTATAACCGTCGGCATCGTAGTAGGTCTCCTCCTCCTCGTCCCAGTACTCTTCGTGTTCGAGGCCGTTGAGGCCATTGGACTTGGCGAGTTCTTCATTTCGCTCTTGCTCCAAGGCGCGTGCCTGCTCTTCGAGCGCATCGAGGTACTCGTACCTATCTTCCGCCTTGTTGTTTGTCTCGGCCTTCTCTTCCTCTTCTGGAATGGTCGCGGGCTGTCCGGACTGTGCTGAGGCACGGTCCACGTTGGGAAATGAAGATGACTGTGCAGGGAGAGGCTGTTGCGAGGTTACGGGGGCGACGGCTGCGTCGATAGCGGCATTTGAGGGCGCCTCTTGGAATACAGCTGTTGATGACTTCTTTGAGAGCGCCTTGCGAACGTTGGTTGTGGATTGTTTGGTGTCGATGCTGACTTGCTTTGGGGCCACAGTTGCGACCTCGGTAACGTCTTTGGAGGCGTGTTCTTTGGAAGAGACGCTTGTCGCTGGTCGTTGTGCTGGTCGTGAAAGGGTACCAGCTTTGACAGTCTCCTTGACAGCAACAGCAGCAGTATCCTTGAGGATCTCAAGAGTCTTCTTTTTGCCTGTTATTTGCATGTCGTCTTTGGCTGCAGGCTGTCGAGTGGTGTTGCTAACATCGCCAAACACAGTGCGTTTGGCTGCTGTAGCCTTGATGCCGCCGGCCTGCACCAGTGTTGATAGGGCTGGTGTTGACTTGTTGCGCGAGTGCAGAGTCTTGCCAGCAGGTAGCTGAGGTACCGCGTTCTCATCGCGTATACGAAGAGCCCTCACGGGGCGTTGTGGCTATGTAAACAATTGGGTTAGCAAAGCTAGAAGAGAAGCAGTCTGGGTGAAGTTCCACATATGTGTGAACGAAGGCCGCTGACATGGCAGCGCGTTCACACCTGGTTCAGTGAATAAAGGTGATGTTCAAGGCGCAGGCTTACCTTTGCATCCATTGTGGTCGGAGGCTATCAGCTGAAGGCAAGATAGTCTCTAGGGTGTATGTTTTGTTGACAGCGACGGTTGCGAGGAAGTGGACGATAGGGGCAGCGGAAGTCGTAGTGCTACAAGTCAGTTGCGCATAAAGAAGCTCTTCATATAAGTTGGCGGCAATGAGATAGGCGGGCCGGCGTTGTCGAGTGGCACGAAGAGTGGTGTTGACAACGGCAACAAGAGCTTGTAAACTTATATGGAGGGTCTGGAGCTATGCGCGTTTGGATTCAATGTTTATTTACTGACTGGTTCGAGCTCCAGACCAGGGATAGCGGCGCTATGCCGGAGCGGCCCTAGTGCCGGCGCACGGCCCGCCCCTGCTGGGTGCCGCCTACAGAAACGTCATTGCCGAGGCGAACGCGGGAACCATCAGGGACATGAAAAACGTTTAATGTCTGCGCTGCCATATTCGTTTGTTGGCAGCATGCGAAATATCATTTGAATTGCTTCGTTACTTGGTGTAAATGTTCTAGTCAATTTTTGAGTCTCCCAGGCACCGATTGCGCCAGCTACGCGTACCCACCACGACCCCTCACTTCTGACGCGCCAAGCCTCAATTAGCTGATTCCAGGACGCGAAATCACGTGCAGTTCCCTGAACTGACGGCCTTTCTCTGAAACACAGTGTTTACCAGTTCAATGGTCAACAACAACATGAGTGCTCACTACCCCACGGCCATGGACGGCCTCGGATGTGGTTGCGACAACTGCGCCGGTCTGGAACCTGCAGAAACGACCCGCTGGCCGGTGCCCACAGCCTATCGATCAGCGCACTGCCACCAAATTTCAAACTGCAGCCTACACTTGCCTTTGGTGCGGCCCCGTTGCTCCAGAGAATAAGCAAGCACGTTTTGCGTTTGGCAGACGGTGAAAGGCATGCGTCCCGCATGTTGTTGGGCGCATGTTTCCTTTACTTTGTCCCCGCCGCAGCCACTCAAGGCCGAGAGCTTCACCGACAAAGTGATGTGGACCGATGGCATCCGTAGCGAGATCGCATGGAGCCAACGATGCGCACAACGTCTTTTCGAAAGGTCTGCGACGTGGATCCCTACCAAAACTTCGTTGCGCCAAAAGCGGGAGCCCTACAGTTGTTCATTGACCCCTCATTAGTTTAGAGCGGCCGTCCGAGCTTTTGGCCACGGATTTGCGAAGTCGCATGCCGCGCTACGCAGGTGCTTCCGCCATGATCGCTCGGGCACATGCAGGGTCGGGAATTTTGGCAACAGAGATAACAAACGGCAGCGCAGTGCTTTGGACAGGTCCTTGTGCTCGGAAGCGGGTGCGACGACTATGCGCGGGCTGATTACGGGATCTCGCGCTACTAGTTGTATCGTCATACTATTGTGTGGGTCGGAGATCATCAGTCGATTTTGGGAACAGACGTAGACATAATTCTAGGGTCGCGTAATTCACAAGTCGCACGAGCCTTTGTAGCTGCTGGCGGCGACTCATTCAGGGACAATTGCCTACCAAATGGCTCTAGACAAGCAGGTGTGTGTGGCATTGATTGTCGCATGGCGATCTCTCCAATAGACGCCCGGCAACAGCTGGCAACGAATCCACAGCGCTTCACCCACAGCGGGGACCGACACCCTTCTCTAGCATTCCAACCATAATTCTGTGCAAGAGGCGACCCAGAGTACACCATTGCTGGACCCCAAAGGGCTCAGTGTAGCGCCCGAGGATATCAGGGTGCTGAAGTTGAGCCGGTCCTTTATTCACATGGAACAGACGCCTGTATACAAGCCAACAACGCAGCGTATCGGCCTGCTGGCCATATACCATGCCATCTAGTGTCTGGCAGCAGGAAGACGTTGCCCTAAGTGCTCTGGCATCCCACAAGCGACTGACTTGTCCTGTGGCATGCACTCTAGGATCATGTCGCGATTGGGCGCATAGCTGGCGCCGGGGAGGGGGGGGGGGGCATCTTATGTTTCGCCCTCGACAGACAGGCTCTAGATAGGACCAAGACAGATGATGTGTTAATCCGTTTCAATGCGGTCGTAGCCCACTTGCGTGGCTAAGGGTGGCCTGTCATCCCTAGTAGTGTATATACTAGTCACCAACTGAGGCGCAATCGCATATGCTTTGGAGGGGAGTATGCGCTGTGCTTTTGATGCCATTTTGCTCCTACGAGTTGTATTCTAAAAAGCTTTTATTGCAAAGGCGACCGTCAATTTGTGGTTTGAGGCGCGTCTGGAAAGTGCGTCGTGACCTTTGAGCGGTCCTAGTCGGGGTGGTCCTTAAGTGCTTCGCTTCGGTGCCATTGCTCAACCCACCTCCAACGCATCTCGGTGGCAGTCCACAACCACCACCTTCTCGTAAGTCTCCAACCTTCTCATCAAGCATCTCATTCATCTGGGCTCGCGATCTGGCATCCAGATCGCTCCAATCTTGGTCTGCGCATTCCGGCCGCTGACCTGACGCTGCCATCCAGCGGCGACACACGGGATCGCATCGAAGCGTCTCCACTACCTTTCTGCGCTCCTTGAACCCACTGCCGGTATGTATAGCTCCTCATGGCGCCTTGCGACCAGGTTGGCATCTACACCTCGTCGCGACGCGGCCCCTGGGCCTCTCGCGCTATCCTCCCTGGAGACCGTCACTGGGCAGCGGTGACGACCCCCCAACGGCCTCCAGCCCGACACACACTCTACAGAACAGGACAACGCCCATTTCGGATGCCATCAAAGCGAAAAAAGAACCGTCGGCTAACACCATACTATCCAGACACCGCGCCTACTTATCCTTCCACGACCGCCCATTCATCCCAAGCTCTTGCGACACCGGCAGGCTTGGTGCGCCCCCTACCACACACACATACAACCAAACCTCTCATTCTAGAGGCTTTGGAATACGCGGATAACACAAGGATCATTGGTAATGCAAGTTTCCAACATGCTTGCTGAGCCTCGGATTGCTGGCGCACAACGCTTCCCTGAGGTCGAAGACCTCATAGCGGGTCGACATCACGAGGCCATGCACTCGGCGGCTGGCTACGACATGGCGCCCCAGAGGGAAGACGCGAGCATGATGGACGTCTACCCAAGCACTGAGACTGGTTCGGCGCATGACTCCCTGTCGCCCACCAAGCAGATGCCCAAGAAGCACGTCAGCTTCGAGCTGCTACTCCCCCAATCCCCAGCCCACAAAGCACGACTACCAATGCGGGTAGACATCTACCCACACGATACAACAGACTCCATCATTACAACAGTGAAGAACTTCTACGGCCTGTATGAGCGCCGTGGTGTCATCTTCGAAGACCGCCACGGCAATACGCTCATCGCGCGGTTCGAGAACTTCGAACATGGCATGACTGTCTATGTCCGAGTCTCTCCAGAAAGCCTGGATGCAGATGAGTACTCTCCTGATCCTCGACAGACGACTGTCTCACCCCGCCGCCCTCGCCCTCACCTTGAGGAGGCCTTCCAGATGCTCCCGCCTCACCAGCACAATCAAACAGGCACAAGAGCGGGGTCTCGCCATGCTCGCCAAAGCCATTCTCCACACCCAAGTCGTGGCCGCAGAAGTGCTTCAATCAGCAAGCGCATGCGCCCCTCCACAAAGAGCCGCGGAAACAGCTCACATGACAGCTTCGCTGAGGCGAATGGCGACGACTACAGCGACAGCGAGGGCGAGCATGGCTCAGTTACCAGCTCGCGCCGCTCGAGAAAGGAGCCACTCGCCAGTGCTGAGATCAGTGTCGACAATATTGTCGAAGGTGGGCGTCGAAAGCGTGCAAAGTTTGACAGCTCGGTAAGTACCTTGGATAGGAGAGTGCATCGTGCAATAGTCTGACACCCATCCCTTCCATAGGAGCTGCCACTTTTCGTCCCCCCCCAGGTACCCATGACCACTTCTTTGTCATCCGCATCTCCTCAGCGACGCATCAGTGGTAATACTGCTGGCTCGCCATACTCTGTCAACCAGCAGACATTCTCATACTCACACCCGCTGCCATCACCGCAAAGCTATGGTCAAGGTGACAGTTCGTACATGCAAGGATTGGTCACGCCCTACTCGGCATCGAGTGGTCCGGCGCAGGGTAACAAGTCTCGTGCGCGGGGCTCGGGACAGCATTCTTACTACCGCTACTCTGGCAGTAGTGGAATGCTCCCCACGCCTGATACCACTCTTACAAGCATCAGTGTCATCTCTGATGAAGATGTTGCTCGTCAGCTCATGCGTTTGGGCGATGCGTCCAACTTTTCTACTCATGGTCGTACCTCGACTTCAACGCTTGATGATGCCTTCAGCGGAAAGGCTGACGCAGCATCTTCGAGTGACGAGAGTGCTGATGGCAGTGAGGACGAGGCCGAGCTGCCACCCCTCCCATACAACATGTCTCGTGGACTTCATGATATGACTCGTGTCTACGATGACGCCGACAGCAGTGGCGAGGACTATGAGGACGAACGAGACGGCTCCTTCAAGGGCGTCAGTGATGAGATGATGGCGGATGAGCACAACAATCAGCGCGTGCAGGCAGGTATCATCAAAGCTCGTTCCATTTCGAGCAAGTCTGGCAAGCCTAGCAAGTCTCGAGCCATGTCTAAGAGCAAGAGCAAGACGAATGGTATCAACAAGGCTGCCCCCATGTCGCCATCATCTCTTCCATCGCAGTCACGCAAAGCCTCGAATGCATCAATCAATTTCCAGCATCAGCTCGCTGTTGACGAGGAGGATCTCTCAAGCAAGCCGCGGTGCCAACGCTGCCGCAAGAGTAAGAAGGGCTGTGATCGCCAGCGCCCCTGCCAGCGCTGCAAAGACGCTGGCATTGGTGCCGACGGATGCGTCAGTGAAGACGAAGGCAACGGCCGGAAGGGCCGCTATGGACGCCACATGGGCGTCTCCGTCAAGAAGAATTCGGCCCCATCTGCAGTCTCAATGGCGCCGCCGCCAGCATACGAGTACAACATGGCTGTGGATGGCCCCCATGTTTTAAGCACGTCACTGGACAAGAGCAAGAAGCGCAAGAGGTAGACACTATCTTGCGAAGATCAGTCTGTTGATCTATAAAACCCAAGCAAAGATTGCTTGCTACCAATCCTTACATTCCACGTTGTGCCACTTTGTGGTGCTACTCCCAACATATTGTCATTACTGTATCCTACAGCACCCCCACTCTTTTTTTCTTCTTGTCCGTCTCTGGTGTTTTGGATAGCGAGTGTTTGCACTGTCTGGTTGGGTGGTATTCTTAGCGCCATCCCGTTCCGCTCCTTCTCAGCAAGTCAAAAAGTGTCTTTTTGCGCACTGCGTGTACAGTTGGGCGTCGATGGAGAGAGGCGGGACTGGAGATTGTCACGGTGTTACAGGGCTAGATTGTACTGGACCGATGGGAGGCACTGGTTGGGTAGAGGATTTGGGCTGGCTGGGGGAATGGGTTTGTTTTGACTGTCCATACTGGTTCGCTTTGGCGAATGTTCTCCTACATACTACTTGATAACGTTGTTTGACAAAGTAGCGTCATTTGTCAATTATATTCAATGGAGCTCTTAGAAACAAAGTGGATCAAGTCCATCGGTACATGTGCGGCACATGGCGAAGATTTGTTTTGGGTCACACTGCATCGGTGCATCTACCCTGGAAACGTCACGCCTCATGAGCGCATGCTACAAGCACATGGTTGCTGCGACGACCAAGGTGCCTTTGCTGTCAGCCTGATACCCAAGGGCAACGTCGGGCCATGGCTGACCAAGACAGCGTCAGACTGCTGCCAGCCTTGTGCTTGGACGGACAGACAGGAACGGGCCCAGGGGGACGAGGCATGAGGAGTGAGTTACTACAGGGATCAGCGGGAGCTAGTAGGGTCGGAGGCTGTGCTGCCTGCAATCAATACCACTAGCCATCCGTACGTAAGGCGTTCTCCTGTCACTCGTATTGTGCGTCCAGCCGCCCAGTCACTCGTTTGTGCTATAATCCCTCTCTCCCGTCTACCTTTTACCTGCTCTGTTGCGCCGAGTTTTCCCAACCAAGTTGCGCAGCCACGCGGCAAGGCGACGGTTCACGATTGAGTGCTGCTCAATCAATCGACTCTTCGTCACCAGCCACAGCTAAACCGGTTCCGCTCCGGCCAACCCCACAGAACGCGAGCGCCATGGCCGAGGGCTCCATCAAGTCGCGGATCGCAGCACTGAACCTTGAAGAGGTCCATACACCTGTTCCCGGTGCGAAGCCGTCCTATGTCTTCGATGCAGCCACCACCAAGAAGAAGGCGCCTCCTCCTCCCCCACCCAGCGCGCGGCCACCAGCCTACTCACGCCAGACGGTCAACAACCCGCCAGTCCTCAGCAATGCGCCCACGTCTGCGCGACAACTCGGCAACCAGCCTGCAGTAGCAAACGAGACTGCAAGCCCAAAGGTCTCCCCTGCACTGCCTCCCCGGCTGCCCCCGCGCAATGGCAGCACGCCTCGACAGACGCCAACACTACCTCCTCGCAAGTCCTCCGAGTCGAGCGTACGGAGGCGCGAGTCTTCCGACTCTATTTCTACAATCGCTTCCAGTGTTTCGACCTTGTCATTGGGCTCGGTGAAGACATATGGCGCCTCACACAGTAATGGAAGCACTGGCACGCTGCACAAAGTCAGGGCTCCTGCATTCGACCCAACGAAACTGCCCCCACTGCCACCAAAAAGGACTTCCGAAGACTCTAAGCAGAGCAACACCATTCTGAATGCAATGAAAAGTAAACGTGATTATGTTCCCGCGCGAGCCCTCCCGCCGCAGGTCAAGACTCCAGGTAAGCATAGTAGACCAGCAAGCAGACATGAGCGTGTGCACGCATGCTGTCCATGAGTTGCAAGTGAGCCATTGGCAGATCATACCACAAAACATCGATAGATACATCAAGTAGGAAAGATGCTGACTGTAATTGTACGTAGACGTACCAGCCCGCCCACCTTTGCCTGCCCGACAATCAATCCTTCGCGAACGATCACCTCAGCCCGCCCCAGTCCTGCCACAGAGGCAGGCGTCCAACGATGCGCCGCGAGCAAACAGAGCGGTTGCGCCGCCACCACCACAACGTCCTCCCCAGCGATCTGCATTGGAAATGGGTTTCAACAATAAGGCGCCTTCTCCTCCCCCCGTGCCCTCAACCCGACCACCGGCAGTCACATCCAAGTCTACGCCCCCACCAAAAGTACCCCCGCCTATCCCAATGTCTTCCAGACCCAATCTGGAGGCGATCATGGCCTCGAAGCCGAAGCCAGGTGCTGTTGGGGGCTGCCTGAAATGTCGGGACTTCTCTGCTCCGGACAATCATGCTGCGCAGTTTCCACGCACCCAACTCCCTTCCTCTGATGTTGGCTGGCTAGCTCATCAACTCTGCTCCCAATTTCCTTCGCCAACCGATAAAGCACGGGTCATTTTCACCTGGCTACACCACAACGTTGACTATGACGTCCACTCGTTCTTCAACGGTACTGTTTCCCCAACTACTCCAGAGAAGACCATCGCCTCTGGCCTCGCAGTGTGTGAGGGCTATGCTGGCCTATTCGCTGCTCTGGCTCTAAAAGCAGGTCTCGAGGCCATAGTCTGTTCTGGCGCCTGCAAGGGTTTCGGCTATACACCACTAGAGCCTGGACAGGCCGTACCACCCTATGAATCCACGCATGCTTGGAACGCTGTGAAGATCGACAACGGAGAATGGAAGCTTGTTGACCCATGCTGGGGAGCTGGACATATTGGTTGCCAGATGCGTGGCGAAGGGTACGTTTCCTGAGCAGTGACTTCACTTGGTAATTTACTGACTTGGCTATAGGTATGTAAGGTCATTCAATGCGCGCCAGTTCACTATGGATAACGACGAATTTGGGTTGCGACACTTCCCTGGGGACTCTTCTCAACAATTGCGCAATGATGGGCGCATCATCTCCTATGAAGAATTCATGCGAGATGATCAAGGCGGCCGCGTACAGGTATATGGCGACGCTTTTAAGGAGCACGGCTTGGGCGAGCGAACATTTGAGCCTTCGCAAGCACAGATCAAAGCCAACGACCCCTATGCACCAGCAGTGATTCGATTTCAGTTCTCGACCGTCTGCCCCCACTGGGACAATGCGCGCCATGGCAAAGGACCGCCTTATATCATGCTCCTGAGCATTGCGGGAAGAGATGGCCGCAAGCCAGATTACAAGCCGTTCAATACAGACGGGCATACTTGGTGGCTCGACGTTCCTCGGGTCGAGCTCGGTGTACCAGGTCAAAAGATTGCAGTCAATGCGATCACCGAATTTAATGGTCAAGACGCTCGGGGCATGAGCATTGATACATGGAACAATAAGCAAGGGTACTCGTGTAAGTTTGGTGGTGTAGCCGCATGGGAGCTTATTTAGGGTTCAGGGACATGCCCTGCCGGCTCACATTGTTGATGCTGAAAACAACGCGGACTTGATAAGGATCTGAAGACACAAGAGTAATGAGAGAGGTGGGGAAAAGGCGTGTGGATACCCTGGATTTGATTTGGACTTGGCGAATGGCATGAGCTTAATAATCCTTTTGGAATCCTAAAATAACAACGTTGGCTGCATTTGCAACCGGATCGCCGTGCACTGCATATGTTTATATTAGGGCTACTACATTTGCCACATGTGAAGACGTGCCATCTTACGTCAGCAACCGTTTGGGTGGCTTCCCTGTGGCTGAATTAGCGGCTTAGCCCGATCGGCGAAACAGTGAAGTCGGGTAGGAAAGTAGGAACAACGGCAGTGCATGCGCGCGACTTGTACCCTCCACCTCCACCCTTCCAATCCGGGGGTCGCCCTCTTGTCAATACGCCCTAGAAGCCCCTTCGAGGTTCTCGACGCTCACATCCCGCCCGATAGGCTCACGTCACTGGAACGCATCAGTGCTCGATCGCTGTGCTTTGCGAAGTTCCGCTTCGTTTAGCAACCACCCAAGGCAGAACTTTGGGACAGCCTCGTGCGTCCCATTTGCAACCATGGCTACGGGCTTTGTCGGACTCTCGGTCGCAGTGACGCTTCGGAATCCTCCTGGGGCTGTCTTGCTAGGTGTCGTGAGCGGTGTTGACCAGCAGACGGCCACCTTGACTCTCCATGATGGTATGTTTACAAACCGCTTGTAGTCGCGGCAGACATACTCACCCTTGACAGTGTTCTTCCCAAGCTCCGGCCATCGTCTTCCTTCATACACCGTCGAAGGGCATATGATTGCTGATATCAAGGTCAATGCCTCTGCGCCCGCTCCTCCGCAACCTCCACAGCCGCCATCCGAACCCCCGACATACGCGCAATACCCCCAGAGCCATGTCCAAAATGTCCGAGCAAATGCTGCCCAGGAAATGCCGCACCTTGTCAGCCAGCCATCATCCATACCGCACGATGACCATTCCATGAATGCACGCAACGGCTCACGCCAGTCTATTTCCCACTCGGTCCAGGCTGCGCCATTCGTCGATCCTGCGATCCTGAGTATGGGGAAGCGCACCAATACTACAATCTCTTCGAGTCAGCTTGCTGCAGCACCACCCCAGGAAGCTCCCGCCACACCAATCACGGCTGTGGTTGGCGCGAGCGCTGCGCCTCTGCCCAAACCCACGTCTTCGTCTATCAGTCAGGTGAAGCATCAAAATGTTCGGAAGCCAAGCGCAGCAACACTGGAAGGGCCTTTCTCGTCGCTGGACATTGCAGATGCGGAAGAAGCAGATAATGAGACAAGGACTGCCAGAATCGCGCCGCGTAGAGCAAGCATCAGCAAGACAAGAACAGGCAAGCCTATGGATGATGTGAGCCCTCAGAAGAACGATGACGGTGGTAAGAAGACTCGGAGGGGAGGCAAGTCTCGTAAGAAGGAAGTTGCGGCTCAAGAGAGAAAGAACGGGGTTGACTTCCAATCTGCTGGTGGCATCAAGAAAAGGTATGTGCGCTTCTTTGATACAGAGGTGGCAACTCGATTACCGGACCTACATAAGCTAACTAGCAATAGCAAAGGCAATGGTTGGAGGAATACGCCCATGCTACAGGCTGCCGAGGAACCACAGACCAGGACACCTGGGGTTATTGGTGGGAGGGTTGGTATCGCAGCAGCGAACGCCTCGAATCGTAAGACGAAACGGCAGCAAGCTCTTAATGCTACCAACGGTTGGGCTACCGAGGACGCGACCGACATCCAAGACCTGCCCGACTTCGATTTCCAGAGTAATCTCTCCAAGTTCGACAAGCGCACTGTATTCAATCAGATTAGGAATGAAGATACAACAGCAGACGAGGATCGCCTAGTCAGCTTCAACCGTCTAGCGAGGCCTGGAACACATGGTGGAAAAAACTTGCATCCTTCAGAAAATGTGCTGGATCGAAAGCTGAAAAGCACAACCAACACAAGTTCTGAAGAGGAATCGGATTTTGGCAGCGGACGAAACTCCAGGCGGGCAATGTCAAGAGCTTCTATCAAACGAGCACCCACACGACAAGGCAGCAGTGTTCAAGCCGACATGGACGTAATGGGCTCAGGGGTGCTTCCACGAGGTAACCGTTCATTCATCAATCGGCCCTATGCTTCCTCACACGCCACTGGTAGTCCCAGGCCTGGCCGCACCGCTACGCCTCCAGACTCACCCGCTGAGTCTAATGCAGCAAAAGGTTGTCTGCGTCTGGTCCCGAATAACCGCAAATGCTTTGCTATCACACCAGGAGGCATGTTGGCGGTTGAAGAGACTGCCGAAGTAGAGTTTGGTCTGACTGAAGAGCTTATTGCAGAAAATTCAGGAAGAGGTATTGCTGAAGTCGCCCTCACAGCGATCAATCCCGGTGGTAGAAGACTGGCGCGCGACAATCCTAATGCCAATCCTGTCATAGTCGTTCTCGCAGGCAATCACCGTGGTGGAGCACGAGCCATAGCAGCAGCACGACAGCTCGCTCAGCGTGGACCAAAGGTCATGGTTGCACTTCTTGGTTTCGAGCGCAATGCCGATTGGGATAAGGACATACGGCGGCAAGTTGATATGTTCCGAAAATTCGGTGGTTCAGTTCGTGCATGGAAAGATACTGAAGAAGCTCTCAAGCGCCTACAAGCACCACCTGAACTGATTATCGACGCTTTACTCGGTCGCCACAAGGAATTTGAGGCTCTGGGCGACGAAGATCAGCGCGTTGTCCTGAGTATCGTAGGCTGGGCGAACAAGTCCCGCGCTGCCTGTCTAGCCGTGGAAACCCCATCAGGTGTGGGTGGATCCACTGGTGAAGTATCCATCCTCGAAGGCGAGCCTCTCGAAGTCCGTGCAAAGTATATTGTTTGTCTTGGTGCACCACGAACGGGGCTGTTGAAGGCGCTCCAGCACGGTGCTGGACGCGATCCGAAATGGCTCATCTGGATCGTGGACATTGGTGTAAACAAGCCCTGGCGTAATGCTGGTATCAGTGGTGGCAAGGGGATCAAGTTTGGCGAGCATTGGGTTGTCCAGGCGAGGTTCGAAGAAGGGGCGGCAGCAGAAGGTGTTGCGAGGGTTTAGAAGCGAGCAAAGTGGAAATGACATTGTCCGCCTTAAGCAACCGCCCTCGGGTCACCGGACTATGCATTGCGCGGGCGCTTTTTCTGTCTTTTGGTCAGCTCGGGTGGCGTTAGTTCGCTTCTTTGTTACCTGCTTGGTTTGTCATTAGAGGGTCCAGGAAAGGGGTGTCAAAAAATATTTGGCCTGTATTGGGGCTTGTATAACAATTTGCTGACGGAGGGCCACGTAGGTGTGCCTCAAGTAGAATGCAATAATTCAAGACATAAAGATTGAGCGAGACTAGGTTTTTTGTCTTGACTGGTGTTTGAACTTTGACACGACAAAATGAATTAATATCGTGTTTTGATGCTATACATTACTTGATTTTCTAATCTCTTGGAAATCATCAACACTTGGCTAACTCCCCATGCGAGAGAGCTCTCTAACACACCACTGCACACTGCCTATTCCATACGCAACACGTCTTTCTTGACCCCCTTCATAGATTTTCCAACCACCAGAATCGATTTCGTAGCTCTCATACTCTGAGCCCCTTTGCTCATACAGCAGCTACGGAAATATCTCTAAATGAGTGCTCACCACTTGACAAGTTCGGTCTCCTTGGCTTTGGGCCTAGCTTGGGTAAAAATGACACTGCTTGCTGCTGGATGGCAGACTTCCAGTGGCCATCCATATGTAGGGCTTGAGTCGCGCTAGCCCCATCCATCTCAGAAAGACAGTGTTTTGAATATGTCTTCAGCCCTGGTAAGCAAACGTGGAAGCACCTGCGCGCAGTCCGGAGTGAAGACAAGACAAATAGTCGAATGCAAATTACAAATGCGATCCAGCATTTTTCCACGCTCGGCTTTCTTCAAGTCCAGTAACAAAGCTACAAACTCTCTGCACCAAATCTTCAACAACATGTTCGGGGTCGTCTTCGAGATTATGGTGCGCACCAGGGATAACACCACCATCCACATCATCGACAATGCGGCCTCTTCCCCGCATTATCTTCGTCCATCGCTCTAGTAATGCCTCTCTATCGACCGAAGCAGGGATGTATGGGTCCTCAGAGCCGAGTAAGAAGCATACTGGTGTGGTTCTGGGAATCCTGCCAAAGGTCTTGGTAAGCTGCTCGTCTGAAAGATCACTGGAGAAGTAATCGTCGTCGCCGCCCTTTGCAAGCAGCGAATACGCGCGGTATGCGCTGAGGGGTCCTCCCATCTCTTTCAATACGACATTGTCCTCTGTTGACAAAATCTCTTTTCCCTTGCCTGCATCGATCAATTCTTTAGTTTGCTTAATAGCTTGCTCCAACGCCTCCTTTTTCTCTCCTTCCTTTGCGAAATCTTCCCATGCCTCACGGTCGCTGACTCCACCCTGGAGAATAACACCATCGAGTGCCTCGCGCTTCTCTTTTCCCTTTCCGACAAGATACTCCATTATATCTTGACACCCGGTCGAATGACCCATGACAACAATCTTCTTGCCTGGTCGCAACTGCTTGAAATACGAGACACATTCCGCCAGCTCGCGGGCGTCGCGCGAGAGAGAGCTAGTGCCCCAGCCGCGGTAAGATGAGCCGAGCAGAACCTCTGCTATGACCCAATTATCCGGAAGCGATTTCGCGATTTCGGATGGATAAGGGACGGTGAGAAGGCCGTCGCCCAGACCACCTACCCAGAGAATGGTATTTGGCGCATCAGCAAACGGATTAAGGTATGAGTGCTCGAATGCAACTCGGCGTTTGGAGTACTTGTGTGCGGTACCAGGATATGCCATTGCGACAGGAGTAGTGGTAGTGGTAGTTATCGATGACGACAATGGCGGTGACGACGACGACGACGACGACATGATGGGGGCGCGTACCAGCACTCCTATATAACAAAGAACAAGGATTTCACTCAAGTCAGGGAACAGACAATAATAGCACCCACAAAAAAATCCGAACTTCTCGCCCAGCAAGTGGCGTTACGGTAAACAGGACAGACGAGTTTTGTATCGGGTGGCTTTTTTTGTCCCCTTCCCCAAATCCGATTTAAAGCACAAAAAAAACTCCACCTTATCCGCGTGACCACCCAAGGAACATGAAGGAAAAGGACCCGCGATTTCCTGTTCCCCTCAATTAATTGGGAAAGTGGGGAATTCATTCCGCAAGGGTCCTTGGGAAAAGGGAAAAAAACGCCCTAATCACGATTCGGGCGGGGTAACAAGCCGGTTTCCTAACGAAGAAGAGGTATGTAGAGCTGAAAATCAATTTCAGTTACTACTAGTAGCGCTACTTGGAAATACACTAGCTGGTATTCACGACACGCGACCGAATAAAAGCGCCCTTTCCCTTCTCTCACGCGCGTAGCTATGAAGCGCCACACGCCCCCCCTTCGGGACCCATGACTTGTTTTTGCTAATTCACCGGATGTCAGGGCTCATAGTTACATATTTCACTTTACTTTACCCACTGAAGCTCCCCCCAGATTCCTTTCCAGTGGGATGAAAAAAACAATAGCGCCAACCATCCTACGCTATGTCCTACTATTCCTCGAAAAGACACGTCATAAGGCCCCATGTTTTCGCTTTCCGCAACGGGATCATGTCTCTCTACTTACAGCCTCACTCCCCAGAAACATTCTCCCACAAACCCCCCTTTTTTTAGTTGTACTGATTTAAACTCCTTCTGGAAACAAAGGGCGTGGCTGATACGCGAAGGTCTAGAAGTGCCCCATGATGGGGGGCGCCGGGCCTTATTTTGTTTGCACACACACACTTGCGGGGGGAGGTTTGTTTACTACTAGTAGTTTACCCGAAAGTTTATTTTGGAGAGGGTTTTTCTTGAAAGGGGGGATTAGCGAACGGACTGCCCGCGCTTGCCAGCCTCGCCGTGGAGAGAAAGGCAGTTGCTGATCGGGCTTTGTTGTGATGGAAAGATGATTGCGTGGGGTGGATGCAAAGTAACCGAGGTTGATTGTTAGTAGTAGGACTGGGGGGAAACAAGAGTGTTTTTTGCAACCGTCACAAACGGGTGTTCTCGGGATTTGGTTAGTATGGTAGACATGTGGGTTTCCCTGAATGTCTTGTATTCTGTTGCTTTAGCCACATGCGCGGTGCTATACTATTTGTTGTTTAATACTCGCGACTCTTGACTGCGTGTCGTGATGTTGGCATCGGTAAGAGGAAGACTGCCTTGCCATTCCTCATATACCACCATTCTTCTGGCTCGATGCTTCTGGACAAGGGTCCATTCGGATTAAGCCCTGGATACGACATATCTGCTGAGCTTTTTTTTTTTCGAAAACTTGCGGCCTGGAGACTACTGCTTCACGGCTTAAAACGCCCCAAAAACAGGCCATTTGCAGACAAGTCAGGGACACGGGTTCAAAGATATTAATGCAAACTAATAGATACGAAGCAGCCCCGATTTGTCTTGTTTACACTAGCAAAGGCGCTTCTGTACTCAGAAATCGAAGGGCAGTCTTCAATAGCGCTACGTAGTCCCGCTAGTCCAGTCCCTTGCATTCAGCTGCCAGCACTAGAGTCAATACCCGAGACACTGAACCATCGAACCATCCAGCCCGCACAAAAAAAAGTCCCACACCTCCCTTGACGCCACATCATACACAACTGACGTTGAATTGTACGTTTTCTCAGGTGCCTAATGACTCATGAGGGTCTGGTGGAGATGAACTACACGACCTTTAGTTGCAGCCGGTGTCAGATAGCTCCAGTATCAAGAAGTGCCGGTTTTCCTGCTCGGTAGATGCGCCCTCCAGATTGGGTCGCCCTCCCGTTTGACCTGGCCTAGCCTTCGGTCAACTTCCACGACAACTTCATGGAACGGGATCCTTCTCTTGATGCTGAATGTTGTTTGACAAGTGCTACATTCAATGCTAACGCGCTTTGCGAAGCGACCTTCCATCATGATCTCCTGGCGGTCTCCAATCATGCGCTCGATTACTTCTGTATCACAAGCAGTCATGTGGGGACAAATCTTGAGGTCTAGGAGAGCCAGTGCATCTTTCGTCTGTTGAACCGAGACAGGCACAGCCCAGGGTACCATTAGGAGCAGAAACTTTGATCGAAACGCAATTGTTTGCGTTTCGGGAACAAGAGATAGTGTGGGAGGGTATAAACATCGACCTGGACCGCGTCTTTGATGCGGAAGCTCGTAGCACTCGAGGCAATGGAAAAAGTCACCATATCTGTTCTGACGCGCTTTTTTCGCATTCTTTCGCAACAGTGTAGTCATTCCCAAGTAGGTAAACTCGTTGTGTGGACACACGGAAAAGGGGCCGTCGGTTGCTCGGAAGCATTTGCGAAACTGTCGTGGTTGTGCTATGGTGTCCTCTGGAAACCTAAAAGACCCATGCGGCAGACGGCACTCTACACAGAATATCATACCAATTCTACGTCCTATCCAGTTGTGGGGACCGCCGCCGTGGCCATAGAAATGGTCTCTTCTTATTCTGCTCCTGATATCTTTGACGTGCTGTCGCTTGACGCCCAGTGGTTCGCAGATGGCGAGAAGGGCATCGGCATATTTATAGCTCGTTAGTGCGAAGCAAAAACGGTCCGCATAGCCTAGGAACGTGCCGATGTACTGGATAATCTCATATGGCAGAGTATAGAGTGGACTTTTGTGTGTATTTTGAGTGTAGTTCCGCGTAGCGTGTCGAAAGGTGATGGATGACCGAGTTAGTTTTTTGACGAGGCTTTGGGACATATTGCTGGCAAAGAGGCTGTAAGTCTGCCACCGTATCTCTTTGTGCAATCAGCACAGATATGAATCAATGGAGTTTTTGCCTGCAAATATGCATGGCTCGCTAAGAGTGTTGTTACCATGGCTGTGAGGTTATGAAGTAGCCAGTCAGTGGGAGCAAATCGTCAAGAGCGTGTCCTGATTGCAAGATCCGTGGGTTGTGCCAAATGATTGAACATGATGATCTAACAATTACTGCTTGTACTTCTCAGAATGCCGATACCCGTTACGTGTAGCAGAGCTATGATGAATGGCCGAGATGGCAGTAAATCCGTATTTTTCAGGGTTCGAGAGCAGGGTCTTGCAGACGTAAATGCTCACCCAGATCCTTTTAATTTGACTGCAACGTCATTCTTTTGATGGCCGATCCTGGCAGGTTGGGGTGTGGCCGGTCATTCTTTTCTGAGACAATTGATCTGATATGCTTTGTAGCAAACAGAGATAAAAAAAGTCAAGTTGTACATCTACTGTGATTGCTCTGTTAGAGTCCAATGTCGAGCAGCTTCAATAAGCGCTTCCGATTGCCCGGATTCAAAACAAGGAAACACATCCGCATCCGGAGTGTCTGCTGTGCGAAGGAGCAGATGGGGCAATTCAACAAGTTTTATAATAAGAAAATGAATCTAGAGCTGGGATTCGGAAATTCCGGAATAAGGAAGCCGTTGCCTCTGCCGGCAGGTCGGAGATCGGGGAGAACCCCGACAACCCCACCATAACCCTAGTTACCCCTCACATTCTTGTTTGCGCAACCCCACTTGGGGCTCTCGGGGCCGTTCAGGAGGGACCTCGCAGATCGCCCCGTCAAATGACAAGAACAAGGCGATCCGGACGGGCGCCTCGATGCGGTGTCGTCGGATCGGATGCCAGAAGTTGAGAATTCCTTAATAAAACTTGATTTCCTCTTTCCTCCATATACCGTATGGTCTTTCCTGCACTTTGTCTCGCATTGATTTAAGCCATTCAGACATCAAGATAAATAGACATGTCGTGTACGTACTAAAGCATCAAATTCACACAAGAATATAGTGCAATTGCGCGCCAACAACTAACAGTACTCAGCAAAACATTTTATTCACGATCCTACGCACCTGGTCAATACGGCGCTTCTGAGCATCCCAAAGACGAATCCATCCGTGCAATGCGACATCGAGAACAAGATTATATATCGCAAGAATGGCGCGTCACAGGTGTCCATCGTCTCTGGTGGTGGCAGCGGCCATGAGCCCTCTTTCGCTTCCTTTGTTGGCGCAGGTCTTCTTTCTGGCGCGGTAGCAGGCACTATATTCGCATCTCCAAGCGCAGAGCAAATACGAAGGTGTATCTTGCATCGCGTTCAGAAAGACAAGGGCGTCCTCGTGATTGTAATGAACTACACCGGCGATGTGCTGAATTTTGGTATGGCCGTAGAAAAGGCGCGTGCTGCTGGCATCGAGGCCGATATGGTGGTTGTGGGTGACGATGCTGGTGTAGGGCGGGCCAAGGGTGGAAAAGTAGGGAGAAGAGGCATCGCCGGAACCGTGCTTGTCCAGAAGATTGCTGGAGCGCTTGCAGCAAAAGGGTATGGAGCGATGCTGACCAGAGTAATGGTGAAAAGGAAGTTTCACTAACAATTTGCAGAGTGAGTCTCAAGGATGTAACGCGAGTAGCGCAACTCGTCGCCGACAATACTGTGTCAATTGGATCCTCACTAGCACATGTCCATGTACCAGGTCGCCGAGAGCCTGAAGAGGATGAGTTGAAAGATGGCCAAGTTGAGATCGGTATGGGCATTCATAATGAGGCTGGCTCGGAGCGCAAATCCACCGATCTTCCCGGTCTTGTGAAAACCATGCTTTCGCACTGTCTCGATGTCGCAGACAAAGATCGAAGCTTCTCTTCCATAAAAGCAGAGGACGAGGTTGTGCTATTGATCAACAACCTAGGAGGAGTCAGTCCGCTCGAGTTGAGCGGTATCACGAACGAGGTTGTCGAGCAACTGGCGAATGACTTCAAAATCAAACCTGTGCGCATACTAGCCGGTACTTTTATGACGAGTTTGAATGGACTCGGCTTTAGCATCAGCATACTCAAAGTCGCCGATACACAATCACTAGGCGCTTCAATGCTTGAGCTACTCGATGCACCTGCTGAGGCGAGTGGTTGGGCTGCAGCAATCAGTAGTAGCACATGGGCAAGACGTGGAGAAGCAAAGAAAGATGAAGAAAAGGTAGAGGAGGAAGAAGTCTTGCCTAGTGATTTGAGAAGTGAGTACTGCACGACACAACATAGGTCATGCACTGACGTTGAATAGTAAATTACGCCCAAGCGAAGTCAGTATTGACAACTGCACTCAACAGACTGATAGCTGCCGAGCCTGATGTCACCAAATATGATACGATTGTAGGAGATGGCGATTGTGGAATCGGACTCAAACGTGGCGCAGAAGGTAGGGTCTTGGTCACATGTGCACTGTTGCCTGATGCTGACGTCCTACAGCAATTCTGAAGATGCTCGAAACGGCAAAAGAAACAGATGATCTGCTGATCCTCGTAAACAACATCATTCAAGTGGTTGAATTAGCAATGGACGGGACGTCAGGCGCAATTTATGCCATCTTCTTGAATGCACTAGCCCATGGATTACGAAAGAATTCGCCTTCTTCCCCTCAACCCGTCACTCCTGCAATTTGGGCCAAGGCTCTCGACTCATCCCTCAAAGCACTTGGCAAATACACGCCTGCAAAACCCGGCGATCGAACGCTAATGGATGCTTTGTACCCATTCATTGAGATGCTATCCAAGACAGAAGATGTCGACAAAGCAGCTGCGGCGGCGCAGGGAGGGGCGCAGGGAACGAAAGGAATGAAAGCGAGCTTGGGGCGGACGGTGTACGTTGGAGGCGAAGGGTTCCAAGAAGTTCCTGACCCTGGTGCGCACGGTCTTGCAGAACTTCTGCTGGGCCTGAGTGACGGATTGAAGAAGTAAAGGTTGATGGGTATCGTTCTTTGATTCGTTCGGTGGTCATCGCCGACTTCGCGGCGTCGATTATATAACTTTTAATGCATTCGAACTCTAAATTGCGTGCATCCATCTTGCACTCCCATCTCAACACCAGGTCGCGTCCAGATTCTTATGAGAGCAAGACAAGGATGACGGAATCGCCTCGGAGAAACCTATGCAAAGTCAGTACATTGCGCAGAACGTGACAATATCCCAGACATACAGCTTGGAAATGAAGCGATCCTTGTTAACCTTCCTTCCATAGCTACCGTTGGCTAACCGTGGCGTCTCAGTCCACATCTCCTTGGCATTCTCGAGAACCATATTGCAGTGGCGGTCAAAAGCCTTCACGCGTGCGAGGATCTTGCGGTTGTTTCGGCACGAAATCAGCACCTGTGTGCGCGAGCGGACGGCGGTCTGAAGAATAGAAAGAGGACCGGTGGTGAGCTCATGCTCTTCGACTTGCGCGACCTCGTATTCCCTGAATAGAAAACGTTAGCCTCTTTGCACCATTGAACAGTACAGTAGAATACATACGTTAACTCGGAGCGTGGCTTGGAAAGAAGCTCCCTGTGAGGTGTCAGTACTGAGCTTGCTATTGGAGCTTGCGTGCTTTTACTCACTGAATCTTCGCGTCGACCATTTTGACAGGCGGTATGGGGTACTAAGCGCGGATCTAGAAGAAAAAGAACCTCTATTTCTAATTGCTGTTAACAACCTGAGTCCTCAGCTTCTGCCTTCGAATTTTGATTTGCAGCTCGAACAGGTACTGCGCAAGGATTGGGTCGAGCAAAAGAAGTGCACAGACCAGTGACGGAAAGACTGACCTAGTTTAGAGAGGCAGGACACCACGGCAACGAGCTTGGATGAGGTGGAGCGGTCGGCGATAATGGTGAGGCAGGGCGATGAAGTGATCGAGCTTGGCTGAGATGAAGCGCGGGCTACAGTTTTTCCGGCACCGGGCCAATCAGTACGCGTCAGAGAGTGGGGCCACAGGGCCAGATCCATGGTGCGTCACGCGTCTTTGCCCTCTCCCGGCGTTAGCGCGGCGCGGGTAGCTGGAAACCATTAAGCTCGTGCCTCCATCTTCACTTCGATTGCACACGACATCATTGACGACACCCTTTTATTCCCCTTTCCTAGCCGATCTACGCGTGCTGGTGCCTGTTTCGCATCTCGCGTCTACCACAATACATAACGAGCCCCTTTCCCCCCGCCAATTTTGCTTCCTACTCGATCTTAGTCTCGCTTTGCTCTCCAAGAACGCGTCCGCTATGATCGCACGCCAGCCACCGACCGCGATACGACGTTGATCATATCCCGTCCATTCCCCGGTGCCCTTCCTCTTTTTTACGGCACGGCCTGTCTATCCTTTGTCAAGCCCATAGTCAGCTATGTCGACTCCTTCGAGTATTACGCCAGAGACGGGTGCCTCACAGCATGCCTCGACTCCTGCTGGTGGTGCCGAGGATGGCGTCATGGACGAGATTCCACGCCGACAAATGCGAGGTAAACAGATTCAGTTCATTATCACGCTCTGATCTAACACAGCTCTTCATCCAGTCAAGGTCTTGTATACGTTTGATGATCAGAACAAATCAAACTGTCTCGCTCGTCTGCCAAATGTCCTCAATATTCCTGTCGTTTCGCTGGACGAGACCACCGAGGTGGGTGTCATCGAACTCAAGACATGCATCCATGCTATTGTCACTGCAAGGTAGGCTACAGCAAACTCCCATTGGCCATGGAAGACACATTGCTCACCGCCACAGTCCTGAGCTTGTAGCCAAATTAGGACATGATTACACCGTGTACGCTTATGACTTTTCCGAGTACGAAACACCGCTTGTTGGACAGGGTATGCTATCGTGGCTTCTAGCTTCTGCATCATCGACACCCAATGCTCCTGCCAAGGACTCCCAAACTATGGTCACAGGTCGCGTGTGTAAAAATATTCTCGGCATTTTCTCGAATGGTATTAAAGAGACTCTAGAAGTCAAGTTGAAGCTGGTGCCTGTTCCGACGTGCATGCAGAAAGAATATGTGGAGAATATGGAGCGCTATCATAGTCTCAGTCAGATGATGCCCGAAGGATTTGACTACAACGCCTGGTCCGACTTCCTGAAAGAGAATCCTATGCTTGGTCACTTGGCCCAACCAACTACGACTCACTCTGCTCAGCCTTCGCCACGTCATTCCGTTGGTGGTGTTGAGCCTTTCCACCAGATGCTTACCCGCCAAAGCCCCTCGCAAGAGCCCGTCCGTAACGAATCGTTCTACGACCAATCGAACACGCCCTTCATGTCCCAACCAACCAGACCTTCTAGCCCCGCCATGAGCACCATTTCCTTCCATCACTATCAATACAATCCACCTTCACGTCCAACGTCACGGGCTTCTGTGCGCAGCGAAGCCCCACCACCAACCCAACAATACCAATCTAGTGATCCGTATGTTGTGGAACCGCAAGACGACGGTCCCCCAAAGAAGAGGGCTCGAATCACTCAGACCACGAGACCAAGGAATACGCCCCTGACTGCTCATAATGACTCGCTCCGAGTGACCGCTAGTACAGCAGCATCGGTACGCCTCCTCAAACCAACCTTCAACGCTGCTGGGGCTGCGGCAGACATGGTCCCGCGCGCACCAACTCCTCGTCCAGGTGAAAAACTAGGACAGCGAGGTGCTCGTCGTCCCCCGGCGCCAAGCGCTCTGAGGCATGCATCGATGGATGGAGGACGGCCATACATGTCCCCGTACGAACCTAGTACATTTTCAGACAATGCTATGGAATCAGCAGACGAAAGAGAAGGAAGCCCAAGTGAGACACCGAATGAGATGCCCTCTTCACCACCAATCGCACTTCGGCGGACCATATCGCCTGCTCCCTCAAGTCCGAACCTACCGACACTACCTCTCAACGATTCAGGTTTTGTTAGTGACATGCCTATGGGACGGGACACTGATGGCATGAACTGTGGGGATGGCTCGTGGGCACGCCGTGAAGCAGCACAATATCGCCGAGGATCAGCCGCTCAACCAATCACTGAAAGTATCGAAATGGATATGGGTAGTACTCAGCCGTTCGACTTTGACAACATGGACCAGGATCTTCTCAATTGTGTATATTTTCAGGGACAAAATCCGAAAAGTGAGAGTGATCTACTATCAAGGATGGCAATAAATGAGCACGACAACAATTCGGTCAGCGGACGACCACTTACCGGTGACGCATTTCAATCTGGATCTGCAGAAAAGGCTCAGACTCAGGAAAAGTCGCATGCTACATTTTCTACTGCTGGGTCACCCGATGGTATTGCTTCACAAATCTCACCCGCCACTGAAAGCGAAGCACAAGTATACAGCCGTTCCGCCACGCCAAACTTACCCGCGAAACAACCTAAGCAACCCAAGGCACGAGGGCTTCCTAGATCACAAACCTGGTCTGGAACAGGTGAACCCATGTCGGATGCGCCAACACCCTCAGAGTGTGGCTACACCCGAAGCGGCTCTGGTGCTAAAAGGAAGCGATACATCAAGGATCGATTAGACGCTGCTATCAGGAAAGGTGAAATGCCACCGCACTGTGTAAATTGCGGCGAAATTGACACTCCTACCTGGAGAAAAGCCTACACTCGAGTTGAAAGCGGTTCACCTAGTGGCATTGAATTGTCCACTGATTCGGCTAGTACAGATATCATTGCCTACGAGGTAATCGAACCAAATCCTGAGACAGATGGTGAGCCAAAGTACCGTATCTTCAAGAACAACTTGACACGTCAAGACAAGGACATGATGGCGGCAAAAGCTGGTGATGCTTTCCAAGAGCTTAATCTGTGTAACCCATGCGGACTTTGGCTTATCAAGAAGTTTTCGATGCGGCCGCAAAAAGTATGGGACAGATCTGCGCGACTAGCAAAGCGCAAGCGAGAACAGAAGATTGGAGCACGCTCCAAATCGACTGTTGGTGACGATCTCATGTCAGACGCCGCTTTTCCAGAGACAGAATCTACCATGTCAGCTGAGCAGGAGCTAGGTGGGAAAGCAGTCGATGGAACATACGACAGAGAAATGGCACCACCCAAGGCCCCATTCGGCGCACGTGAAATGGATGCCAACAATGCCCAAGCTGCTTTCAGACGAGCTATGCAATCAAGTCCTGCGGGTGTCAGAGGAAGCAAGGCTTTGCCTATCAATCACGAACAAGATCTTACACCGAAGCCTACACGGCGATTACTTTTCCCCTCGCCTCGGAAGCAAAGTCAGCGCAAGAGTCTGACTCAACAGGCAACTGGTCCTGTCGCTTCTCATATGCATACACATGACGATGATGCGCCTAAAAAGCCTCGTTGCCAACGGTGTAAAGAACTCAAGAGAGCGTGCGATCGAGAACGGCCATGTGGTCGATGCGAGAACGCTGGAATAGGCCACGATGGATGTATTCCTTGCGAGACCAAAAAGACAAACTGGTTCGAGCGGACTGTAGTACAGCCAGTTGTCGTTGAGCAGGATAACCCCGATAAGGAGAACTGTCCACCTCCACCTACATTGGAGGTTGATGAGCTTGACCACCTTTTCGAAGACTCCCACTCGCCCAAGACAACGCCGAAGCAAGATCGGATAGCTGAAGATCTTTTGAAAACGCCCACTCCTGGTACTCGACAGCGCGCCGCCCTGACACCGAGACGAGGTACCGAAAATGGCGAGGTTCCTACTACACCCTCGCGGAGCACGTTTACTCCTCGAGGCAACCGTACGGCGACTGCTGCTCCAGACACCCCATTCACACGCCAGCTCAATGCTCTTCTATCAGACCATCCCATCTCATCGCCTTCTCAAAATTTTGACTTTTCCTCATTTCCTATCTTCACTCCTCCTGGTCATACTGGTGCACAGTTCAGCGAGCTCTTGGCTGACGACTTCTTGTCGAGCGACATGCCTATGAGTAGCTCACCCTCAAAAACTGGGTCCATGAGTCTGGGCTTCGATCTTTATGAGGACCCCAGCACATCTACGACCGGAATGTGGAATGGAGAGAATATCTTTGACAATGAAGTCATGTTGTTGGGCATTGACGATAACTCCAAGCGCTCCGGTATGGATGCCAGTAATGGCTCCGATACAGTCACGCTGCTAAAGATGAATGTGGGTGGCATGACTGTCGATTTTGCGGCCATGATAGAAGAAGTCGTTGGTACTGCCACCAAAGATGCTGATGGGCATGAAACCGAAAGCAAGTTCTTAGAAGACAGGGTTAAGTCTACTCATAAAAGCCCCGAAGCGGAGAGTGAGGGCGCTGGTGGCACGCCCGAAGAGCCCACTTCTGTGTGAGGCCTTTTACGCCTATTTGTTATGGCTCCACGATTTTGCTTACATGTTCAATTGTCTTTACTGTAGATTCTTGTTTTTGAGAGGCGTTCAGCGATCTGGCACATGTATGCTGCGGCTTTTAGATGCCACGAGGAAACGAGGCACACGATTACTTTTTGTATACTAGTCTTTATAGGAAGATCAGCAGCTCAGTAGCCTGTCATCTGAGGCACGAGTTCTGGTAACTGGCGAGCGTAATGTACGCGCCTTCGAAGGGGATACCCAATAAACGTGTTAGACATCTTTTCTTTCTTTTTTTCTATTCTGGTGAGATTGTTTTCACATGTGACTAGAAGGGAATCTGGCACAGATAGTTGGGAGATGTATGTGACATCCAACAGAAATAGTTCGCAATGTATTGTACCCTGATCGTGCTATCAACTGTATCACATGTACAGTATAATGGCCAAGTGTTAGATTCGTTTTCTGGGAATAGCCTAGACGTGTTGTGAAAGGCTAAAGCAGCTGGCTTTAGCTTCATCACCACGTTGGCTTCTGCATTAGAAGGCACGTTACCTTGATATCAGACACCAAAGTCAAGATATACTTTAGCAATTTGTTGTTATTGAGCTATCAACACAGTTAAAATTTGTCATGATCCATAATTTACACCCCTCTGCCATAAGAAGAGTCGACTTGCACTGGAGATAATGGTAATAGTCAAATTTATTTTGTTCGAGCGCTAGCATACTACAACTATTTCACCATCATAAACACGCGCTCCAGAACCTTTCAATCAAAAAATCACATCTTCCTCGTCACCCCATTCTCTGGTACTACGATTACTGAGATGATCCTCCAGAGATAGTAAGCACCTGTCCATTGACCCAACCGCCATCCTCAGAAGCAAGGAAAGCCACAACCCTCGCAACATCCTCGGGGACCGCACACCTGCCTAGAGGGCAGTGGCTCGCCATGAGGCTCTCAATCTTCTCCGCTGGCCACTCAGGGGTGCCACCTGGGATGTAGTGCCATGCGTTTTGGGTGAACATGTCTGACTTGATGCCACCAGGCGCAACACCGTTAACGGTAACACCACGCTTTCCAAAGTCGGTCGCAAAAGCCTTGATGAAGCCAATAACAGCCATCTTGGAAGCGTTGTAGAGAGCGTGATCCTTTACACCGAGAAGACCAGCGGCAATGGAGCTCATGAGGATGATACGGCCGTTATCCTCAATGTACTTGTACGCCGTCTGACCAACGAAGAACTGTGCTCGCGTGTTCAAGTTGAAAACATGGTCGTACTTCTCCTCGCTAATCTCCTCGGTCTTGTCCCAGCTCTCGGTGCCGGAGTTGCTCATGACAATGTTGATCTTGCCAAAAGCCTGCTTTGCTTCCTCGAACAGCCGGTGGATCTCGGATACTTTGCTCACATCAGCTTGGATGGCAACGGCTTTGGCGCCGTTGTTGAAGCCTCGGATAATCTCGCATACTTCGTTGGCGGGACCTTCTGATGATACGTAGTTTACGACGACTGAGGCGCCGCGCTTGCCGAGCTCGATGGCGCAGCCTCGTCCGATACCGCGGCCAGCACCGGTGATGAGTGCGACCTGGCCCTCGAGGGAGGCGCTGGGAACTGTGACGACCATTTTTATGGAGTTTTGTGTGACGGGTTTGATAAATTGATATTCGAGGAGTTGCTGATGTGCTTGCTTTGATTTTTTGTTTTGAAGAAGTTCAAAGATTGATCGTAATGAACAGATGAAAAAGTGACTGGGTATCTTGATTTACTTCCATTCATCTTGTAGCATCTATATAAATGCATTTGATATCTCCGTTTTCGAATGTTCGTCTTCACGGTGTTGCGGTCGCCGGTGGGGATCCGAAGGGCCAAAGACCGAAAATAGTAGTCCGCCAAGGGGACTTGCGGCTCTACACTTTCGCGTCCGGAAAATAGCATGTACGCTGTGTACTTTACCTACACAGGGCTAAACGAACCGGCAAGCCTAGTCTCCGCTCCCAGTGTCGTAGTCTAAGGGCCGGCTGTAGTGCGGAGCTCGGAAGGGGGGCCATTGCTGTCCCTCCGAATGCCAGCAACGTATTGAAGCCTTGAGGATGGAGATGCGACAAGAAACCCGATCTTGTCTCGGCAGACTTTGTTGAAAGATGGACTCCCCGGACGAGCTTTTGTTCCCTAGAGTGTGAATAAGATAATGCACACTACTTACCTGTCGCGACGAGCGGTGATTGCCGGCGCAATGCAGGGAACACCAACGGATCTACCCATAGTAGCGCAGGTACCACGATCACTTATAGATCAACTTTATCTTCATTATCTTGCAGCAACTCCAGTGTGGGCAGATTGAAAACTGCCAGATAAGATGATTCGACACACGACGCAGTAGAGCGCAAAACAGCGTTTGTGGAGATGGAGGCGGTGACTATGAATGGCCGAGCACGAGGCGGTTCCGACCATCGGGACCTTGTATTGCGCACGTCACTTGCCCGTGTTTGCCCCACTACATCTTTCAACTTCACGTCCACAACAAACTATCACTAAACACGCCATTTTTACGCCTCGGAAGTAAAGATGCATATTCTTGTAAGTCATTTCACGTCTCTTAACAGCCAATTGCAACAGCTGATCAAACAGTAGGTCACTAACGACGATGGTCCACCATCAGATCAATCCTCGCCGTATGTGCACTCACTGGTGTCAACACTGCAAAAGTATGGCCATACCGTATCGGTTGTCCTCCCACACACGCAGCGATCTTGGATAGGCAAGGCACACCTTGTTGGCAAGTCGGTATGGATGTCTTTTATCTGTTGGAAGCAATGCTTGCAATGTTTAATCATCGTCACCGCCTAGTCTAACATGGCTACAGATATCGCCAACATACTATCGCCCAGAGCCCCTACAAACAACCTCCGACGGCCGCCTCACGAACCACGGAACGACTCACAACTCGCCCCTGCCGCCTTCTTCGAATGAGGAAGAATGGGTGCTCGTCGATTCGACCCCTGCCTCATGCGTACAGATTGGCCTGTACCACTACTTCACCGAGCGTGGACCAATCGATCTCGTCGTATCTGGACCAAACTATGGCCGCAACAGCACTGCGATATTCTCCCTCTCGTCGGGTACAATAGGCGGAGCGATGGAGGCAGCTGTTTGTGGCATGAAAAGCATAGCACTCAGCTACGCCTTCTTCGACCGCAACCACGATGCCAACATCATCAGCGGCGCAAGCGAGCTCAGTGCAAAGCTCATACAATACTTGTGGGACAACTGGGACAAGAACACGCATCTGTATACGGTTAACGTGCCTCTGGTAGAGAACGTAGGAGAGCGCAAGGTCCTATGGACAAACATGTTGCAGAATACGTGGAAGAGCGGCAGCTGTTTTCAGGTGGTGGAAGTGCCATCGGAAGCCGACGACAAGCCAGCGGACATCGAAGGCCAAATCCGCAAGCAAGAAGAGAAACTAGGCAAGAAGGAACTCAGGTCCCACTCGGGGACCGCTGGGGGAGCAAGCGGTACGGATTCAGGGCAAGAAACGCCATCTGGACAGCCACATTCGAGGTATACGCACAAGCACTTCAAGTGGGCGCCATCATTCAAGGATGTGTACCAGAGCGTGGAGGAGAGCGAGCCGGGCAATGATGGGTGGGCTGTTGCGCAGGGATTTACTAGTGTGACTCCGCTCCGGGCAAACTTTATGCACGTCAATGGGTTCGAGGGAGAGATTAAGCTTTAGTAGATAACGGGGGGAAGGGAGGCTCTGCGGGGTAGTGTGAACGATGACGATCACATGGTGTCTCGGGGTGTAGTCCGGTGAGACGAGATCTGGGTTTTTAGGAGAATACGAGAAGAAGGGGTTTTTTACAAGTGAGATATCTAAGTCAGCAAGATGCGCAGGAAGTATTTAGAATAAATCTTGTAGTAATTCACGCATTGAAGTGAGGTTTTCTCGTCGCTGTTCAACAAATTCGAGATAGCCTCTCCGCGTATACCTGGGGTATCAAAAAACAAGGAACATATAAAAGAAAAGACCCCCCCAAATGCCATATTTTTACAGTATCCAAACTCCATGATCAATGCATTATTGTGATTCCCAAAAAAGAAAAGAAAAAACACACTATTCAGGTTGATTATTCAAAATTGAAAAAGGCATCGTCAAAGGAAGACTGCTCGTGGTTGGCGTAGTCGTCCATGTTGAAAAGGTCTTCGAGATCGTCTGCAGCCATGGTGCCCATCATGTCATCATTGTTATTGTTGTTGGTTGTCGCTTCTTCCGCTTTGTTCTCCTGGGGCGGCGGTGGCTGTGCGGCAGGTTTGGGCTCATCTGCCTTTGGCGCAGGCTCTGGCTCTGGTGCTGACTTGGCAGTTGTATTTGCATTGCTATCGGCACTTGCATTTGCGTTCGTGTTCGTGTTCGTGTTCGAATCCAAGCCTGGCAAGTCCGGCATGGTAAAGTCCATGTCCATGGTGGATGATTGGTTGTTGTGGTCATTGTCGCTGTTCTTGGCAAATTCTTCAAGGCCGCGTAGGAGGGAGGATCCGTCGTTGCCGCTGTCGAGGCCGAAATCGATATCGCCCGAGGTATCCATCATGTCGTGGTCGTGGTTTTGGTCGGTGGTGTCCATTGCATCGCCGAACATGGCATCGGAATCAAAGTCGGACTCGTTGGGGTTGTTGGCTGGGGGCGTGCCATCGAAGAGCGGATCTTTGGGGGGCTGGGCGTTTGCGCTTGTCGAGTTTTGGGGTGGTGAGGGCGCCTTCTTGTTTTGGCTGTCATGGTCGCTGTTTCCACCTTCCTTGTTCGCGGCTTCCATATCCGTCTCCATTGACGTCACTTGCTCCGGCTTGTCTAGTGCTGCTGGCGGCTCGAGCTGTACGGGCGTGGCAGCCTTTTCTTCCTTGACCGGCGCGTCGTTGGTGGGTGGGGGTGGATTCCTGGCCTCTGCGGCAAGCCTCGCCTTGTCCACCTCTTGCTGTTTCGCAGCGGCCTCCTTCTTCTTGCGGTCCTGCTTCAGCAATGCCATGTCGCGCCGGAGCACCGTTTGCGCTAGGCGCACCTCGTTCTCGAGTTCGTCGAGGGCATCGTGGAAGCGCTCGGTGGCATGGGGCACGACGCGCTGCAGTTGCTGCTTCATGCGCCCGGAGCCTCCGCCGGTCTGGGTCTCTTTGAGGAAGCGGCCAGAGTGGAGGAACTGTAAGGGGACGTGAGCAGGGGCACGCGTGAAGGGGACGTGGCTGGGCGGCGGCGTACAATGAGATTGAGCATGCTCTGCAGCGTGTCGATGTGCTGCTGCTGCTGTTGCTGCTGCTGTCCCGGCGCCGGGGCCGGTGGGTTTGCTGCGGCCATGGCAGCTGGGTGGTGGTTGTAGTAGTGGTAGTGGTGTTGAGAATGGCGAGGAAGTGTGGGTGGGCCGGCCGGCTGGGGACGTGGTTGGCTATGGTGCGTAGGACAGCAGTGGTATGTAAGCAGTGTGTATGGCTCGGCGGCGGATAGGTGCTTGGTCGGCTGGTCGGTGCTGGGCGCAGCGCCCTGACACACGTGCGGGCCTTCTGCAGGTGCTTCCGCAGGTGGGGGCCACGGGTTCCGGTACTAGAGAATTAGGTGCAAATATACTAATACTAATACATGCCCTTGGGAACATTCCTACGCCCGGCGCAAAACAGGCGGCCACTAGCACCAGCCCATCCGTTATTTACGGCCTTTTCCTCCGCCCAGCCTTGCCTGACAGGAGCTGCCAGCACGGCATCCAAATGCCCCCAAAATGCTCCAATGCCTGACCCGTTCCCGCAAATCTGCAGTCTTGCACACGCGCACACATACCCCGGCACCACAGCCGGCAGGTGGTAGGCTACAGTAGCTCTCCCGTTGCATTGGGCGCTTGTGGCCTCGCGACCCTAATTCTCGCGACCCTCGCTCACCTCCCAACTCCTCTTCCCTTTCCTCACCCCACAAGTGGAGACTATAGCTTGCCATCCGCGCTCGGCGTAGGGCTTTCGCATCTCCTATCTCCTCTTCCTCTTGTTTCCTCTTCCCTTTCCTAGTGCTTTCCGCGTCTCTGTTCGGGCTGCCTTGTGCTTGTACTTGCGCTTTCCCTTTTCGACTTTCCTTGTCGCCTACCACTAACCCACTAACCCACCCACCACCCTCCTCTTCGCCCCGCCACGACTCGCCCACCCGCCGCGTGGCCTTGTCTGTTCCTGTCCTGCTCTCTGCAATCGTCCTTTCGCGTCGCATCAGAGCTCACCCGCCGATTCTTTGCTGAACCACTCACCACCGCCACTGCCCTTTGCTCACCCGCACCCCTCCTGCCCGTTTCTGCCTTGAGCGCATTTTCGCGACCGCCATGGCCGACCAGCAGAATCCTGGGGCACAGCTCCCCCCTCCGCCCTCCGCCAGCGGTGCGCCTGGCTACGACAGTCAGCCTCAGGCCCAGCAGCACATGCCGCCCCCGCCGCTCGCCCCCGTCATCATCCCGCAGAACAACAACCCCATTCCCACGGCCATTAGCTCCCCCATGTCGGGCAACCCCATGTCCCCGACCAGCGGCCAGCCTGGCTATGTGCCCCGTCGCGCGGCTCCCGAGCCCAACAAGCGCGCCTTGTATGTGGGAGGACTTGACCCGCGGGTCACTGAGGACGTGCTTCGTCAAATCTTCGAGACCACTGGACATGTCCAGAGTGTCAAGATCATTCCTGACAAGACTGCAAGTTCTCCTTCTGTAAGATACATCTCCGAAACCGCTGCAATTCTCTTGACAGCTTTGTGGCGCGGGCCGGGCTTATCTTGCAACTGCTGCAACAATTCAAGTGCCGCTGACCGCTAACAGTTCAACTCCAAGGGTTTCAATTACGGCTTCGTTGAGTACGACGACCCCGGTGCGGCCGAGCGTGGCATGGCCACCCTCAATGGCCGGCGCATTCACAACAATGTAAGCATGGGCATTGGGGAAGCGGGCAAGGAGAAATTGCCATGTCGGCCTGTGTTCTGACCAAAGACAGGAAATTCGTGTAAACTGGGCCTATCAATCTAACAACACAGCCAAGGAAGACACTTCTAACCACTTCCACATCTTCGTTGGTGACCTTTCCAACGAGGTCAACGACGAGGTCCTTCTGCAGGCCTTTTCCACCTTTGGTCCCGTTTCCGAGGCTCGCGTCATGTGGGACATGAAGACGGGCAGGTCTCGTGGCTACGGATTCGTCGCTTTCCGGGATCGTGCCGATGCTGAGCGTGCCCTCAACTCCATGGACGGCGAGTGGCTCGGCTCTCGAGCAATTCGCTGCAACTGGGCCAATCAGAAGGGCCAACCTTCCATTTCTCAGCAGCAGGCCATGGCCTCAATGGGCATGACACCAACCACTCCGTTTGGCCATCACCATTTCCCCACTCACGGTGTCCAGAGCTACGACATGGTTGTGGCTCAAACTCCGCAGTGGCAGACGACTTGCTATGTCGGCAATCTGACTCCTTACACCTCGCAGGCTGACCTAGTGCCACTCTTCCAGAATTTTGGTTATGTCACCGAGACGCGCTTCCAGTCGGATCGTGGGTTTGCCTTTATCAAGATGGACACGCACGAGAACGCTGCCATGGCCATCTGCCAGCTCAACGGCTACAACGTCAACGGCCGCCCCCTAAAGTGCAGCGTAGGTTGACTCGTGTCTCCTTTTTTCCTTAGCTGTTTGCTCACATTTGTAAATCTAGTGGGGCAAAGACCGTCCTCCAACTGGCCAGTTTGAGGGTTACTCGCCTGCGGGCGGCCCTAACTCAGCTTATCCCCAGACGCCGAGTGCGTACTTTCCGCAGTATGGTGGTGGGCCACAGGGTGGGCCCATGTCACCCTCAGGTGAGCGGCACCGGAGGAAGCTGCAGTATCGAAACAAGCAATCTAATGCGCGGGCAGGACCCAGCCCCGGCGGAGCACCTTTCGCGCAGCAGCAGCAACAAGCCTTTGGTAACCCTGGCATGCCGTTCCAGCAGCAAATGCAGCAGCCGGGCAGCGCCGGTGGCTACGGCCGCGGTGCCCCCCAGCAGCCACAGTGGGGTCAGTCTCCTCAAGCTGCCTTTAGCCAGAACGGTTTTGGGGGATACCAGGGCTAAAGACTCTCCTTGCTCAAACTTTTTTTGTTCAGCGCCGCGCCACCTATTCTTTCGACACGCCCGGTTGTTATTTACGAGGGCGCTTTTGTTTGGATAGCTCCGATTTTCAGGTCACATTTCATCAGCTATCTGGTCTCATGTTCTTAGGCAAGTCGTCATTTTAGTCCCGTTGTCCAAAAAGGTGTGAGGGTTGTTGTCTGCTGGCATAGCCGGCTACCCTACGGTATATTTCTTGTGGGATATGATCTACGGTCGTTTGTGTGGTTCAAAATGAATCTCCTTTCTCATGTTAGCATTTCCTTCTTTGATGCGAGCTTCGGCTTATTTCACATTTGCCTCTTCACTATCCACGATGATGTTGAATCTTGTTATGGTTACCAAAAGCGAATTCCTCTTCTCTTTGCGGCGCACTCTTTAGTCATGACGGCTCCCTCTGACTGTTTTCGGTGGTCAGTGGGCTTTTGATGATTGTTGTTGTATCATGTTCTTCTTCTTCTTCGGTTTAGACTGCATTGTCTCTTCAAAACGGCATACGCGGGGCGCGCCGAGTCTCAATGCGGGAGAATGATGTGCGGAGTCATGTTCAAAAGATTCCTGGCGGAATAGAGAATTTGGAAACGTGAGGGTTACATTTCAGCTACTTGTATGAATACCAATTTCAATCGACAGTGTCGGAAACGAACAGCTCTTTGCTGTCGTGAAAGCAACTCTGACTACTAATTATTCGATACAGAAGTGCATCATTTCACAAGACCTAAGTCAGAAGTCGAGACTGGGACTATCATCCATCTGCCATGCCACGAGTCCGTCATGTGTTGCCAAGCACCTCTCAGTGCAACTACTTGCGTATGTCTCGAGTATTGGTAGGGTGAGCACGTGATCGCGATACTAGCGCACTTCCATCCTAAAGTCGCGTCAAATGGTCGCGTTTTGTGGGGCGGCTGCACTCAGGCTACAGGAACAATTCCACCCCACTGCGCCGTGAAAGGCATGCCCACCCCCGACACCAATACATAACCACTCTTCTTTTCTTTTGTCTGCACCATATTCACTTTGCTGCATGCTTTCTTTCCTTATTAGGGGAGGTGCGTCGCTTAAACCGTCCAAGCCTAAAGATTCGCCGCTCTTCTCCCTTGTACAGCCCGCGCGGGCGCACTTGCCCCATACCCGTCCGTACCTGACGCACCCTCCTCGCGCGCGCCCTTCGACCTCACAACCATTCCAGGCAGACAGTCTTCCGAGTAGCCTGTCCAGCTTTGCCTCGTACATTCACAACGGCAGTCTCTTCAATCGTCTATACACAAAAAGAACCATGTTCAAGCAAGCCGTGCAGGCGCACGATGCTATCGCGTCGTCCTCGCCGTCAAATGGTGCATGTAAACAAGCCTCACTCGGCAATGCCTTCAGCCGAACCGGGTCAACACAAACATCATCCGCGCGCACCCTAGGGTATGGAGCGAAGCAGAATAGTATTGTGGGGCAACAACGAGTATCGGGTCCCACAACACAAGGTACTAAGAGGACGTCAAGTGGCCTGTCCAAGTCACTGAGTTCACATGATGGCGAATTTGAGTACCCTACGCTCAGCATCAGCGGTATGGACAAAGAGAACGAACTTCCGGCCGCTTTCCACGCACCCAGTACTGGCTCTGGAATTCTTGAGACTGCCTTGTTTGACGAAGACGATTTCGACAGCGACGTGGATCTCGACGTAGAGGATCCTGCGACCAAAGGCACCGTCACATACCCCACTTTGCCCAGTGTACCCTCGACGATCTCAGGAGACTCTGGATACAATTCAAGGGCACAAACTACAGACACCAAATCGGAGGTAGACAGTAGCCAGCCAATACCGTGGTCATCTTCCCCAATAGAACACTTCAAAACTCCCAAGAAAGCCGAACCCTTGAGGGTAAAGCGAAGAACGCTACCATGGCAACAGCCTCAAAAGGCTCAGCCCTTACAAGAGAAGGATGAGGAGGATGAGGTTGAACCTCCAAAGAAGAAGCAATCTGTTGAACCCGAAAAGACAGTCTCAACACCAGCACCGAAGGATTCAAATTCAAAATACTACTGGAACACAACCCCAAGTGGTTTGAAGCAACAGCAGAAAGCATTCCGAGAGAATATGAAAGCACAAGCGAAGCCGACTCAAGGGACCGATGATTGCGTCAAGGAAGTCATCAAGACGAAGAAGAAGAACACGGTGGCCCGCATTTTTCTCAGTGAGGAGCAGCAGAATGTGCTAAAGCTCGTAGTAGACTATAAAAAGAGTGTCTTCTTCACTGGTTCTGCTGGTATGTGCAAAATATATGTCCCTTGCGTTGATTCATTCACTGACCGCACCAGGTACCGGTAAATCCGTTCTACTTCGTGAGATCATTACAGGTTTGCGGAAGAAATATGCCCGTGAGCCCGATCGAGTCGCTGTTACAGCTTCAACGGGCCTGGCAGCATGCAACATCGGTGGTGTTACTCTACACAGTTTTGCGGGCATTGGACTTGGTAAAGAGCCGGTTGAAGATCTCGTCAAGAAGATTCGACGGAACGCGAAAGCCAAGCAACGATGGATGCGTACCAAGGTTCTCATCATGGATGAAGTTTCCATGGTGGATGGCGATCTGTTTGACAAGCTTGAATCGATTGCACGAACAATTCGCAACAACGGCAGGCCGTTCGGTGGCATGCAGCTTGTCATTACAGGCGATTTCTTTCAATTGCCTCCAGTACCGGAGTTCGGCAAGCAAGCCAAGTTTGCGTTTGACGCAGGCACCTGGACTACAAGCATTGAGCACACGATTGGTCTAACTCATGTCTTCCGTCAAAAGGACCCAGTATTTGCGGGCATGCTGAACGAAATGCGAGAGGGTCGGTTGACACCAGAATCGATATCTCGTTTTAAGCAGCTAGAACGTCCACTGCCAACAGAAGATCAAAGCGTTGAAGCAACTGAACTTTTCCCTACACGCCAGGAAGTTGATCGCGCCAACACTACACGCATGCATCAGTTGCACGGAAATACATTCACATTCGAGGCTCGAGATGGCGGTACTATTACCAACAAGGAACAGAGAGATAGACTTCTCCAGAGCTGCATGGTTCCAGAGCAAATACATCTGAAGAAGGGCGCACAAGTCATGTTGGTTAAAAACATGGACGAGACACTCGTCAACGGATCACTAGGCAAGATAACAGGGTTCATGACAGAGCAAATGTTCAACGTCTACAAAGAAGACGAGGAGGGATTCCTCGAAAACGGGCCTTCAGACGCTGCCTTGAAGACTGAGATGGCCAAGAGCTCACTTGGGCTCAATACCAATCAAGTGTACCCCGTTGTACGGTTTGCTATTGCAGACGGCACAACGCGCGATTTGTTATGCAAGCGCGAAGACTGGAAGATCGAACTGCCCAACGGCGAAGTCCAAGCATCACGATCGCAAATTCCACTCATCCTCGCATGGGCCCTATCCATCCACAAAGCACAAGGCCAGACCCTCGAACGCGTCCGTGTTGATCTTGGCCGCGTCTTCGAAAAGGGCCAGGCTTATGTCGCGCTTTCTCGTGCAACAAGTATGGCCGGTCTCCAGATTCTCCGCTTCGACCCACGAAAGGTGATTGCTCACGAAAAAGTGCGGTCATTCTACAGCAGCCTCAGTAGCGCTGAGCATGTCGAGAGCAAGGCAAAGAGTAAGACTATACTCGGAAAGATGCAAGCGGCTAAGTCAAAGAGAGCTGACAATGATGACTGAAACGGGAATGTACTCGCTTGTTTGCATTAGTGGTGTTGTTGGTTTGGTTTATCAAGGCGGCGTTTTATCAAGCAGGACGAGGATGCTTGCTCAGGTTATGTACAAGGTCGGAAGCACTAGATGATACAGGTATGTAAATGTTCCTACGATGCACTCACACAATACAACATTACGCATCTTCACTCTTACTGGTTTCTTCTCTCGTCTCATGTCTAGCGATATACTGTCCAACGAATCATGTCAGTGTATTTCCCAGCAGAAGGAACTGCAGTTTACATAATTCACCTCAATTCTAGGTTGTCTTTACTACATTTGCATCCTTGTTATAAACATTCGTGTTGAGAGTCTTGAAGCACACATGTTGCAACTCGCGTCACAAAACCAGGACAGCAACAAGACACATACATTTTGTTTTACAAGCGCAGAATGAAATTGATGAGACCCTAGAATACACGCCGTCAAATGGATTGCCAAATGCACGCCAGCCCGTGCCATTATTTACCCCCCTCTCGCTCCCTTGTCGTAGAAGCAGTCTTTGTCCGTTCTTCCAAAGAGATACATATAGCACACTTACAGCATGCCGCACATGTCAGCTGTGCGCGCCATGCATACAGAACATATCGTCGCACTCGATGTACCAATGCCCATACTTGTCTCTTGCAGATAAATATTGTCGTATCGCGTCTGCAATCGTAGGCTATATAATCATCTAGCACTCATCGGCACCACCAGCCTTGGAGTTCATGAGCAGGGCAACGATGAGTCCGTAAAGACCTAAGCGCGTATTAGCAATACACTTCATGTAGAATCTGATGGAATGCAACGTACCCAAGACTTCAGCGAAAATGAGAATCAGGATCATTCCGACGAACAACCTGGGCTGCTGGGCAGTTCCTCGTACACCAGCGTCACCGACGATACCAATGGCGAAACCAGCCGCCATACCCGACAAACCAACGGCAAGACCAGCGCCGAGTTGAATGAAGTTGGTGAACAGCGAAGAGTGCTGGCTCAGGCCGTTGGAGATAAGCACGGACACGACCAGACCGTAGATACCAATGATACCTGCCATGACGACGGGAATGATGTCTGGACTACCTGTTAGCTGCATTCATGCAATACAAAAGTTCGCGATCAGTTTCGCATAGCGCGTAACGTACTCTTGACGATCAGGTCAGGGCGGAGGACACCCATGGCGGAGACACCAACACCGGCTTTGGCAGTTCCGTAGGCGGCGCCGAAGCAGGCGAAAACGATAGCTGACGTGCAGCCCATCGCGCCGAAGAAGGGCTATTGATCATTAGCCCAAGTCCTGCAGTGTCGCATGATAGTCGTCGCGGTTCTGGTCGCGTCCGTCGGGAGGCGGAGCGGAGGTTGGTACTCGAGTACTTACAGCATAGGCAGGGCTGTAGAAGCTTTGTTAGCTCAAGTTCTTTACATAAATCATAACGGAAGCTTCTTCGCTACGCTGATGACAATAGCAGGTCCAGCTTATGCCTGATAGGCAAGCTAGAAGCTGCCTGCATCATAGACAAGGGAGCTCCGCAAGGACTCACCAGAGTTCGGTCGACATATTTGCGGTGATTTATGTAGTCGACGAGTCGTCTGGAATGGGTTGGAGATCTTTCTTGAGATGGACGCGTGCAGTAGATGTGGCGACGGGGGCGTATGTGATGTCGAGGAGTGGTGACGACGGTTGGCGAAGAGCTGTACATCTGGGACACCCGCTTGGCACTACGCTCATCCTGGCACTAGCGCCACACGTGAGACTCGCCAATGCATTCGCCCCATCTCAAAGGCTGTATCGACTCTTTCAACACTTCACCAAGAATCTCTTGAAGCACCCGCAAACATGTCGTGGCGCAACCAAGGAATCACCGGTTCTAACAACATTCCTCTAGGAACTCGCCGTCGGTTCGGCGGTGGCGACGATGATGGCGGTTACAATCCCTCAGCACCCGCAGAGGGTCTGTCGGAGCTGAAGCGCGGTCGTAGCCCAGAACGCAGTAAGTCAACTCCCACACGTGCTTACGATGCTCTAACATGCTCATTCTAGGTTCCGATGCTCCGCGACAGCGCAAGAAGCGAAACCGATGGGGCGACGCGAGCGAGAACAAGGCTGCCGGCCTTATGGGGCTGCCTACAGCCATCTACTCCGCCATGACTACTGAGCAGCTTGACGCGTATACTTTGCATTTGCGAATCGAGGAAATCACCCAGAAGCTGAAGATCAACGATGTTGTTCCAGCCGATGGTGACAGGTACGTATCCAATTGTTTTCTTCCTTGCATACGCTCTTCGGCTGACTGGCATAGATCTCCTTCGCCCCCACCGCAGTACGACAACTTTGGTCGCCGTGTCAACACCCGCGAGTTCCGCTACCGCAAGCGCCTCGAAGATGAGCGCCACAAGCTCGTCGAAAAGGCGATGAAGACACTTCCTAACTACCATCCACCTGCCGATTACAGGCGCCCTACTAAGACACAGGAGAAAGTCTATGTTCCGGTCAATGATTACCCGGAGATTAACTTCAGTACGAAACTAACCCCTCTAACTCCCCCTTTCTTGTCTTGCTCTACCCCAGCCTTTGTCTTGACCAGCCTGCTCAGACTGCTGGATGTTTATGCACATCTAGTGGCACCTGCAGTATAGCTATGTCACTAACCCGAACCCTTTTGCTCATACACTATTATTTTTTGATCATAAACTAACCGCAGCTTTTTGCACTAACAGTTGGTCTACTCATTGGCCCTCGTGGAAACACGCTCAAAAAGATGGAGACAGAATCCCAGGCAAAAATCGCAATCCGTGGCAAGGGCTCCGTGAAGGAGGGTAAAGGACGCTCAGATGCAGCTCACACCAGCAACCAGGAAGAGGACCTGCACTGCTTGATTATGGCCGACACCGAGGAGAAGGTCAACAAGGCTAAGAAGCTCATCCACAATGTCATTGAGACTGTAAGTGTTCTTGAATCCCATATTCTACAACAATGCTAACACGTTTAGGCTGCTTCCATCCCTGAAGGCCAAAACGAACTCAAGCGCAACCAACTCCGCGAGCTTGCCGCCCTCAACGGTACCCTTCGTGACGACGAGAACCAAGCCTGTCAAAACTGCGGAGAGATTGGTCATCGCAAGTACGACTGTCCACAGAAGCAGAACTTCACTGCCAGCATCATCTGTCGCGTCTGTGGTCAAGCTGGTCATATGGCTCGCGATTGTCCCGAGCGCAAGGTTGGACAGCCATGGCGCAACGATAACCGCTTCGGCGACCGTGGTCAGCCTGCAAGAATTGGCGGTGCTCCTGAGAACGAGCTCGATGCTTTCATGGCCGAAATGGGCGGTGCTGGTGGACAACCTCGTGGCGCAATCGAGTACAACAACAACAACAATGGTGCCAGTGGCGGTGACAACTATGGAGGAGAACGTCCTCTTAAGCCTTGGGAGCGCGGTCCTACTGGCGGCTCTGCACCTTGGGCGCGTAACGACGATGATCGTGGCCGCGGCGATGGTCACTCTTCTGCTCCCCCGCCTTGGGCTGGTGGAGGTGGTCGCGGTGGTCAGTCATACGATCAGGGCTATGGTGCCAGTGGCGGCGCAGCTCCTTGGGCCGCTGGTGCCTCAGCTGGTGGTGCTGGTGGTGCTGGCTATGGTTATGGCGGTTATGGCTATGATCAGAGTGCTGGAATGGGTGCTCCTGGCGCCTATGCCGGTGCTCCAGGCTATGGTGCTGCTCCACCCCCCTCTGGCCCTCCACCTGGTCTTGGTCCTCTCTTCCAGAGCTACGGCTCTGCTGGAAGCCCTCCTCCGCCACCGCCACCATCTGGCTCCGCGCCTCCTCCGCCTCCTCCGGGTGACGTCCCTCCTCCTCCGCCGCCTAGCGATGTCCCACCCCCACCCCCACCTCCGGCTTAGACGAGTGAGCGTACCAACAGCCGCAGCATAGGTTTTGGATCGGCACGTAGCCGGCTCCTGTATCTGTACTCACAGGCTTTAGTATTCTGATGGTTATAGCCGTCTTGCTTCGTAGGCAGTCTGACATGCGATCTTTTGGGGGTTTTTAATATATATATAATACAGTCTGTGGCTAACATATGACCTTATATAGTGACACAGGTAAGCTCAGTGGCGAAGCCGTGTGTGCTGGGACATCTCTACGTAGGTTGTACAACGTAGTCTCATTTGTGCTCTGCCTGATCAGGAAACGACCATGGGCCTATCTTAGTATAGCAGCAACTATGATTCTTTTGTTTAATGCATGATGGCGCCAATGTGATTTCTACGCATGTGTAATAGGTTCGGTGTAATTAAGCCCATGTGCGTATCATTAGGCTACAAGCGGAAAACAAGCGTGTTCGTGTGAGCACCTGTGCAGTAGTCTGATGACGTTGAAGGCCAAGAAGATACTAGTATAGAGGGCAGTGGGACGGGCACATGGCGACAGGCTCATGTCGGCCATGCACTCTCAGCTATCGTTGCAGCCCTGACTGTTTGATACTTTTGTTTGCGCCTGTGTACCCTCCTCGATGCCTGCCTTACACAACCCCTCATTTTGGTAGCGATCGCACCCCCGCAACTCACCTCACCAACACCATCGTGGCCAAACACCCGAGTCACATCTCCCGCCGCTCGCCGTGCGCGCAACATCGTGGCCATGGAGCGGATACGCATCAGCAAGGTATGTGCCTCAGTCTGTCTAGACTTGCACAACCTAACCAGCACTGCAGGTGGAGGGTGTATACCTTCTCCGCAGAGGTACACGCTTTGATGGCACGCTACATCTCATGCCCCATCACCTTGTCTTCAGCTACCTTCCTAGCCCTCCCGCAGATGCCCCTCCAAACTCGAAGCCTCCGCGGCAAAAAGAAGTCTGGATAACGTATCCAATGATAAACTACTGCGTCCTTAAACCGTGTCCTCCTGTCCTTCGCCAGGAGTCCTCGATCCGCATCCGATGCCGTGACTTCACATTCTTTGCCTTCTTCTTCCCCGACGAAAAGAAAGCACGCGATGTATACGAGAGCATACGTGCTTTGTCATGCAAGATCGGAAGGCTGGATAAACTCTTGGCTTTCAGCTACCAGCCGAAGCCTCCAGAAGACAAGCAGGACGGCTGGAGCATCTATGATGCACGCCGCGAGTGGAGACGTCTGGGGATCAGCTCAAAAGATACGGAGAAGGGCTGGCGCATATCAGAAGTGAATATTGAATACAAGGTACTTGTCATGCGACAACCGTGGCTGGGAAAATCTCTTGACGAATGGCACAGTATTCCGCGACATATCCCGCTCTGATCGTCGTTCCTACCGCTGTGTCTGATAGTGTTCTCCGATACGCCGGCGAATACCGCTCACGGCAACGCATTCCTGCCCTCGTCTATCGTCACCCCATTAACAACTGCTCCATAACGCGCAGTTCACAACCCACACCTGGGCTCCGTGGAAATCGAAATGCTCAAGACGAGCGGCTTGTGGCGGCTATCTGGGCAACCAACCGTGGGTGGAAGCCGATAACTACCCCTTCTGGCTCGGTGGAGTTCACTCCAGATACGAGTGTTGTAAACCTAAGTGAATCTAGTGCTAGTAGTTCCTTCGTTGGTGCAGGAGATGGGTCGGAAAATACAGGGAAACCCACTGTCGACGATCTGACCGCTTCGTCAGAATCCGACGCCGACCTACCTAGAGTGTATGGAGCCCAACAGCGAAATCTGATTGTCGATGCCAGACCGACAGTGAACGCATATGCGATGCAGGCTGTTGGACTAGGCTCGGAGAGAATGGACCACTACCCTGGTGCAGAGAAGGCTTATCTTGGGATTGACAATATCCACGTTATGCGCAAGTCTTTGGATATGGTGGTGGAAGCTCTGAAGGAATCAGATCTAGTTCCATTTCCCCCAAACAGACAGCTACTAGCTAAGAGCAACTGGATCAAACACATAGCCAATATCTTGGATGGTACTGCATTGATTGCTCGTACAGTAGGAATCATGCATTCGCACGTCCTGATTCACTGCTCAGACGGATGGGATCGTACAAGCCAGCTGAGCGCACTCAGTCAGATACTGCTAGACCCATACTACAGGACACTGGAAGGCTTCATTGTTCTCGTGGAAAAGGACTGGTTATCTTTTGGACACATGTTTCGACACCGGTCGGGATTTTTGAGCCATGAGAAATGGTTCACTATCGAAAACGAGAAAATCGAACGAAAGTACGATGGTCCAGGGGCTGCCAATGCCTTTGAGAATGCCCTTCGGGGTGCGCGAGGTCTCTTCAACCGCCATAATGAGTCCAACGAATCGCTCAACCAGCTCCCGGAAACTAACCTTCCAGATACTGTTCCAGACATCCCCGATGCTCCTCCATTAAAGTCCGTACCGACTGGTGCGGCAGAAGAGCATCGAGTTACCAAGGTCAACGAGCTATCGCCTGTCTTCCACCAATTTCTCGACTGCGTTTACCAACTACACTATCAGCATCCCACACGATTTGAGTTCAATGAGCGCTTCCTAAGACGCTTACTGTACCATTTGTACTCCTGCCAGTATGGCACCTTTCTTTTCGACAATGAGAAAGAGCGTGTCGAAACAAGGGCTAAAGAGCGAACAAGAAGTGTATGGGATTATTTCCTATGTCGGAAACAAGAGTTTATGAACCCCAAGTATGATCCGGAAATAGATGACGCCGTTCGTGGTAAGGAAAGAATGATCTTTCCCCGAAAAGGTGAAGCAAGGTGGTGGGCTGAGTGTTTTGGTCGTACTGATGAGGAGATGAACGTCTTTGGTCCCCAGGCACCCCCCAGCCTAACGCCACAAACGAGCAATGCAAGTCACGACAGAAGTGGCACTAGCACACCAATTATCCATGAACATATTGTCACTGGTACTGAAACCGCGGAATCTGCGACGGGTGCTGGCGCGGCGGTCCATCCTCCACGTACAAATGCCGTCGGTGACCGCTCTCCCAGGACTTCTAGCACACCTAAACCGCTTGACACTGCCGCTGCACTCGGACAGGACCTGAGACAAGGAGTAATAGCGAGCTTCGAGAGGCTGGGTATTACTGGGAATTCAAACACCAGTAAGGGAACAAGTCCGTCCGAAGAAAGATCGAGCGAAGAGCTTGTAAAAGAAGCAGTCAAACCGAGTTCACAGTTGAGCGTAGACCAGGTAGCAGTAGAGAAGGCGGAAGAAGTTGCAAAGGAGTCTGACGTAGGACTTTCTGGACAACCCACAGAGGAGAATACAAAGAATGGTGTTGGAGAAACAGCAGAGAAACCTGCAGAACAACAGCCGGCTCAAGATCCAAGTCTTGGTCTAGGTCTTGGGGCCAACATTATCGAAAAACAAGCCGAGAATAGGAGCCGGAGCCGCAAGCCAAGTCACAATCCAGAGGCTAAGGAGGTTGAGATTGAGATGCAATAACGTCAATGAAAGGTAGCTGGTCGATGAAGGAGCTTATCATGATGAATACATTAAATGATACCCAGTAGTTTCGGATCGCAAGAATCTTAGATTGTGAATTCGTATCACACTGAACATGTTGGACACAGCTCGAGCAAATATGGTAGGCAATGTACAAGTATTATGTGATGTTGCAACAATCATGAAAAACAATAGTCTGCAAACTTGTTGATTTTGGCAGAGTCCATGCCGACTTTCGCTCAGCATTTCATTCTCGGTCTATGTACAGAGATACCCAGCAATATTTCATCCAGGCACTCTAGTGTGTTTCTCATTACATAGACCTCCCAGGTTTGTAGACTCCCACTCTCGTCGCACAGCCCAAGCAAATCACCGGGAAGCTCGTTGGATGGTATTCACCGTGCTTAGATCTGGAGGCGCTCGACCTTGTCCTTGAGGGTGCGGATCTGGCCCATCAAGTCCTGTGTCTTGTTAGTACATGTAGATTCCTTGCGATTATCTATTTTGTCAACTTACAGAGGCTTCGTTTGTCGTGATGCTGGCGGCGATAACGGGCCTGGCAACGCCACAAGCACGGCCGAGAGCCATCTTGGAAGGAACGTAGACGTATGGCACGTTCTTGTCCTCGCAAAGCAGAGGCAGGTGCAGAAGGATGGCGAGAGGGGAGGTGTCGGCAGCGAGGATGATCAGCTCACTGATACCACGGTTGAGGGTCCTAAAACGCTGATTGTTAGTCATTGCGCTTGATTCTTCGACAGTCACATCGGGTATGCATACTTGGTAGCTTCGTTGGCACCCTTCTTCAGCTGCCTGTAGTGGGTAGCCTGCTGAACAAGGTCGAGAATCTCTTGCGACAAGGCCTGGTCAGCCTGGGGCCATGCGGCGCTGTTGTCTTCGGCCATTTCGAAGGTTGCGATAGATAGTAAAGGGTTGAGAGAAGGGTTCACTGCTGAAGCTCGTCCGAAGGGGGATTCCTATGCTTGGTTAGCCTGTGCGACTTGCGCACTAAGTAGGCGACTTACACTGCTCGCTCGCCCGGGAGATATTTGTCGGTGAAGATGGTGGATAGTTCAAAGATGTTGGAGCTTGTAGAAAATCAAAAAAAGTTCCTAGGACGATCGCCTTGGCGGGTCTCACGTGCGGCACTAGTGGGGCGGGCGCTTCTCCGCTTTGGGATAAAAATGATGGAGGCTGAATCTGAAGTCACGTTATTTCCATTACCCTGTTCGTATGCAGATGCGTTATGTCATATCACCCTATCACTAACAGACTAAACTCATCTCACTAACTACGGCGCTGTACAACTCGTACAGCCTGCCTCTAGCTTCTCTTATTGTCTACATTAAATTATCAAGCGTGCGCAAAACACCTACAAAGTTGGCTTTTTTTCGTCTGTACACTATATCTTCTCTATCAATAACACTAGCGTAGCCGTGGCTATTACGTAGCTGCGCTCAACACCTTGAACAAGGCAGCCTAGGCCATAGTGCGCTGCATCGTACTTGATAATGAGATTCGATTAATTTTAGTTTTCTGGCACATACGCCCATACTAGTACTTAATAATAATATTTAATTAATTTTATCTTTCTAGCACATACGTCCATACTAGTACTTAGTAATGAGATTTGATTAATTTTATTTTTGTGGCACATACGTCCATAGATTTCTGGCCCAGGGAAACCCGTTTGATCTTCCGTACTTAAGCAGTTAATCGGCGGATTAGTAGNGCTGTCGTATGTTTTTGTTTTGCAATTTTTTATTTTTGCCCACTTCGCCTGTCATGTGGGTATGGGCCTTGGCATTTGGACACTCGTAGGGATTGAAGCGCACAATTCTGTTGAACACGAATTAAACTGCGCAGCATGCACTTGAGTTTTCTTAGTTCTCTAGTAACTTGGACTGATGTTGTTATAATAATCTACGCACTATCGCTTTTTGTGATTGCACATGTCGCAATGCGGAAAAGTATAGAAACTTGGCGTTCTGCTATTGCACTGCAATTATTTCGGTCAACTTTAAGGAACTATATCGTATAGTAAATCTCCCACAGAAAGATTTGGATGAGTTTTCATGTACCCCTTCGTTTGTCTTACGAATATCTTCCAAGAACCTACCCATTGTACCTGGCTCGCTTTAGGTAGCATAAGTAGCCGCCCATGAAAAATCTCAATTTAGTTGCACCAACGTTGAGGCATTATCGAGAGGGCTCGGTGGGAATATGAAGCAACATGGACTCTGGCCTTTGCTACAAAATGGCAGTCAATCTGAAAATCAGGGGGTTGGGGTTGAGGTTGGCATCACGTTAGTGTATTTTTTTTTCACAAGTGGAAGAGCGCAAGAAAATCGTGTATTTTGCTCTGTATTTCGAAATCGATATGACACGTTACTGCCCATAAACCTCGTGTTGTTGGGTAAGAGGGTAGTGTACAAGTTGCTGAACTGGGTTGTGGTAGGTGTATCGGTTGATGAGAGGAATAATGTGGCAGAAAAAAAGTTTGAGAAAGACAAATTCTTGGGTTCTGATCAGTATGGATGAATATTGTTCTGCTTAGCAGCTGTTTTTGATATCTTATGGTCAGAATAGTGATTGCGCTGGAGTAGTGTGACGTTAGTTTAGTTATCGTGACGTGCCTTGGAGTACCTTGGGTCATAGCTGCGGACTTTTCTCTGTGATATTTTCTTCTACATGTGCATTACACATGTAGAGTTTCATCTTCATTAGAATTGGTGGGAAGAGAGTGAAGTGTGGGGTCGGATGTGGTAGGTAAACAGGGTGTGGATTGAGAATGTAAACAGTTTGTTATGGGGTAGGTTATATACCTACCCTATCTTAGCTTAGTAAGAGAACGGACACTATAAGTGGACACTCAACCTTCGCTACTTTATATAGACCTAAGCAATACAATAACCTTTGGCTCCTAACAGTATCCTGAAAGGCCTAGCCCATAACACAGTTTAGATACCTACCAGGATGTTTTTTTGACATTAAATGATGGAATTTACTAAGGAATGTTACTAGTGGCGTATATTACTGCATGTTTGCATCAAACAGATGCATTGCTATTAAGATTGAGCTCTCGACTGGGAATCCCGCAACAGGGTATGAGAGTAAGACAACGGTTATTGTTACTGATCTTAGCATCTAATAAAACTTCCATAAGGCAGACTGTAATATTAACAAGTTGCCATACTACTGTCTAAGAAATGGAGAAATGAAATTCCTGATAACTACTGTATGTGTCAAACACACGTAGTTTGTCGTACAAATACCATGGTCCAAAAGTAGGATTCTAGACAAGCTGATCTAAATTCGACAGCTTAACTACTGTATACTTGAATTGCTCAAGTATTTATAAGTCAAACGCAACCACTGAAGCCCAGTAATAAAACCCACAAGAGCCATATTCCAACTAAGACATTTCATCGAGACATGTCGACATGGAACAACAACACCTCTAGAACAGCCAATGAAAACAAAGAAAAGGGACAACAGAGTATTCTAGCCCTCTATCAAAAAGCGGTTGTAAAATGACGATCGACCCGACCCCCACACCGCACAGTCTACATAACGCTCATCCTCAACCACATCTACCGGTGGTTGCCACTTAAATCTCCTCGTCCTTCAAATAACCCATCAATCATAATTTCTCAAAGAAACAAAAAAAAACGGAAAGACGCATCAAACCTCAAAAAGCTGTCTTTTCTCTCCCCCAACTTTCCTTTATCAAAAAACTATAACAGCAACAACTATTACACGAAAAAAAAGGGGACACTGGCCACCCCTCGCCCCGTGAGGCTAGGCCAAGTTAAAGTACACTATTCCAAATAGCCCAGCCCTACATAAAGTACACCAACGGTTGAATACACGCTTGAATTCTTGAGTAGTACCGGGTATTTTACCAGTCCACATTTGCATAAAAATCCGCAATTAATAGCAACACACTACTTCCCAACGCGGCGGTGTTACACGGACCAAAATCCAACAGCAACTGTTTAATTCGCATTGTCTCTTTTTGAAGTCCCCCCCCCTCCCAAATTTTACCCAAATTAGTTCTGGGGGATGTAAGTAGTAGTTCAGGGTATTCTTGCAACTAAGAAAAACCCCCAACCTCCCAAATTTGTACACACACACACACACACACACACACAGCTTACGAACGGAAATATATCATCATCATCATCATCCTTATAAGGATAGCTTTTACTTAACCTACTGTACAAGGCTAGTATCTTCGGGAGTTTAATCCCCACACTTTACGGGAGTGTGGAGAGAGAGAGAGAGAGGGAGAGAAAGATGGCACGTGCGGAAAATCGGTACGGGCTTGTACGATATACATGTACGAGACTTAGAAAAGTAAAACAAACATAAGCTCCGAATATCTTCGGTACGGGCTAACTGGCAGGCTCCCCCCCCCCTTCCGCGCGGCTAAATCTGGGGGGAAAGGGAGGGAAGGGGGGTAAGGATATTAAATGGAAGGTGGGGGAGGTCAGGTGAGTTTCAGAATGGCGTGCCTTGTGGTACGATTTGCTTCGTGGGGGTTCTTTTTTTCTTTCTTTTCTCTTTCAGAATAACGAGTGTGAGGGGTTTCGGTATGGTGGGAGGAGGAGAGCTTTTGAAGCAACGTGTAGTTTGCTGCTTGATAGAAGGAGGATAAGTGATCCAGAGAGGGAAAAGATTTTATTGTTTTGGAAAAGCAAGGCAAATAGTGGGGGGGGGGCATTTTGTAACTACATCACGAAGTCGACGTCCAAAATCACGCCAGTCAAATCAAGCTTTGTACCAAAACTCCCCAGGAAGGGACGGTGGAAAAAAAAAGCCATGTTACTTGTCGCGTGGCAGGTCTGACTCGCATGCTTCCCATCGCTCAGGGAGAAAGAACGGGTGGTATGTGAGTACATGCCTCAACCCACGCTGGCAGAATCGCCCAGCACAGTGACCACGCACAGGGGTACCATGTGTGATGCACAAAGTGGATACTACTCTCCATATGTGCCGACGTTACGCCTCTCCCGTCGAGGCGGAAGATCGACTCAAGGTCTTAGCGAACAAAAAAAGCATTCACGCGGGAATGAGAAGGAGGGGCCCCATGGAATTGAGACAAGGCAAACCCAAGGGGAGTGACCTTGTCTCGCCAAGGGCTGGACTAGGAAGGGGGGACAGCAGTTGGTCTATGTAAGACGATCACAGGACTAGAGAATAGAAACCCGGTCGGAGCTGAGATGTGCTGGTAGTAAATATATTAGCCTATCCGTTCTGTCGGAGTGGATTCACCCGAGTCCGGTCGCGGGAACAGGCTAAAGACAGTCCGAACGGGGGGCTTTTTTTCTTGCTTCGATCTTCGCATGCCCCTTCCTAGGGGTTCTGCAGGGCGCCACGTTGTTGGGAGACACTAAAAGGGCTTGCCCTAGCATGGATCTGACAGATCCGGCGATCGCTCAAAACCCGGTCGTGAAAGTGGAGTCCATTCACGCATGGGTCAGTGCGACCGGAAAATACGCCATGATACTTACACTGCACCATGTCGCCGATCTGGGGGTTACATGTATATAGTAATTGCGTGTTTCATGGCTGGAGTCAAGCAGGGATGAGTAGGAGCAGGGGGGCCACTCGGTTGGTGGTGGAGGAAGTTCTGCTCCAATGAATAGTATAGTACGGATTTTACTACATAAATACCAGCGCGATCTACTTTAGCGACCAGACGCCGTTTTCTTCAATGATATCGATAGGACGGTTTTCGTCCAGAGATCTTCGGCCGGCCTCCAGAATGGCTGTTGTCGCAATGGTGTTCTTCAAAGTCGGTAGTGGCCGCGCATCCAATTCTTCGAGAGTGATTTCACCCGCGTTAAGCTTGTTGACGGCGTCAACAAACTTTTCAAATGAAATGTATCCGTAGCCAATTTGGCCTGCAAAGTTGCCCTCTTCATCAGGAGCGTACTTCATGTAGAATCTGTAGCTGGTCAGTACGCGAATCGGGGGCTTCTCCGTGTTCACTCAAACTTACGGGTTGTACCACAGCAAGCCAGTCTCGTCATCAGTGACGTCGTAACCACGCTTAGCCTGGTTGACGCGGATTTCTCCGGTGGATGCCATGTAATGGAAATACTGATTTGAGTGCACACCTGCCTTTTGTGGTGCTGCCCAGCCAGCTGTGTAGACACCAGTTCCGACTTTGCTCGGGTCATCTTTCTTCACCCAGTTGGTGAGCAATGTGATGGTATCCTCGGTAGCAGGATCGCAGCCCAGGCCGGTAGCAATTCCCTTTGCTGCACTCGCCATGACACGTACTGGTTTCCAACCAGGGACCATGGACTCGTTGATGTCAATGTGGTGAGAGTTGAGGTAGTAGGAAATGTCGGAATCCACACCGGCCCATGCTTTGAAAGTCTCTAGCTGGCTCCTGGGGGTCTAATTAGATACTGTTTACGTCCTACGGCAAACTGAAAAATCAAGGCGGAAGAGAAACATACTTTGGCTGGCTCATGTACGAGTAAAAGTAGTTGAAATCACCCAGCTTCTGTGCCCTGAAGCGCGCATCAGCGTACGCAGGGTCGTATCGCTTGTGGTGCTCAATGTAGACAAATACATTGTGCTTCTTTGCTGCCTCGAGGAGTTTCTGGTGGTGTTCTAGCGACTTGACTGCGGGCTTTGTGATGAGAACATGGATTCCACGCTCAATGGCGTAAAGGGCAATGGGGTAGTGAGTGGTGTCGGGCGTAAAGATGGTAACTAACTGACGTCAGCGTTATTGCAGGGGTAATTCTACTATCAACTCGCAACTCACTCGCACTGCCTTTTGGGAGCGCATCAATCGCCGCCTTGTAGGCATTTGGGTCCGTCTTGCCCTCTTTTGGAAACTCCTCAAAAGACACGTCCAGATTGTTGTATGCCTCGGAAATGTTCTTTTTCAGATGCTCACCTGACGTCAAATCAGCGCCTTGCATACGGGGCATATGCAGTCCGGGCAGCCTTGTTACTTACGGATTGCAGGGAATTTGCCACCCGATGTGCCGACCATGGACAGTTTGCCCACCTTGCCGCGTCTTCGGAGGTCAAACAGTGTCAAACCTACGACACCAACCTTTTTGTCAGATTTGGAGGCACCGCCTCCGACGAATCCGGTCGTGTACTCTCCAGTACCGACCTAGATGATGCATTAGTGTATAGTTTCGCTAAATTGATTGCGATCATACGAAAGTGCTTGAGGGGGCGCGACGAATAAAGCCGCATGCAGCTTTCAGTATTGCATGACATGTCACGAGCTCGAGAGCAAGACGTGATGGGATAAGAGGGAGAAGGAGGTGAAAAGCAAACGTATTGCCAACAAGTGACTAGTAGCAAACTTACCATGAGAACTTCTACCGGCGCCATGATGAATGTTTGTTCTGATGGTGAAATAGATAGCCCGACCAGGAAATTGTGGGCAATTCCAGCAACTCCAGCAGTATCAGTCTATCCAGGGACTCGAGAGAGGAAAAAAAAGAGGGACCAGATGAGGGCTTAATTTGAAGAGCTGTCTGTAACCAATACCCGACACATGGCCTCATCGGCATTTGAATGCATGTCTAGATGGCGGAAGATATATCGCCAAGCAGCGCGATGAGGGGCACGAGGGGCACGAGGGGCGCGCGTATTGTGGCCACAGCCGCGGCCGGATGAGGTTAGAGCGTGCTGCTGTTCGTGGGGCTGAATGCGCTGTACTGTATGGATGAAAAGAGGAGGCCCTGCAACGGCGGGATTTTTTTTGTTTTGCTGCTTGTGCATAGTAGTGCGGTATGATGGACTCTCGTCGGACAAATAGGATCCGCGTCAGCCCACAAGCATTGGGCTGGGTGGCTGGGTGTCAGCGGCGGAGGGGGATTAATGTTGTATACGTAGTATATGTGTGTGTGTGCAGTACCGGTAGTGCTCCGAGGGTGGTGGGGAGGGGGGCCTTGCAAAGTTTCCCCAGGGCCAAGCACAGAACCCCCACGTTGACCACGACGGCCGCCATTGGTGGAAGAACATCACTGTAGCATTTCAGGGCAGACGTCGGGGGATGGCGAGACTGCGTCTGGCATGCCACCTTGTCTTGAGCTGCCGCATGATTCCACCCGACAGCCGCCGTGTTAGTCACTACTATACAAATGACCGCATTCTGTTCCCGCCCTTCGCGCTCATGTAGCCCGAAAGCCGTCAGATGGCCCACCGCGCTGCCCCCTGGGAGTCTGATGCTGTCACTGCTACAGGCGAATGGAGGACGCGCAATCAGCGAGATATTGACCACGGTACCACGATTAGATTCTGCCGCTCTTAGCTCTTCTGGCCTCTAATGCACCGACTGTCTCCATCTCGCTGTAATATTAAAGCTGACCAGACCCGTGGCCCTGCCACAGTGGCTGCTAGTTTTTTTCTGCTCGTCCAAACCCTGTATTGCTATCTATTCATCACTATCTATACGTATATACGTGTATATATACATATATAAATCCCTCTCTTCTTCTTTGCCGTTTACGTGCATCCTGATTTGATTTGCCCCCCTCTGTAGCAGTCATGACATCCAACGGTAACGGCACCAATGGCCACACCAAGCAACGCACGCCTCTCCGGCCAGGCATCTACTCGCCTACCATGACTTTTTTCCACCCAGAGACCGAGGAGCTAGACATTCCAGTTATCAAGAAGCACGCAGTACGACTTGCCGAGGCCGGCCTTGTCGGTCTGGTCACCATGGGATCGAACGGAGAGGCCGTGCACCTATCGCGAGCCGAAAAGACTGCAGTCACTCGAGCCACACGTGAGGCTCTTGACGAGGCTGGCTACCAAAATGTGCCCGTCATTGTAGGCGCATCCGAGCACGGCATCCAGCTCACCATTGAGCTGTGCAAGGAGGCCGAGGCCGCTGGCGGCGAATATGCCCTCATTCTACCGCCCAGCTACTACCGCTACGCCATAGATGAAGACGCCATCTATGAGTACTTTACCAAAGTGGCCGACGGCTCACCCATCCCTATTATGCTCTACAACTATCCAGGCGCCGTAGCCGGCATCGACATGGACAGCGATCTCCTCATCAAGCTCGCCAAGCACCCCAACATTGTCGGCACAAAATTCACCTGCGGCAACACAGGCAAGCTCACACGCGTGGCTCTGGCCACCAATGCTTGCACGGCCAAGTCCAACAGCGGTGGCTACATGGCTTTTGGCGGCATGGCCGACTTCACCGCCCAAACCGCTGCCAGCGGCGGCTCAGGCATCATTGCCGGCGGTGCAAACGTTATTCCCAAGACGTGCGTCAAGGTGTGGAATCTCTGGGCAGAAGGCAAGTACGAAGAAGCCTTTGAGCTGCAAAAGGTCCTCAGCAAGGGCGATTGGGTCTTGACCAAAGCCGCTATCCCCGGCACAAAGTCTGCCATTCAGTCATATTACGGCTACGGCGGCTATCCTCGCAAGCCGCTCAAGAGGCTGTCGCAGGAAAAGGTTGATGCTGTTGCCGAGGGAATCAAGGAGGTTATGGAGGTGGAAAAGAGTTTATAATTCTAGTTGTCTGGGGAGAAAAGAAAAATAGATATCCATTTCTTGTTTTTTTTCTCTTCTTCTTCTTCTTCTTCTTCTTCATGTGTTATGTTGGTGTTAGTCTCCTTTGCATGTCCCCTTTGTTCCTGCTGCCCTCGAGATACAACACACTACATTCACCAGAACCCAGCACTACTAGCGTCACACAACTAGTGCGCGATGTTTTAATTTTAAAAAAAAAGAAAGTGGCACCTGCTACTAGTAGACCCTGAAGGGGCCCCGAAAATGCCCATTAGTTTCCTCTTTTTTTCTTCTTTTGGCTCTTTAGTCCATGGCGCCTTCCATGTCACATTCGCTGCCCATCAGTCAACTAAAAAAACACTGTCTCCTCTGGTCGACACTACGTCGGCGCCTTGACCCAATACAGAAGCTGCACCGACCACGCTAAGGACTATCTTCTGAGCATGAGTGTCCCTTCGCTGGCTAGCCTCAGACCCTGATTCATGACACCGCACCCCCATGTAACCCACCCAGCGCACATCTGGGGGAAACGGCCGTAACAGTATGTTTCGCTTCCTTGTTCCCTCATTAGCTTACTCTGATTGGTGGGCACGAGCAAATGGGTGGTACAAGAAAGGCAATCGAGATCAGAAAAAGTCAAAATACGAGGCATCGATACCCGTTTGTTTTGCTTGATTGCATTGCTCCTGAATCGCTTCAAGGAAGAGAGAAGAAAGAATAAAAAACATTACGAAGCAAAAAAAAAGGATTTGAGTGTACAAGTCGGGTCGTAATGAAGCGAAGCGCGCCTTTTTTTAGTTTTCCATGCCATCGTAACCCCGTGCAGTTTCCCCCAAATAGTCGTAATCGTACAGATCCCTAAGTAATAGTAGTGTTTTAGCCAAACCAGAATCCGTCCAGTTTGCTCCCTGACGCCGGAAATTGACTTGCTTAATGCAGCCCAAACCCATCTAAATTGCTAGACCGTTGCCTAAACTGGTCCATCGGTATAGCGAGAGCACCTCTCTCCGTTTAGCTGGTGTCATCTCCCTCGCATGACCATGGCCCTTGATTTGAGCCAATGTGGATATCATAACTTTCCGGAAGTTACGCTGTGCGAAGTCAGTATCCTGCAGATTGGACGAATTACGAAAACGGCTTACCTGATACTCTGTATTGAGTGTCACCACAGCGGCTTCGTGCGCCCGTACAATTGTTTCGCAGGCACGAATCACGTTCTCGTTGGTCTCGGTCGATAGCTTGTCGGCCAAAAGCAAGAGAATCAAGCTTCCTTGGAGCAGATACTGTTGATTGGTTAGCCCGATTTTCTACAAAAAAAAACACGATGCAATAAGATTAGGGCTGGCCGTCTCTGAAACTGCCAAACTCCATCAAATTAACACGGAGTGTCACTTACCATGCCGAACAAGTAGGGCATAAATGATAGGTCCGGATCGACATCCAGAATTACGTCGACTGCATGGGCGGCTGTGATGGCGTTCGAAGTCGCGGCGAGGAAAGACGGTGAGCACACCCACATGTTGTCGTCTTCCAAAAGCGCTACTGGATCCCATTTGCCGTGCAACAGAATATGAAGCACGTGCATGATGTGTGTGGCGTATGCGGCAACCTTTTTTGTTTGGTGAATCCATTCGGCTCGAACCGGATCCGGTGTAGTGTTTGGTTGTGCTTCCTCATTCGGGCCGCAGCCGTATTGCGCTTTGAACTCCTCAATACTGTACGCGTATCGCTCCAATTGGCGGGTAATTTCCGCCTCATGAAGTTCCCAAGATGACCGCTGACCGAATCTTGGGTGGTTCTTTTGCGCGTTCAAATCTACAATATCGCCGAGGATTGTCATCAGTGGCAGGAAGAAGCCAAACACATCGTGTCTGCATCACGTTAGTACTGCTCAAATGACAAATCACAGAAAATGACATGTCGGAAATATATCAGGCAAGGGGATTGTACGTACGATGTGCACTGGAAGTTGAGCCCCCGCTTCCGTGGTCCTGCGTGTCCAGTGTAGAATTCGCCCTGTTGCCAAAGAGTGTCGGGAACTGGTTGAAATAGATCCTCGCACTCATTGTCGAGCATGGCCAGCGGGCGGTTATAGCAGAGTCCAAGATGTCGATCAACCATGTAAAGCAGCCACCACAGCCGCCGCCTCTCCTCTTTCATTTCTTCGATGATGGCTGCAGCTGGGGTACCTGCAGGCGCTTGAGCACCGGTGCCGTCTGTTACACCAACATCAACTTCTCCATCAGTCGCGTTTCCTTCGTGTTCTTTAGGCGGCTTTTGAGACAGTTCTCGGCCCAGCTTTAGCTCCCTAGCCAGCGACCACGCCGCGTTCCACCACCTCAAAGAAGCTGCCTTGTACTCGCTTGCTGAAGTAACCACTCCGAGGTTGATATATGTAGCAACGTCGTCTAGCGTGCTGGTGGGTGGCAATGCTCCATCTGCTCTTCCGTCATACCTTCCTATTACCCGATCCACGCCAAAAGCGTCATGAGCAGCAGAAGTAACGCCAGGTCCAGGGGTGAAGCCGTGCGAGGACGGAGAATGAACCAAGGGTTTCAATAGTTCGACGGTCAATTTCCACAGTTTTTGGCTAATGATGGCTCTTGCTGAAGGTGATGAGGTGAGATAACTAGCCTCGCTGGTTTGAGCTGCAACCCAGAGCATACTGGCCAGCAGGGCTGGACTGCATCGCCTTGGGTTATGTTGACGCAAAAAGCTCCGTTTCCTAAAGACGGATCCAAGAATGTATGGTGAGACGGGCTCCATGAAGACGGACGAAGAGCTCTGGAAGTAGAATTCGAGGAGATCGCAGGCGGTGGGAATGTTCATGATGCTACCAAGATGTGGTAGCAGCGGCTTCAAAACAGGGTATCTGCAAGAAAGCATGGGGCCGCTGTGCTGTGATGAGTTTGCGCTAACGCCTGACTGTGGCGATCCAGTGTCTGCGGAGCCATAGCTGTGAGGTGAGGATTGGCGTGCAGCTTGTTGGTAGTGCATGTGGTAGGTCATGTTTGCGTATTCAGTGGGGATGGATACTGGAGTGCCATTGGAGCCGGGTATGAGGTGGATGCCTGCTACCTGTCAGTGAATCCAAGCCAATGCAGAGTGCTTTGCATCCATGTGCGCAGTACTCGAGGCTTGGTTGTTCAACATACCATTCATGGCATACATGAGCTCCTCGCGCGGCATCTCAGCATGCATTGGGGGGTAGGCGGCACCGGATCCAAGGAGCAAAGGGTCGATCATCATGTGGTTGACGGGAGGGTCAAACGCGGCGCCAGAATTCAAAGCCTGCCAGTCACCTGTGGGTAAGCCGGTCTTGGTAGATGGGAAATGCTGTACGACGGGTGTGGCTTCTGATTGCGACCACACATCCTCGTCCATTTCGTTCATGACGTTGGGCCTCTCAAAGTAACCGTTGATTCCATTTGGCGTCTGTGGACTACCACCGCCGCCACCGGCAGCGGCCTCCTCTCTTTGCTTTTGGATGTGTCGGGGGACCTAGGGAGGGTGAGTTTTGGGGATGCATGAATGGAGTGGGTGGGCGTGTGTGTGTGTGTGGTCATGCTTACTTTTCCTCTGCGTTTCTTTTCACGGTTGTACTGGCAAACATATTCAAGTTCTATGCAGCGCGAGCATGGTGCCTGACCGTTACACCGTGTGCGCATTCGGTGGCAATGGTCGCATGCACGGCTTACTCTGCGCTTGACTGGTGCTGAGCCTCTTCGCTCAATCTTTGCCGTGTCCTGTGCCGGTGCCGGTGCTGCTGTTGTGGACTCCATGTCTGTGAAGGATGGTCAAGTTGAGAGACGTGAGTCCAGGCGGGAGCCTTTTCTGGTTGCTAGAAAGGGTGGTGAGCAATTGGGAGAGGTCAAGGCGGCAAGGGCACGGAGGCGAACGTACTGAGGCAGACTGTCTGTGTGGCGGCCTCGAGGAAGAGGCGAGAGTTTGTTAGAGGAAAAGCAAAGCGGGAGTGACGTCGGGGAAGAACAGTCGAGGAGGAAGGAATCGGCAGCGGTAAATCTGGGGACAAGCGCGGGTCATGGGATACTTGGGGAGCATATGTGGGCCTGGGACAAAGGTATAGAGCGGTGCTAACTAGTAGGTGCCGAGGAGACAGGCGGGCCAGGACGAGGGCTGCAGCGACGGTTTTGCAGGGTCAGTGTGACGATCTGTGGCTTGAAGATTCCATGCGTCCACGCGGGCTTCGAGAAGCGAAGTCTGGTGTGTAGCAATATCAGAAGACGGAATGTTTAATTCCAACACCCATGCATGGATGTACGGGGGGCGGCCCATTGGCTACGGCAACCAGGCTCTGGGGCAGCTCGTGGCAGGCATCACGACACGGCTGGCAGGGGACCGTTGGCGGCGCAAGAGGGCGCCATTGGAACGGGTAAAACGACATTAGCCGGTGGCTGCTCACCTGCTGTCGAGGGCAAAAAGCGGGGCTGCACCACCACCACCGACGACGCGCCCTCGACTAGCAGCCGACTAGCAGGCACGCACACTGGCAGACTACTGCGGACAGGCGTGCGTACGGTAGCCAGGTAGCCAGGTGAGTGCTACTTACTGCTGGCGTGTACATGGACATGTACTTACTACACAGTACTATTCCAGTCCGTCTGCCCCCCCTCTCTGCTCGCACCCATGTCCCTGTTCATGCCCATGCCCATGCCCATGCCCATGGCACACTCGCTCCCACTCACACTCGCACTGGCGCTAGGCACTCGAGTAGACGCCAGGCAGTTCACGCCTAGCGCCTCCCTTGGTCCATTGCTCTTGCCCGTTGCTCCTCGCTGGCCGCTGCTTCCTGCCTCGACGACTCACCGCACGTCAGCCTGTCCGCCCATCCCTGCTGCCTGTTCCTGCGGCCTTCTCCAGGTTGTGGCTTGTCGCGCCTGACCATGACAAACGCTCCCGCGGGGCCTCGTCTGGCTGGCCGTCGCTCTTCTTCTCTCTTGCGCAACTGCCCCAGCCCGCACTGCACCAGCACCGTTGGAGCCATTGTACATGCGCTAGGTACTTACGAGAGTACATAGGTACATGGCATGGCATGGCCCTCTCTCCACCGCCGCCCCTCGTCTCGCCTCGCCTCGGCCAATACTACATGCACACGCTCCACTGCTGCCCACTGCTCCTCTCGTTGCTCGTTGCCCGCTGCCCGCTGCTGCTCCACCATGTACTTACCTCCATCCTACTACTTTCTGCTCCTGTGCCCTCCACTGCTGAAACCCCCCTCGCCCGCTTGTTTCATGCCCACTACTAGAATAACAACAATATAATGCTGCTGCTGAGGTTGCTCCGTCACGGCCCCCCGCCCACCACCATCACACGTCACAACGTCAAAACACGCACGCCGCCCTGCCACATGAAACTCAATGCCGACGGCGAACTCCTCGTGGCCGGCGTTGCCTTTGCGCACCCGCCCGCCAAGCCACCCCCGGCAAAGGCCTCGAACTCACGAGCAAGCTTGAGTCCTCGCCGTACCCACATGGCTCGGCCTAGCCTGCGACGTGGTTTCCCGCCTGCTTGTGCTCACTAAACTCGACTACCGCACACACACAAGCACAAGCATAGGCACAAGCACAAGCACAAGCACAGTCCGGCTGTTGCGCTGGGTCAGGCCCGTCGACCATGTACCCTATTTACACTGCCGGGTTCTGGTCATGCTGCGATGCGCGCTCATTGTCCAGTGCCACCGCCGCTGATGCTCCCGCCCTGCACCAGCACGCACAAGCACACGCCGAGGGGCTCGGGCGGCGTTTCTAGCAAGCTAAGCGAGCCCACCATGCCTGCAACCCCGACTCCGACATGTCCTCTTCGGCCAACGTCACCATTTCCTCCGTCCAAATGTGGAACACCAACATTGTCTGGACTGTTACATATCAAACCTGCCCACGGCCCTGCTCACCCTTCCAGATGCAAAGGTGAACGGTCCAGCTGATGGCCGGCACATTTAAGTGGACCATGGTGGATCTGCACGACAGCATGCCACCGGCGGGTCCGCTTATTGCTTCCCACGGGGGAGGGGACAGCCTGGCTTTTCTCGCCCTTTGTGTCCCAGGAACACTCTCTCACCCACGCATTCCATACAAATCACATCAAACCCCTTCCTTCACATAGGTCGCCCGTATTAATCTTGCACTCGTATCATTTCTCCATTTGCTATATTCCACCAGAATTCCATGTAGCCTGCTGTTTCAGCCACCTGCTAGCGCCCGCATGCGAGCACCTCTCTCTACTTACCAAGACGAGACCGCTCGCCGAAGCAGAAGCATGTCATTGTCGAAGCTCCTCCGTGCTGTGATCACCGCAATCTCGTGCATGGAGATGAGAGTGCAATCGCCGGCCCGTGAACGAGCTTGTGCACGCAGTCCTACCTGGCTGGCCGATAGACGTTGAAATTGCTTCTTTCTGAAAGACTCCGAATGGACGACTGCCCAACACGCCCACCTCCCGCTTTGGCACCAGGCCACACACGGCCAGGACGGGATCCACAACGGCCGTACCTCCACACCTGGGTCTGAACAGTGTGACCCCCGCCGGGCTCCTGCATGTAAGCGACAACGTTTCGAGCAAATCACACCACGACTTATCTCTCCTCAACGCTGCCCACTCCACTCCAGATTGCACGCTGGGCCACTGCAGCCTACGCAAAAGAGGCCACAAACCCATGGCAATCTGGCCACACAGCTGCTACAGCTTTTTTTTTTTCATCGACCTGCTGTATTGGTTGCAAGCCAGAAAGCGCCCCCTGTAGATTACCTGACCGCTCATCGCCTAGACGCCCCCACAAGGCTGCTGCCATGCACTGCGCCCTACCCTACAGTGACGCCAAAGCACATGTTCGCAGTGTTTTGTGAAGAAGATGGCTGTGTCCAATTTGATTTTGACAAGCCCTTGCCACGCCGCTACATCAACGTGCCTAGGTACACATACAATTCCCGTATATTAAGGGTCCAACCATAAGCCACTTGATCACCAGCGATATAAAAGGACTTGAGCCACACCTCGGTACATGGCCGCAGGGCAGCAGGGTAGCCAGTGCAATGCAATCCTCCGGCATAACCTCACTGGCGAGATGGTGTCGCGTTCTGCTCGCCCTCGTGTGTTAACTTTTTTCCATGCACCCCAGATTCTCCCACCAGTGAAACCCGGGAATACGATGGTGCCCCAAGATCTTGGGATGAGGGGCAAGCGTCAGTGTCAGCATCGGATTTCGGATCAGTGGATGGTGCCCGTGCTACAGAACCACGCTGGCACTGGCGAAGCCCTATGTGCCCTGTCTGCCAACCCTTTTTGCATCATCATTCAATTGATTTGACTTTGATTTGGCTAGTAAGGTAATATTAACCGTCGCCATCGAAGCTGATGCAGCAACTGGCACGATTGGTGGGGTGGGCGCCGCGTACCGCAGCGGCTGTGCCATTGCAAAATAGCCGTAGTCCAATTGCTACGGCTCCACACCCTCACGGCTGGGAAACCAAGATCCTCCCCCAGTCCCGCCGTCGAGGGTTAGGCGGGAGCCCAACCAGCGAATCGTGACTTGTTGCTACCGCCGCGTCGCATGAGCGGCTCGCGCGATCATGCATCATCGACTATTAATGCGGGGGCGAGTATTGACCTGGGGTAAGAGCTGTCGACAGCTGCTGCTGCAGCTGGCGGTGATGCTAATCATGATGGTGGGTGGGTGTGCATGCTGACTGACGGACACAGACAGGTGATTGACGCCAGCTTGACAACGGACAGACATGGACAACCAGATTGTTTGATGAACGGGAGTGGGTGGGGCAAGAGGCACTGACACTCACACTCTGGTCTGGCAGTTGCGACTCGACACAGCCTGCGTGCCTGCCCTGCTGATGAGGTGCATGGCCTAATATGGATGATGATGCAGGTGCTCTGAGCGTCCCTGGACTAAAACACACCGTCTTCTCCTCTCCTCCCTCTCTCTTTTGTCAAACCCGTCGGACGCCCTTTGTGGCTCTTCGCCAGTCACACCTCACGAGACCCCGATTGTCCTTTGTTTTTCCCGTTACAAGGCAAGTTAACCACTGCGGTTCCGGCCGACTGACCCCCCCTGTCGCCCAAAAAGTCTAAATGTAAATTTCGGGATGTTGCAAGCCCGCCCGCATGGTGCACACAAGCATCCGTCTGTCCATCTTGGCGACCCTGTGCCTCCAACGCGCCCCAACGCTTGTCACCACTCCTCAACTCGTTTCATACAAATGAGGCGTAACGCGAATGACAACAATCGGTGCGTCTGCGGCAATACACGCCATGGTTCGCGGCGCTACTTTGACTGCTGCTGTTTGCACAGCTGGCTCTGGCTGGGAGCTAGCATCGTGCCGACATAGCGTGATATCTTTGGCTGTCCATCCCTGCTGCATAATCTGAGCGTGGCGAGCTCATCCAGTACCAAGGGTACCGACTAAACTTACCCCTGACATACAATGAATTACGCAACGCTACAATATGGCAAGTGTATTCTGAGGTTCACCACTACCGGTGTCGCTTCCTTTTCTCCATTCACACAAGTCACGCCCCCTAGCACAATTTCGCGGCTTACGTCCAACCCAGACTAGCCGACTTTTCTCGCCAGCCACTCTCATGGCATAGCGACAGGATGAAACATCCACCTATCAAATATGTTCGTCCGTATATATTCTGCCAAGAGGGTGCAAGGAGTTTCACGATCACCATAGACTAGATCGGATCGCCCTGCCCTGCCCTGCCCACATCGGAACACCCTTGTTTCTGAAGCCGATCTAGAATTCCGCAAACAGGACTTTACCGACTCTAGAAGCATACCCATCTACGAATAGCAGCTCCCCAGCTCTCGGATTAGCCGAGACAATCTTCTCGAAGCCTGGGACTTGGTTGACCGAGAGAAGGTCTGCGTGACTCACGATGCTACGGCACATGACAGTTTTTTCTTCCTCCTTATCCTTTTTTTCTCATAATCATTTTCATGGTCTTCATTTCCTTCTCGGGTGCTGACTGACAAAAAGAAGACTTACAAGGCTCGCATTCGTATTTGCGAATGAATGTCACACAACACACACACACACACGCATCTCAATACGAAGGACACTAGCAAGCAGTAGAAATCCCCATATCCGGGGTATTAGCATGTCGGCCCCACCTAGCCGGAAACTTGACGCTACTAAGAACAGCATCTCCACATCTTGTATACATACAATTGAGAATGCTTGCTCTGAGAGCAACTGTTATCAGCTGCAGGCTAAGTCTACGCGCGACCTACCCTACTTTTGCCTCTCGGCGTCATCCTTCATGCCGGCCTGGACCCACGCCCGACTCTTAGCAGCCTGCTCCTCCATCTTGGCCTTGTCCTTGAGCAACTCCCTCATGGTGTGAGGATCGGGGACGTGGCGGCCTTTCTCCACCCCCTCACGTGCTTCCATTCGGTCCAGCCAGGCCTGAACTGCAGGGAACTTGTCCAGGTCGACGCCTGCCCAGCCGGCAGCCGCTCCCCATCCATAGTGAGCAATATCTAAAGTTTGGTTAGATGACAGGAGATGAGGAATTCGGTGAGAGAGTGTGTGTGCCTTGGGAATGAGTAACGGATGTAGTAGGGGGTAGACGGGGAATGGAATTGCCGGCTTATTGCATTTCGGTGGGTTGCGGGAGAGCCACATCCGCCGCATACATGAGGTTTTGCAACAAACCTGTTTCATTTTCTTTTCTCAACCACCATCGAATGATTGATGATTAGGAGATGGGAGCAACGAAACAGCTATGTGTTGGCAGAGGGGAAAGAGAGGAGATGATGCAGGGTGCGACCATGTTTGAATACATGGACTGGGTAAGCAACAGGAACTGTCACGCTACTCACCGGCAATGGTGCACTTTGTGCCGCACAGGTATGGCCTGTTGTCCGAAGCGAGATGCTTGTCGAGAACAGAGTAGAGGCGGCGTGTCTCAGTTTGGTACCTATTCACACCATACTAAATCCATGGAGAAACACACAAACGTGTCAGCACTCTTTTCCTATTTTTATGCGTGTGCATGACGCAAAAGCCGCCTACTTTGCTTACCTCGATATGCTCGGGGGCATAACGTGTGAAATGATCTGTTCAAAGGGCTTTTGTTAGCCCTTGTCCATTCTCGCTGCGCCTTTTTTGCTCTACTGCCCCTCTTGATAGCCCCTCCAAACTGTTTAGCAGATAATGTAGATCACAAGGCGGCTCGAGGATCTTTGCCTCTGTTTGGCAGTTTCCCCGCCCCGCTTCGCCCCCCCACATCCCAAGGCAAGATTGATTGAGTGACGGCGGGAGCCAGCCAGCCAGCCAGCCAGCCCACACCCTCAATCAATCAATCAATCAATCAAACCTGACCCGCCCGATGCACAACCGCCCGCATGCATCATATTGCTCAGGGGTCGTGAACAGAAAACGATGACCCCCCTTTGCCACGCCTTACTACTTACTACCTTGCCTTTAGCTCTGGTCAATAGGACCCCTCTTTTTCTTTCCCACTCTCTTGCAAATATCTTGATAATCACATGAAAGCAAGCAGCCAACCAAGAAAAACCATTCTCTCTCTCTCTCTCTCACTCAAAAGAATGAAACACACATAAAGGAGAAAGATTGTTGGGGAGGGGGGGAGAAGGAGAGGGGGGAACACTTAACTGGCCTGGCCTTGCATAGGACCTACACCGGCGTTTTGGAAAAACAACCAGTTGTTCATTTCGAACCACTCGCGGGTTCCCTTTGGGAAACTAATCTTGTGCTCCGTGTCGTACCGCTCGACGAGGTATTGCATGATGCTGCCTGATTCGAAGAGGTGGATGGGTTTGCCGTCGGTGAAGGTGTCGGTTAGAGCGGGGATGCGGCCGTTGGGGTTGATGGCGAGGAACTGTCATGAGTTGGTTTTTTCTTTTCTTTGTTACGATATAGTCCTCCGTAAAAGGAGATGAATGGGTGAGAGGGGGGGGGTTGGCTTACCCAGTCTTCCTTTTGGGTGTTCTTGGATATTTCGATCTTGTGGACCTTGTAGGGGAGGCTGCGGGCAAGGGTTAGTTTATCGTGATCTTTTTTTTGTTTGCTTGAGTTTTGTATGCTCTCTCTCCATACATATGTTTCAAGATTATGGACTGATGGAAACATGTGTGTGATGAATGCCATCTTCTAACATCTAGATGTCGGACTGAATGTAAGGAAAAAGTGGAAGATTGAAGAAACACTCTGGAAAAACGATATACCAGCATCGTATAAGAAACCTGAGCAAGTAGCGATTACATCTCGCGACTCATCGTGAGGCTCTCAATATCTTGTTCTTGTTCTCGAGATGAAGTGACACGATGCCAAGTGTGCTATTTGTGAATGTATACGATCACAAAGAGAGAGATGGAGAGACATGCCTCATGTGACAATACAGGAGAGAACAAACAGGGCTGATTTAGATGATGCAAAACAACAAGAAAATGAAGATTATCAAAAGACTTTTGTAAAATGTAAACCACACTCACCCCAGCTCCTCCAAGGTAATGGAGATCTTGATGCCATTAGGCGTCTGCGTCGTATAAAGCGTGATATCAGATTGCTGCGACATATTTGCGGTTGCGAAAAGGAGAGAGAAATGTATAAGCCCCCAGTACTTTGAAAACAAAAGATAACAAATGTTCCAAAAAGCCTTGTATCTCTTTCTCTTAAATACGACAGTTACAATGAAAAACGTAGAGGAGCAAAGCGCGCTGGTTTAATGCTGGCAAAGTGGGGTTCCAATGAGGGGCACACACACAAAGTATGACGATTTTTTTTTTGCCGGGGGGAAACACGGCCGACACTAGGGACTTTTTGAAGGTAATCTGGTACTTGGGGGCTAGAAGCTAGTAATAAGGCCGCCTGCGTGAGTTTGCTAGCTTGTTAAAGTACTACTAATGCGCGCACATTTGATGAGGGCGGTGTACTAGGTACCTTGCTGCATTGGTTTAGATCGTACGGGGTAGATTAATTGCGTGATATATTTGATCACGGGCGTGCTGGGCAGGAAAGGAGTACCGGATTTTTTTCATATCTCGATATCGGGTCACTACGTACGTAGGGCTGGATCCTGGCGGTTCACTTTTTGAGGAACCGATAGTAGTAGGGACGGAACACTAAGCATTCACACGTGAAAAGTATCTGAAAGGGAATAACTCTGAAACAAAAAGTTGTAAAGATGTAATGGTAGAGAGTGACTAGTATTTCTCCATCCTTGAGCTTTACATTGATATTCTAATGGATCCCCCTCATTGTCTTGCCTATGGGCATTGTCGGGGAAGCTCTAGTACTAATCACCTGTTTGTCTGAGAACATACAACGAGCTTGGTTGGAAAAACAAAATACCTCCATAACACTTGACTTCAAAGCATTGACTAACTGAAACGCCAAGTACTGGATTTGTAATCCGAGTAGGTTTCGCAGTTGGTTGATGATGTATTAATCAACTCCGGTACAGCATTCGGTTACTAGAAGACCCGGTCCGCTTTCGGTGTAAGCTTGAAGATTTATATAGATGCGCAACACACACTTTGGTTAAAGGGACTATCCAATTTCGGTTAACTTAGTTCCTGTCTCAGACTCTAAAATTCCCCTAAAAATGCCAACTGCTATCGCAATCGCTGGTATCAGCAGCACACTTGCTCTTCTCATCGCAAGATCACTTCTTCAACGACCTGATGTCCACATTCGCGGCTCTTCACGTAACATGAACAAGATTCCAGACGATCTGAAATCCGACTCGTGCGTTTCATTGGTGCAGAGCGACCTATACGACACGGATACGTTGCGCACCTTGGTGTGCAGTTGCGATATGGTAATGTGCTGCTACCTCTCGAGCAACGAAGTCATGCTCGAGACAAAGAAAGTTCTAATCGACATTTGTGAATAAAAGGGCATACCATGCTACATCGCCAGTGAATACACTATAGGATACCGCAGGCTCGATCCGACCGACCTGGGCCTCAAAAGTTTTACAAACGATATCGTAGCATACTTGAAAACAAAACCCGCGGTTAAGGGCGTGCACATCATGATTGGTTATTTCATCGAGGCCTTCCTTGACTATTTCGACGTCTGGCACCCGGAAGCGAACGAGCTTCGGTATTGGGGAACTGGTAATGAGAAATGGGACTTTACCTCATATCAGACAGGGGTGAAATACGTTGCTGCTATGGCTCTCGATCCGGATGCATCCGGCTTCTTCAAATGTAGCATTCCCTCACTGACACTTTGACTGCATAATACTTACAATTGCAATTGGTCCGAGGAGAACGTAAAAGCATAATAGAAATCGCCGATGACATTGGATCAATGACAGGTTCCAGTCTTTGGCCGACCTTGACAAGCAATTGGATGGCACTGGGAACCTAGATAAAGTTACTGTGTGAGTTGCAGCACCAAAGTCTATCTGATGTTGCTTGTAAGCCCAAGCTAACGAAGCAATTATCATATAGTGCTGTGTCATACTTCATGTTGACTGGAAAGGTTTCCCTTGGTGATGATATAGGCAACGAGAAGTACCCTTCTGTCAAGCCAGAATCATTTTCGGACGTACTGCGACGACTCTTGAAGTAAACATGGATATGGGGATGATAGAAGCTAAAGTAATGAGACGCCCAACAATCGGTGCTAACAAGAGCGTTGTGTCTTTCTTTCATGGCCTGGCAATCTAAAAGTCAAGAAGATGAAGACAAGGAATTCAATCATTCTGTCAAAAAATATGTACCACTTGGTTTCGAATTGTGATACATACGTGGATGGTGAATCTAAGAGAATTAGAAATTTAGAGACATTAGAAGACTAGAGTAAACATAGTAGCTCTTACCTAAACATCACTGCGTTAGTAAAACGTATTTCATAGTAGCGTTATTGAGAAAATGCTCTACAAGTTTTCTTCAAGTTTTTTTTAACACCCCCCCCCCCCCCCCCCCCCCCCCCCCCCTATATACACAGATCAATGAATTCAAGCGCACAAGTCCAGCGCAGCTATGATTCTCACCTCAGCATATCATGAGCAGATTAGCGGACCAGATCACATTTCGTCAAGTTAAACCCGAACCGACCAAGCACTTTACCCAAACCCCAGTTTATAGGCGGAGACTCCCTTTTTCTTCCAGCTGATGCGCCTAACTACCACACGCCAGACCAGCAACCTTCGATACTAACACACACCCATCACCTACCCAGGCAACGCGAGATTTTAATAGGTGGAAAACACGGCTGGAAATTGAAAGAAAAAGAAAAGGGCACGACAAAGAATAGCATTTCAAGAGAAAAAAAAAGGGGGGGGGGAGAGGGGAAAGAAGAATAGACCAAAGACATGCTATGTTCTCGACTGGAGATTGAGAAAAAAGCGAGTGAAAGCAAGACAAGCCTGGGTCGTCAAAAAGAATCTTCCTCACACCAAACAACAGGAGAATCCCACTCACCATCATGTACTCCCCGGCTACCCTTCTCTGCCCTACTAATTCACACACTCGAAAAAAAAAAATCTCAACAAAGCACCACTAAACCTTCGTTGATTGGAAAAAGAAGAAAAAAAAAGAACATACATATTACATTCATCTACTAATACCCACCACCCTTCTCTGTGTAAAAGAAAACACGCTCCACATTCGGCAAAATCAAGACAAACCAACATTACTCCTTCCCTACCTCATCCAACTTGGCCATCATAGCCTGTACCTCCTTGACAAGCGCTTTCCTCTTAACCCTGGCATCGGGATCACCCTCGGTATCCACGCCATCGAGCTTGAAGATGATTTGCGTGAGGATGGTTTCGCTGAGCTTCTTGTACTCAAATGTCTTTTTGGCCTTGTCTTCGGGCGGGTTGGACATGAACTGTATGCAGAGGGGGACGAGCTCGGTGTGGAATTTGCTGGCGACGGCGTCGAGTTTGCCCATGGGGGTCTGGGGTTGGGCGGGCCTGGACGTGTTTTGTGGGGGTGCAGAGGTAGGGCGGGGTGCGGCGTTGATGTGGGAAGGGATGGGAAGGTATTCCGCACCAGCTCCAGCGGTCGTGTAGCCAGGTGTCGAAGTTCCGGATGCGTTGCCCGACGAGACTCCCTTCTTCTTGCTCTTTCTGCCGCCGCGCTTGCGAGACTTCTTTTTGCCCGATGTATTTACGCCAGAGTCGTCATCGTCGTCATCATCCTCTTCACCCTCGCTCCAGGCACGCGGCGGCGCCTCTTCTGAAGCAGCCACATGGCCGCCGATAGGTGCCTCGCCTACTGTGACTAGAATCTCACTCCCACTACCATCACCACGCAGCCCTTCTTCCCGTCCCATCCGCTCATCGTGCTTCAAATTCCTGCCCTTGTAAAACATACGTATCTTCCGGTAGTCATCGACGCCCAACTTCTTGGCCGCGGCCTGTCGTACCGTACCGATCTTGAGGTCTCCATCACGTATGCTGTGCGCCGGGAAATGTGTAGGATAGTGGGTTCGTCCGTGCTTGAAGATGAGCACATCTGTTTCTCGCTCCGGGTTCTTGTCATCCCAGTCTACAATTTCAGGTGTTGATGCCTGTCCATTCCGACGCAAATCTTCGTTTGTGATATACGAGAAATCCGAGTCGTTTACGACGCCAGAGTTGGGCGAGTTACTGGGGCGGCCAAATGGCGAAAAGCGCCCTCCCCAGCTGCCGCCAGCGCGTGAGAACCAAGACATGCCCACAATAATGGAGGCCAGTGCAATAGCAACTGTGACAAGGTAGGTTGGATCGTCAAAACGAGGATTCGTAATGATCTCGGTGATATCGCTCAGACCACGATTCTGCAGGAAGCGGATAGCCTTTGATAGCGCGTCTGTAGACTGATGCTCGGTATCGTGTGAAGAAGCTGCGTTGTCGCCTAGTAAAGAGCTGCTGTTGAAGAAATTGAACGACTTCTTCAATTCGTCGACTAGGATGTTCAGCGACGCCACGGTGGTCGAGTGAGGCGCCCTGCTAATTTAGCAAGGCGTGATGTGTCCGCGCGTACTCAGATGACGTAGTAAGTAGTTGGGAAAGTCCTTGTGTGTGCAGTGGGGACTTCTATCAGCGGTCGGAACCGCTCGTCTGCGTCGATCGGCCAAACGTATTAGCGAAGTGACGTCGCACTAGGAAAAGGTCCGACTAGGCTGCACACGAGACCTGGCATATGGCTTAGTCACCGCTAGCAGCCCATTCTACACACGATGTGGCACGACGTCAACAAAAGAAAGCAGGCTCACGGCAATTGGACACGTTTGACATGAACAGGCAATTTTCAAATCAGTATATGTTACATAAGCTAAGCTTGAACATCGAGACCGGTTTCGCTGTATGCAATGTCCATCGGACACATGAGATGCTATAAACCGAAGAACAGATCTTGACTGCTCATATCCTACGCAAAAGCACCGATTATTACGCCCAACTCCAGTGACATGTAAAAAAAAAGACGCCGATTTCGTGAAATTAGAAGAGTGTCATAAGTCGTGTTGGTGGATTACATCCATCCCCCATGCAGAACGCCAAGAAGCAACAAAGTTGAAAGGGCAAACAAGTGGTGTCCGAGAGAGTCCATGGTTAGACCTTGCTCCGCTTGGGCGTGGCTAGAAATTCCAGCCTCGATTTGCTGATAGTAGTAGATCGGCTTCCTGGGGTCTGACGTGGCAGCTTGTTGGTGCGGGCAGGAGTCTTTGGAGTAGGTGCAGTTGTATGCTTGACTTTCTTGGACGAGCGCGTATCCTCTTCGGCAGGGCCGTCATTTTCCTTGTCGGAGTTCTCCTGCAAAGTTTCTAGCTTGCGCTTGCTGCCTTCGGCACGGGACGAAGTGTCGCTGTTGCGGACCATGCGGATCGTGCCAGTTGATGCAGGGCCTAGAAGAATATCAGCAAAAGAGACCCAACCAACTCAGACCAATCATACGTACCAAAGTTGACAGCCTTCCCAGACTCAAATGAAAAAGAGCGTGGGTGGTTGGGAGCCTCGCCGCCGAATACGAGACGTCGTGATGGTGAACCTTTCAAGGTTTCGGCTTCTTGAGACAGCTCCAGATTATTGACGACAGAGCTCAGGTTGGGATAAATCACGGCGCCGGTGGGAACCTCACTGCCTGCGCCAAACTTCATTGGCGATGGTGACTTGCCCAATTCTTCGTGCGAAGCTCGCTCCAGAGTGCTACTAGAGAAATTGACATGCTTCTTCACAGGAGCCGTGGCTGGAACTGTGGTTAGGGTATTATCCAAGTTGGAAGACACAGGGGGAGACAAATGTGTGCCTGCTGCGACCTTGTTGGGGTCGTTCGAGTACTTGCGGTTGGGAGTACGAAGGATGGAGCGAACAAGCTGAAGGTTGTGACTTGCCTATACAATATCAGTAAGATTCTGATGATATTCAGTATGGCTACATACCTTGCGCAGACCTTCTCTTGCACCATCCCTCATAGCCCGTATTTGGCTAAGATTACTGGATGGAGACGATGCTTGATCTGTGGATGCTGACTTTGCCATTTTGACTGTAGCAGATGATTTGCCAAAGGTCGATATCATCGAGGTAGTCTTCAGGGTCTTGACGCTTTGTGAACGGGCGGCCGACGACCTTGTGGGCGTCATCAGACGAGAGGCCAGACGGGGAAGCGCAGTCTGAGACGTGATCTTGCGCGCTGGAGTTGTAATCACAGGTGTGGAATCGTCAGAACTCTTCTCATGAGACTCAGGACGGGTAGTCGCAGCATCGTCAAACTCGGTGCGTTTGACACGCTTTGATGTTGGGTTACGACTGCTTTCGCCATCTCGTGAGGTAGGACGGCCGTCACGGTTCGGGGGCGCCATGCGGCGCGCAGGCTCAGAACGTGGCACGCTGGGGCCGGCAAGATCCGTCTTAGACAGTGTGCGCTTCAATGGTGTTGGCGGAACATTGCTTCCGGAGGCTGTTGTGGTCGGCTTGGACTGCGTGCGCTTCAGAGTACTATTGGGGTTCGTGCTCGACTCTGCAATATCAATCTTGGACTGTGTGCGCTTGAGTCTGTTTGTCTCAGGCTTCGCAATGTCTGGCTTTAAAGGCGATTTCTTGAGCGGCTGGCCAATAACAGGCTTGAAGCGAGATGGGTCGGCACGGAATGCAGAAGGGTGGTTGGCGATAGAGTCCATATTCTTGAACTGCTTCATATGCACATCGCTGAAGCGGGCCAATTTGCCCTTGGCTTCTGCCTTTTTGCGTTGGGGTGATACATCAGCTTTGGAAGACCACTCGCTAGTACCTGTGGAGTGATTAGAATGAAAGGCATACACAAATTCTCATTATCACATACCAAACAAAGCACGGCTACCGGCACCAGGGGTACCTGTGATACCGGCACTCTTCAAGATGTTGCGCGAGCTTGGGCTCAATCCGGCTTCGTCTGGTTTGGGGCCCTCGAGCACAGGAGACTTGAACCGAAAGCGGAAATCTGGCGAAGACTCGATGTTTGAGGTCAAGCCTCTAGTAGTGGGTACAGGAGTTTTGGAAGGAGTAGCCTGACCTGCCGCCAGACCAGCTGCCCTTGGTGGTGCAGTGTGCGCGCCCAGCGACTGGAACCCTAGCCAACGCGCCTCATCCAAAACCTTGGCCGTGCTTGCATGATGATGCGCCGGGTGCATTTCCTGACCTGCAGGCTTGATAGTGGTACGGTCCTTGGGCGTGCGAATCTCCGTAGCTGCAATGGGCAGCTTGGTTGAGCTATTCTTATGGGGCGTAGGGGTAGCCATAGCTGGTACTTGCGCCGGCTGCGACGTAGGCTGGACGCCCTCAGAGGGCTTTGACTGCGACGGGGTCTTCGTGCCTGGTTCCGGGAGCTCAGGAAGATCTGGAAGTCCTATGTCTGCAGGGGACGCGTTGTGCCGGCTGTCGTTGGGCTTTGTTGAGCCATCAGGCGTGGCCTCGCGCTATGGAAGGAGAACAGGTCAGCAGATGTAAACAAACAGCCCAGGGGCAACAACCAGATAGAGCTACATACCTTCAAGAGACGAGCAGAGCGACGCGCCATGTTGCGCCGAGTGTTCAAGCAATTGCGAAGCTTGAATGAACAAGGGAGTTGAGGGTGGAGAACGAAGATGGTCTGTGGGTGGGGAGAGACGGGATACGGGATGTGGGAGTAAATCGGCTAGGGCGTCGATAAACAAAGTGCACGGACCGTGTTTTCCATGATAGGACACGACGTCATGATGTGGCTTTCTTGGTCCAGTTTAGTCGCATTCGAAAGGTGAGGGAGAAGGACGTGAGTATTTTGCGGTGCAAATTTTGGACGTAATGGCTTTTACTCACGGGTTGTTACATAGTTGCAGCTGCACATGTCAGACGCGTTCAGCCAGCATCATTAGAATCAGGCACAGCGAGAGTCTCGGAGTTGAGTGCTTTCTTATTACAGGAGATCTGGACAAACTATTCGTATATAGATGCTGTCTCACTACGCAGTGCGCTCTGCATCAAGTCCTTGTGCCTCGATTCATCACCAGTCCTTCTCGGTCTTCTTCCCAAGCAGTGCACCAGGTGGCTTAGCCAGTTCTGCTTCAACACTCCTTTCCGCCTGCTCGCGCAATCCCTCCTTGGTCGCGTCTTCGACATCCCTTTCTTTCTTTCCCTCTTCTTCGCTCTTCCATACAAAGTTGCCTGCTCCACCTCTTCCGCTCCTCGCAATAGGCAGCTCTTGGTCTTCGGGATGCCATGGCGTGCTAACCTGCGGGGTAGGAGATGTAGGAATAGCAGTGGAGTCGCCAGGTTGAGTAAAGGTACCGTCTTTCTGCAATTCAGTAGGCTGGTACCAGTTGCCCGCTCCGCCTCGGCCCATATGTGCATAACTTTGTGATGCATTAGAGGGCTGCGCTGCTGATGGAGAGCGAGAGGCTGGTGCGATGGACGAACCAGCGTGGTTTGCCTCAATGTCCTGGATGTAATGTCAACTTGAGTGTATCGCAGAGCTTGTGTGTGTACCCACTTTGGCAGCCTTCTCGCTCTCTTCCTTCGCTGCATAATAATTACCTGCACCTCCTCGCCCGTATACCATGATGTCTTTGGTGTAGAAGACTGAGTTTTGTTGTAAACAAAGACGGTATGTCGCTCTGCTGGATAAGGCAAGTATGTGTGTGTGTGTGTGTGTGTGTGTGTGTGTGTGTGTGATGGCTAGTCAACGGATAAGAAAGCAAAGAGACCAAAACTCACATGTCGCAATGCATGGCACGCGGCTCCGAGTGGGTCGCGTAAAACTATAATTATAAGCACCCGGCGTTCTGGACAGATAGGAACGTGGGGAAAGGATGACGGTTGGTATCGGGTATCAGTGTGGGGGATTAAGGCCGATTACGTGCACATGGGCCGTGGGCTTGGCGAACGATAAAGAAGCATACCAAGCAGACACACAGCACAGCACAAAGGTTGGCAAGCATCATCTACCAAGCAAGGACGTAGACTTATTCAGCAAATGCTAACAGATTGAAACATATGAGATTCGCCCTCCATGACTAACTAATGTATAACTCAACAAAATCGGTCGTAAAAGACATCTTCCTTAGGAGTGACCGTACATAGAACAGAAGCAAGACATGGCCGTGTTAACAAAGTACCCTTGAGCCTATTCCTCGACCGGTAGTGGTTCCTCACAAACGCCTTGACGCCAATCTCCCAGCCCAAACTCCGCAAAGCATCATGAACCTTTCTGAGCTACGTCAGACCTATTCCCGTCCTTCTTGCACAGCGCGCAAGACTGGGTAAAGGTTGTGAGCATCATCGTCGGTCATACGGCGCTCCTCGTCGTGCTTGACGTCTTCGTCGTCGTCGTCGGAGAAGTCGTGAGCCTCGAGCCTTTCCTTGAGGTAAGCACGGAGTCTCTCGATTACACGGATGTTCTCAACCCAAGATTGTTGAGATGAGTCGCCCTGCTCGGTGGTCGATGAAGAAACGCTTGGCGAGCGAAGAGCAGGGTCAACCTTGGGAGAGTGGAGAGCCAGCTGGTTAACGTTGTGGTGAAGGCTATCGTGCTCAGAGTCATGGCGATCCTTGGGAGAGCCGGCGTCACTTGAGGTATCCATAGAGCTCTCGGATCGATCAGGGGCAGCCTTCTGCAGAAGGTTGCCAGAGAATCGTCGACGGTTGTCGGTGTCGAAAGCTGGGGCAAGTCCCGATGACGGAGCTGCAGCGGACATGTCTGACATGGCGCTGACAGATGGAAGAGTGGGGTACATGCTACTGATTGAGTTCCTTGATGTGGGAGAAAGTCCGCTGGAGTGCGAGGCGCCAGGCGAGTGCTGAGAGCCGTAGGATAGAACACTGGAGGCAGGGGTCAAGGCAGGCGTCTCGACGCTAGTAGATCCAATAGCAGTGGTGTGGGAAGATTGCGAGTGGCTAGAAGAGAGGCCAGGTGGTGAGTTGCTGGAGCGGTAACCGGCACCAGTGTGGATGTAGTGGCCAGGGTGAGCAACACCAGCTGCAGCAGCGTGGTTGGGGTTCTCATAGACGGTGCTCTGCAACTGCTCAAGGAACTGATCAATGTTCAAAAGATCGCTCTTGGTCCTGAGGTTGGGTAGTGGCAGAGAGTAGGGGTGGTGCATGGGTGGGTGCTGTCCCTGAGCAACCATGGTGCCTCCATGGCCGTACTCACCCATGCCGGCCTGGTAACCGCCGCCGCCGCCGAGAACTGGGAGTTGAACACCCTGCAGGCCCATGAGTCGCTGGCCAACGTCGTAGTAGGTGGTAGGGTCGATTGCACGACGCTTAGCATCTCCAAAGAACTCGTTGAGAGCGTCATAAGCAGCGCGCTTCCTGATTTCGTAGTCGTTGTTGAGCTGCTGAGATTGGTTGACTGCATAGTAAACTGGTCCATAGGCAGAGTTCTGGGGTGGGCCTCCATAGAAGCCAGCTGGAGCAGCACCGGGGTGTTGTTGGCCGTAGCCTGCATTGGCTCCAAGTGCACCATCGGGATATTGATATCCACTCGCTGTAGCGGCAAGCGCCTGCAAGTCAGCGACCACTGTAGCCGTCTGTTAGATATTGAAAGGGGATGGAGCCAAGGCAAGTCCAAGAAGATGTGTTTTGGGACGGGTTGGATCAAGAGGACTTACGTTTACCGTTCTGGCCCGGGTAGCCTTGAGCGCCGTGGGCGCCGCCTCGGGTTGGCTCGGGTGAGCGGAGCAGGACAGAGTCGTCGGCGTGAGTCTTGACGTGCTTCTTGAGATCCTGGGGGCGCTTGAAGGCCTTGCCGCAGAAGTCGCACTTGTGTGGCTTCAGGGGCACGTGAACACGGATGTGAGAGGTAATGTGATCACGCTTGACGGTTGTTGTGCGGCAGTTGCCCCACTGGCACGTCAAGTTGAGGTTGTTGGTGCTCTTGCGGCCAACGTGACGCTCACAAACGTGGTCCTGGCCGAATGGTCAGCACACTGTGCGAGGGTTGTGTTGCAGACGAGCATTACTTACATAGAGCTGCTCGGCAGATGGCAGGCGGTCGCCGCAGTTCTGCCACTGGCAGACGAGCTGGTCGCCTGAGCCAGCGCCAGCGACCGAGGCGGGCGTTGGGGCATTTTGCTGGATGGGGGTGCCTTGAGGCTGCTGTTGCGGTGTCGTGGCCGCGGCTGGCACGGCGTTCTGTACGTCGCTCATTCTTGGCAGGGAGTGGTAGAGTTGCTGTGGAGTGCTTGGAAGTGGAGAGGAGAAGAAGACGACGACGACGACGCCGAGGGCAGAGGAGGATAATCAGACGACAAAGCGTCCAGATGGGCAAGACGGCGGCCGGCTGTGCTGTGGTGGACGGGAGGGGACCAGAGTGCGGGGAGCAAAGGCGCGTCCTTGGAGGCCAGGAATAAGAAGAGAGAGAAGAGCGCCGAGACAAGCAAGATGGATTTCGCGGGGGGGAGGGGGCGCTGAGCGTCTGATGTAGGGGACTGGGCAGTGCCCGGAGCGGAGCTGGTCACACCCTGCTCCTGCCAATTTTCTTGGGGCCAAGTTTTAGACTGCCGCGCTAGTGCGCGCTTGGACCTTGGCCTAATAAGCCGGTCGCATCGGACGCATGCCAAAAACCCCTCAGCGACGAATCGGCGCGTGCTTCGACTGGCCGTGGCCGACAGCCATCCTCTCTCCCTCCCTGCCCAGCAGCCGGGCCTCCCGCTGCGAGCTGGGGGGAAGGGGGGTTGCGCGCTTTCGCTTTCACCATCGCGCTCCGACAGGCAGTTTCCCCGTAGCCGCTTGCCAGCCTTGATGCGCTGCACCTTCGCTGCCTCGGCCGCGGCTGCTGCTGCTGCTGCCCGAAAGCAACACGCTTGCCCGCCTCTGCACACGCTGCGACGCGCCCTGCTGTTGCGACGTGCTGCCTGCTGCCTGCTGCCTGCTGCCTGCCTGCCTGCCTGCCTGCCCAGCTCAGGCGGAGTTCTTGGGGCAGGGCGGAAATTCTTGTCCGGCCACAACCACACCTGTGTCTGACCCGTCATCGGCAAAGGCCGCGTGCCTGCAGTGGCGACTCTTCTCTGCCGGCCACCATGCCCCGCGATCCTCTGCACAAAACAGGTCTGGCAGCAGCCAGGGATCACACTTGCTCCAGCAGCCACGCGTTCTTGCCTTCTTGCCCGATGGCCTGCCTTTGCGCGCACATGTAGCCCGTAGCCCTTTGCCCTCGATGCCCACATCCCAGCATGCTGTCACACGTAACTCTGACGCTTCGAAACCACGCCGTCGCCACGACCACCGTCCCAGTCGCCTCGACAGCCACGGCTCGCTAGCAACCAAGTACTGTCGGCCCTGGCGCCGGTGCACGCAAGCCTAGTAGCTCTCCGTCTCCATGTCTCTAACCCCCATTTTCACACCAAACTCGAGCTGCCTCTGCTCGGTCGGCTGACGTCGTTCGGCGCCTTTCGACCTGAGCAGCCGCAGTCGTGCACCGCGTCCTTGATTGGGCAAAATACTGCCTGCATTGCACTACAGGACATTCATCCATCTGCCGACCACCAAGCTTGGAGAGGCCGACTTTGATTGTCTGTTGGTCCATCAGACTCGATATTGCTAATATGCGAGCGGGATTCCGCTGCCCCCTTGGCAATTGTTCCAGCCAAGAGTGCCCAGATTTTTTGAGGGTATTGGCATCATGGCTGTGCCAGCTTGGACCAGCGTTTGCTAGCCCCGTCTCAGGGTATCGCCGCGACATCATTTACTGACACTCTCTCAACCAGACCGTTGCTTCCATCTGACATACCGCTCCTTCTGCACTGTATAGTGGGCGCGCTCGAGGCAGACATACGCTGCTCTCCGTCAGGTCCATGGAAAGCTCGCTGCGACCATTGCATACGCCACATCTTGGCACCACATCCAATTCTCAGCCACATGCGTTCTCGCCATGCTCGCCTCCTCGAGCTGCCGGACGAAATGCCGCTGGACCGAGTGGATGACACGCCTTGTTGAGGAAATCAGCCACTTTCGTACGCCAAATCGCACCGCCACGTGCCTACGGCAACGCATACCACGGCACGATGACGAGCGCCATGGACGCGCATAGGTCTGTTGACGTTTGTCGCATGTCTTGGACCTCGCTGCGGAATCTCTTGGGAACCAAGAGCGGGCGGGACATGCAAGTGCACTCGTGTTGCCAAGCTGCGCACAACTTAGTTGCACCCACATTACTGCCCCCCAAGAAAACGGACCCCTATTCCATACTGACATACTACATGCGCTTGTGGAGGGAACAGTTGCGGGGCCCAAAGTTTAGGACACGGATATTGAGCCAAATCGGTATTACCTAAACGCCCATGTCACGTTCTTTTTCGGACATACTTTGGTTTCGCTGTCATCTTTGTCCAGTAAGCTAACGTTACGGTACCATACGTATGGGTATCCCTCGTGGGAAACTTAGTGCTCACACGGCCAAGTCGACTTGGATACTCTTAGATCTCGATTCAGAGGAAGATCCCATATGACCGTAACACTCCTATCCTTATTCTAGGCTATCACACAAGCAAAGAGATAACACTACCGAGCCATTATGGGAATAGGATACGTAATATGCCTTTTGCGGCGGGTTTATTAAGAGCGTCAGAGCACACTGTACTTATTCTTAGAGGCTGTAAGCATGTTGTAGACCACCCTGCGTCCGCGATGTGAAACAGGTTACACTAATGTTGCTGCAACACACGCGTCGCTTGGCATTTCGCCGATAGATCAACTGAGGGGAAGTGGGGAATAGATAGGCATACAATGTGTGGTAAATCCATCCAACATTCTGCGCATCACGATGTCTGGCACTTGCGGTGCTAGAGAGTCTATCTTGGGCAAAACACAAGGAAACTTCTTCTGAAACACCCCAGTTCGATTGCAATGACCCAGTCTGTGCTTGAAAGCATCACACCCACCCCATGCTCCCGTGCTCCCAGTTTCCCTCCACTTCTAGTGCTTACATACATACGTGGACACAGCGAAAAAAAAAACCAGGAATCATGCTAACCATTCCAAAAAGAAACGAAAAAAAAACCCCGGTTCTTCTTGAGGACTTGAGAATACTCCGGTGGCGTCGAGTTGGTGAATCTTAGATCGACGATGTAAAAGACGGAAGAGAAAGAGTGTGAGAGAGAGAGAAAAGTCAGGCACGCACATGTATACGCATACGTGTGCGTATACGTTTGATATCAGCTAGGCTAAAGAGTAACCACGACCCAAGATCAAGACCAACCATCCATGCCCCAGAAGGAGAGAGTAAACAAGAGAGGTAAAGAAAGAAAAGAAGAGTCTAGAACCCAAAATGCTTAGCCATCTTCACCACAATCTTATCTGTTCGCCAAACAATGCTCCCCGCCGCCCCCCCC